ATGTTCTATTTATTGAATACAGAAGTGGACAAGGTGATTGTCTTTTATAAGTTTGACCCAAGGTTTGTCCACAAGGAGGCACCTAGTATGTTGTACAGCTCCTCAAGAAACATGTACAAATGTTTGACTGACCACACAAATCAAGAGAATGATTATGAAATATATTGTATTATTGTATTGTATTAATTTGATTTCTGCATGTTTTATTGTTTAGGTTAAAAAGAAACATGACACGTAACTAGACCAATTAAAGTAATAGCCATGACGTAACGTATGTGGCAACTTTTTGTGTAACGGCTTTCTAATTGACCCAAGTGGCAGGTCTCTTGATTTACTGCTGCTGGAGCTACCTTTTGAATATGCATGCATAAACATGCTGACAGCCAAGAGGTGCAGTTGCTGCTGCCTGTCAGGTGACACTGCATGCTATTTTGACAGAAGAAGATGAGATTCTTTTGAGAGTGTTTGCTAGGAAGGAATAACATTATAGTGTTGTTTTTGCTACTGTTATTTTGGACTATAAATATGTTTCTTAATGCAATGCAGGACAAAAAAAAAGTTTTGTTTTTTCTTTTTCTTTCTTCATTTATAAAAACTCTGGACATTCACTGTACTTTGCTTTAGTTAGTCATAAAATAACTTGACCAGAGTCACACAGTAGCAACTCTGAAGTGATTGTCTTAGTCGATGCAGCTGTTTATGCCACCCCCATTACTAAATGCCTTGCCCAGGTGGTACAACCCTGCAATGACCTTATTTTGACACAAAACCAGCAGCGCAGGCAGGAATCGTAGGGTCCAGTAAAAGCCTTCATGTTTGTGTTGCGTGTGATGAGTCACTGCAGTGGCCCCCTCTGCTCCAGAGTCCACAACAATGTTCTTGGTGGCCTCATCCCAGATTTGATCACTTTTCTCCTCCTAAAACCAATTTGTAGTTGTAGTACATTTAGTAACAGTCCTGTGTATGAAAAACACCTCCCTGTTTTACTGTAGGAAAAGAACTGAGTGACAGTTCTAAATTTCCCAAACTTGAATTTAGAAGGCTGCAGCTGTTCGTCGGTGATACATGAGCTTTCCTCTTGGAGACATGATACCATTGCCAGCTCCTGGTGAGGGAGACGAAAATGGCTGCTGTTTAAATCACATCTTTAGACTACAGTGATGGACTACCAAAATAAACGCATGTGCCATACAAGAGCAAGAACATCTCACTCACTGAGCGGATCACAACTTTCCATTTCCTACATTTGTTTTCAAGAGTTTCAGCAAATGGTTTAGTAATGTATTGGCATAGATCTTGGCATTATTTGAATATTAACAGCTATGAAAGCCATATCCAGGTAAATCTATATATGAAATTCATACTTAAGTGTTTTTATATGAAAAAATAATAGCATTACTTAATTTAATATCTATTGACAACAATGAAACATTGCTGTATTTCTAGTTCCTGGGATCTCCGCACCACAACTGCCTGTAAAATACATGCATTTGGCATTAGTTAGTTTATCTAGAAAGCATGACACATTACTCAAGTAATTTTAACATGAGTAATATTGGTTATCAGTATATCACATTCATGCTGTGAATTTTTTGTCTCCCAGTGGTTGTTTCTATTGCTGCTTGTCCAGAAAAGTTATTTTGTCACAGCCTGTTCACTATTTTGATTTCAGGCCTTCTGACACACACACTTGTATTGCTTTGGCCAGTCTACCTTTTTTCCTACAGACATTAAGCCCTAAATGACTCAGGGGTCTAATTGGGGACATGGTAGTCCATCATAAAGTGACTAGTCTGTTCCAGAGATAAACTTTGGATCATTCCAACTATGCAGTGCATTGCAATTTTTAAAGTGAAAACTACCAATTTATTAAGAAATTTTTTCGATGTTTCTTCTTTTTCCCTGTCTCTAATTGAAATGAGTTTTCTTGTGTAATGAATTTATTGGTTTGTCATGTACCTGCTATATCATTCTATCCTACTAGCCTTTTGTAATATCTTTTTTAGTAACGCAAGCCAGTTCCATAACTACATCATTCTCCAAGAATTTACATTTTTGGTGGGAAAATCAACTAAAATATCTATTATTGTTTTATTCTATTGTTTGTTATTTATCATGCTCTAAAACATTCCACCCTATTTGATAAAATTACAGAAAATGTGATGGCTAACTTCAGCTTTAATTTTCTTGTCATTGTGTAAATGAAGTTTAAGAGCCTGACCAGAGTGTGTTTCTAAAAGTCTTTGTTGGTATACTTAGTTTGATTGGTTAGGACCAGAGTTTTATCCCACCGCTAGTCTTTTTTCACATTATACTTCTGGGCCTGTTTGCATCAACTTGAGTACCACCAGGAGTACTAGTAGCAGCTGTTTACCACTGTAACTAAGAAGTTGGCGTGGGAGGAGAAAACACCAGTTTTGTTGTTTTATTGTCACTTTAAATTTTTACCAAAATTTTACATTCGCGGAAGTGCATATGTGTTTGTCTGCTGCAAATACATTGCAAGATATGTAAAATATGCAAGCTGCTTTCCATGGCTAATTTTTGGTGAAATCAGCTATGAAAAATGCATCATACTATAGAAAGTGTGACTGAGAGAAATTTAAATTATAGTTAGTCATACCAATTATACAATCTCATACCAATACTGTACTGGAGTCCACAAGAACTTTAGACTAAAAGTGAAACAGTAAATGGATCTTTCTTTTGTCTTTGTTTAATTTATGGTTAACAATGATCACAATGAACAATGCTAAGATAATTTTGTTTATTATGATTAATTTTAATATCTTGTAATATTTGGTTCATGTTTAAGGAAAAATTATTAAACTAATGTGTTTTTTTTTACTCTATTTTAGAGCCACCAACTTTCCACAAAGTGCCAACACTGCTAGAGAGGCCAGGATGCTAATCTGAATTGTGAGATGCTCACCATTTGCAATAATCTGGTAAATGGTAAAAGGATAAAAACAGTTAAAGCAAGATGTATACTGATGTTTGAGAGGTGGCCTCTTGGTTTAGCTTGTGATGTGATTGTGATGAAATGGTCATCATAGCCCACTCCTTGACATGGATTATCAATTCTTTTGCTCCTCTAACTGCAAGCTTATGTTAGCCTGAGGCTAATGCTTTCAGTTTTAATTGTAGTCCGTGTCTCATCACACAGCTTTATAATATAATCAGGTTTATTCATGTTTAAGGTTTAATAATCAGGCTGGATCATCGGTTTTTCAGTATTTCAGTACCATGGATAAATGAGGCCAGGTCAGGAGAATGTGAAAGTTATTTTGCTTTCTGCATGTTTATTTACCCTTTTGTAATGAGCTAATTTTAGAATGAGAGCCATTCTTGTTGTAAAGACGTGCATTTTAGTGTCAGCTAGGATTAATTTATGTGAAGAAAAAAAAGCGTTCTTAATATCCTGTTCCAGAATAGCATTAACATGCTATGCTAAAAATTAAAAGCCCCCAACTGTTTTGGACATGAAGACATAAAATCTTTTAAAGTATAATGAGTAAAATTACTTTTAGGAGCTTTTAGTGGTGTTGAATTTTACACCCCAAACAGTGGCTACAAACTCTTGTTGTTGCAAAAGCAGTGAATTTTAGAGCTTGAATGTGCTTTTTTCTTTTAAACGTTAACCTGGCCATTGAAACAAAGTTGTGAGATGTGATGTTTTGTTCATCAAGACTCAAAAATGTGGATGATTGTGTAACAAATGTCAAAAATAGGCAAGTTAGCAAGCATTCTGTAACCAGTATATGTGTCCCTTACAGTGGGGGGTTGCCTTGCCTTGCCCTTCCTTTGAGTGACAGGGACAGCCAGTCTCTCCTTTTGGTCATCAACAGGTTAATGCCTGCCATAAGGGTTTTCAGCATTGCAATGTCATTGAATGGGGCATGAGCATAATCATTTGCTTGCATGAACAATGAATCCACAGACTCAATGTAGTAAAGAAACTCCAGAGTGAGAGGTATATCAAGCTTGCATTAACTTTGTGGAAGGACCACTGAGTAACAGGTGTGAAGTTGCATAAAATGCATCACTTTCCCATGATGCTTTGTGCACAGAGACCAATTTGGGAGTGGCTTGTTAGTGATGATGCAGACTAGGCTCGAGGTATATAAACTAAAACAACTATGTTAGCAGTTCTGAGCAGTTGGAGCATTCCCAGCCTTGCCTCGGGTGTAGGGATTGCAAGGGAAAAGCAAAACTACACGGTCTAGACCTTGTGTAGTTTTGTTTTTTGGGTTATAACGGGGCCCAACCGTTCTCACCTTGGATTTTCTGGAAACATTTTGGATAAGAGGACTGTTGCTGAGGCACTAGCTACCTGGGCACAGTCCCATCAAGTGTAGGCAGCCTTGTGATACAAGTAAGTGGCATTTACTCTGTAGAACACAGTCATTAAAGCAAGTCTTTTTATCAGCTACAATGATACATGCTTCCACACATTTTTAAAGCAAAATAAAAGTGCTGTTGCTTGCAATGTGCTATTTGTTTGAGGTTTTACAAGTAGTCAGTCTGTGTTACTTTTCAAGAATTTTATAAAACATAATAATGCTCAAGGTTATTAAATGGTGCAGTGATTTCAGAATAGCCAAGAATAGCCTGTGATAACATTAGAGTGGTGACCCAGCTGGGCCATGATGTCTTTTTAAGGGAATCAGCAGCAGAGATATCAGTTGCACCTCCAGCTATGTGCCACATGGTGACTGTCAATCAAACAAGGGACAGATTATTTTTGGAGACTGCCATTTCTGTCATAGTGAATATCAGCCTTCACACTTGATGCCATTTAGTTGGAATTAAATTTGTATTGGCTTTTTTTTTTGTCTATTATTGATATTTATTACACAAATAGTTTTACTCTGTGATTGTGAGTCATGTTATGGGCAATGCTTGTCCGCTCTCACCTGTTGGTTTCTTCCATTTGACTAATGATGCAGATGGCTTAACTGAGTAAATTATTTGTCTTTCTTTCTTTCTTTCTTTCTTTCTTTCGTGTTAAGCTGTATTGATCTTTATTTATATGTAATTATCTAATAATTTAATTGTTTTAGTTTTTTTATATATGAGATGAGACAGTGAAGACAAATGATATATTGCATTATGTATGGGAAATATCTGTATGATACACATGTGAAGCTTTTTGTAATGCTTGTATGTGTGCTGGTATGTTTTTTGTCCAGTGGAAATTTTGTCACTGAGATTTTTTTTCAAGACCATTATGGATTATTATACTTTTGGAGTGAAGTACTTGTCAACATGTCAAAATGCACATTTGCAGATCACTTTGGATACCCTAAACCTGAGATGGGTTGGCACAATATTGTTTACAATAGCAAGAAAAGCTTTATATGTATACACACACACACACACACGTTTTTTCTTCTTTAATCATAAAAAATATGTATTTATAGGCAAAGATTTTCATTTTAAGATCTATTTTTTAAAAATCTTGGCTATTTTACTTAAAAAATATATAGTTGACTTGCTTGATATTTTCAATGAGCTTTTAAATGTTAATTTCTGACTAAATTCTTGTATATTACCAGTAATAATACAAACTATTTTGCTACTGAATTGTTTAATTTAGTTTAGCTTTTGGGGGCTTCATCTGAAGCTCGCAAATTGAGCACTATGTTCTTTTGTAAGCCAATGATAATTTGAAACATCAGCTACACAGTTTCTACTGTTTAAATATCTTGTTGATCAGGACTTTTTAGTTAAGTTACTTATGTATTTAGGTGTTTCATAGCCTTATCTTACAGCTCACAGTTGCTGTTCACACATTTCCAACATATTCAATTGGGTGCTTGACCTGACACTCAACAGCTCCACCGTTCACAGTTCTCACAAATGACAGGCTGCTGATGGCCAGGTGCAGGTGGGGGCAGGGGGTGTTAGTGATTAGTCAGTTCATTTCTTTTACAGCTATATAAATAGCCCACCTAGTTTGTCATGTAACATACACTGTAATGCTGTTGTATATATAATTAATTCAGTGGGCATCAAGAAAATATCTGGCTGTAATGTGGTATTCACATTGGTATTAATGTGAATCTTTTTTTTCCTAGGGTGCCTTCTACCATGTCAACACAAGCTCCAACATTTACACAGCCGCTTCAGAGCGTTGTGGCACTTGAGGGTAGTGCTGCAACGTTCCAGGCTCAAGCTAGTGGTAAGAACAGAAGAAAAAAGTGGGACAAAAATACATATTGCATGTTTGGCATTGATAAAAGGGTACATGAGCTTTACTGATCGGGCTGTGGAGGTATATAAGGCAAAATGATTGGAAAACACTGTTCTAAAATTAATTATTTTATAATTTCTTCCAATATTTTTCTGTAGGTAATCCAGTTCCAGAGGTGAGCTGGTTTCGTGATGGCCAGGTTCTTACTGCTGCCGCTCTGCCCGGCGCTCAGATCTCGTTCAGCGATGGCCGCGCTGTTCTGATGATCCCCGCTGTGACAGCCGCACACAGTGGAAGATTTTCTGTGAGAGCCACCAATGGCGCTGGACAAGCCACTAGCACTGCTGAACTGCTGGTTACAGGTAAGCAGTCATAGAAACAGCTGTGTACTTTTCTGTCATTTACTTTTTGTTCCAAACAAACACTGTTTTTTTTTTTGCCTCAAAGTGGAAACTGCGCCACCAAACTTCATTCAGAGACTACAGAGTATGACTGTTAGACAAGGAAGCCAAGTGAGACTAGATGTTCGAGTGACAGGAATCCCTACACCTGTGGTGAAGTTCTACAGAGAGGGAGCTGAGATTCAGAGCTCTGCTGACTTTCAGATTGTTCAAGACGGAGACCTTTACAGTTTGTTGATTGCCGAGGCCTTCCCAGAAGATTCTGGAACTTATTCTGTCAGTGCTTCTAACAGCAGTGGACGTACTACCTCTACAGCTGAACTTCTGGTTCAAGGTTTGATTTCCAAATGAAATAACTTCACTTGATATTTTTTGATATAGGGTAGGCCAATATACATACGTGTGTGTGTGTATGTATCTTTTTTATATTATTTTAAAATTTCAGGTGAGGAGGTTGCAGTGCCTGCAAAGAAGACCAAGACTTTTGTTTCAACTTCCCAGATTTCACAGACTCGCCAGGCTAGAGTTGAAAAGGTAGTTAACATCCTGAAAAAAATTCACACCTGAAGCTGACCACCAAAGAACATGCTAACTGAGTGTTATGTGTCCTTCACAGAGAATGGAGGCATCATTTGAGTCCACAGCCATGATGGAAATGCAAATAGAGGATGGTGATTTGGCCCACAAGGCACCACCCCGTGTGCCTCCTAAGCCGACCTCCAAGTCCCCAACCCCACCGACAGGAGTGTCAAAAGTCGCAGCAACGCGCCATCAGTCACCCTCCCCTGTGAGGCCTGTTAAAGCCCCCATTCACACACCTCACAGGTGAAGTATATTTTACATGTACTAAGACCTTGTATGAGTGCACATATTCCAAATAAATAAACTGAGATCAATAGTGACATGTAATGGAGAGTAATTTGTTCCCTCACCCACACTTATGAAAAATTAAGTGCAATGATGATGTAATGCATTCATGTTCTGTGTAACCAATGTTAACTTTACAATACATTAAATATCTTTCTTATGTAGCATTTATCCTTTGTTAATTCTTTTTCCCCCTATGTTTTATTTTTAGGCCTGCTTCCCCTTCAAGACTGTCCGTGTCCCCTATCAGACCAGTCAAGTCCCCAATGACTACACTCAAACAAGCCGCACAGGCTGCAGATGTTCTGCCTCCATGGAAGCAGGAGGGTTATGTGGGAGAATCCAGTTATACCAGCATGACTACTGGGGCCTCATATGTCCAGACCTCCTCCACATTTGTCCACAAGGAGCAGCAATGGGAAGGTTCTTTTGCTATGCAGCAACAAGCCAGTGGAGTCGCTTTCAAACAAGTAGGTCTATTTTTGCAACTATGACCTCTAGTGGGTAAAAAGTGGCATTTTGTCTTTGTGATAACATGAAAGGAAAAATATTCATTACTTGAAGTTTGAATGAATGAATAACTACATTTTAATTAAGAAATACAAAAATGCGTTAAATAGAAATGTAACAAAAAACAACAATGTTGTATCGTGTGTGGTCATTGACGAAAGGTTATTTGGAGCTATTTCATATCATTTGTCTTCTACTGCAAACAGATTGAGATAAAAAAGGAGACCACACACAAATTAAAGGCACAATATGTAAGATTTTTTTAATTAAAATATCCAAAAACCACTAGAACAGTGTTATATATTTTGCTGACTTGTGTACTTACATTATCCCAAATGTTTCGAAGAATGTTTAAATCTTAAACGGCTTTCAGCCTCACCCTGCTTCATTCTACTACGTTAATAAATCATTAGCTCATCTATGAACATGATTTCTGCCCGAGTCCCGTTGGATTGCATCGGCTGTGGGGATGAAGACGACAACTCCCATGATTCCGTCATCAAACTACTTTGTTTATTTTGAATACGCGCCCTCTAGCGGCGAAAATTACATATTGTGCCTTTAATGAGACTACTGTTAACCTGAAGTGTAAAGGAAACCATGTCAGATCCAGTGGGGGCAGCAATGATTATTTTCACACTTCGTTGTCACACCTTAAATAGTCACGCTTCATTTTGCATGTTAGCCCAGCAAGTTTCACCAACTTGCCATTTTGTTGTTTAACCGATTTAATATAATTTAACTGATATTTAACAACAATTGGCAATACATTTTCATTAAGATTTTCTTACATCTGAATATATTTTTGATTGTTGCATACTTTTTAACCACTTTCATCAGAAAAGACATAACTTCTTACATAGTAAATCTGCTGTTAACTTATTTTTTTTGTGATATGCATCACCACAGATGTTATTTGTTCTATGTGCACCATTTTAATTACAGCTTCTTACTCTTGAAGTGGGGAAAAATGTGTATGCCTACAGTTGTTTATTTTCTTGTTGTAGACAGAAGTCTGTGCCTAGAGTATATGTAGACTGAAGGTGTAAATTGAAAAGGAGTTTCTAGAAGTTGATTAGTTGTATTTTAAAAAGATTTAGTATTCACAGAATTACATCCATTATGTTTGTATTGAAGCTCCTGAATAGAGGTAGACATGAATAGGTAGGTAGACATGAATAATGACATGCAAACAGGTGGGTCCCTCAATAAATAAATTATTGCACCAACCTTTTTTGATATTTTACCCCCTTGAGAATGCATTTGTGAAGTTTAAGCCTGCGAAAAATGTAAAATATAAAAATGCAATATAAGCACAAACTATATGTACATGAATGTGGAACAGATAACTGAAAATGTCCTGTTTTGTCAATAAAAGAATAGCAGGTAAAAGTGAGACTGATTTAGTTGGTGTAATTCAGCTGACTGATGGATGTGCACAGATGCTGATCTCTAGAGAATGCTTGTGTCACGTGATGGTCTTATAATAGAATGATAATATAAGAGTGCCAAGAATCTGTCACTGATTGCCTGGCATGAAACTATTTTACCAGTGTACAAACTAAATATTCTTTTTCTTTAATCCTAGGAATCAACCTCACATTGATCATTAGTGTATTTTTATGTAATTTATTTTTATTTTACTAAATATTAATCAATTACAATTCAGGTTTAAATATATATTTTCATTTCATTTCAATTTCAACCCCACAAGCCTGAAAATGCGTGAATAAAAAAGCTGCAATAAAGATAATAATAATAATAATAACTGAATAATTTTTACATTTGATTGTTTCTTTTTGAAATCCAGATTGTTGAGACTGCAGCAATCCCATCCCTCACAAAAGAGCAAGTGATGCCGCCAACTATTGTGGCTGTGAGTAAATGAGCACTCAGTAATTTTTCCTCATTGAAAGCTTATGTACACATGAAAGCATTAGTGTAAGTCCAACATGACTACTGTTTTGGCTAGTGTAAATTACAGAGTACACCTTTAATTTTAAATATTTTAATATGTGTCAGATATCTTGTAAGGTTAAAATATTTACTTAGATTTTGAAATTCTGTTTTAACTTTGTCCAGGGTTTGAAGAATGTGACTGTCACAGAGGGAGAGTCTATCACTCTGGAGTGCCAGATTTCAGGCCACCCTACCCCAGCCATTATGTGGTTCAGAGAGGATTATAGAATTGAGAACTCAATTGACTTCCAGATCACTTATGAAAACAGCTATGCCCGCTTGGTGATCCGTGAGGCCTTTGCTGAAGATAGTGGCCGCTTCACTTGCACTGCTACCAGTGAGGCTGGAACTATCAGCACCTCATGCTACCTGCTTGTCAAAGGTAACAGATCATGAGATTTGACTTGTCTTAAAATGATATGATCTGTGTGATTGCAGCCTGATTTTTACAGTTCATTTTTCATCTTCAGTGTCAGAAGACATTGAAAGCCGGGAGGATTTTTCTACTTTCTCTGAACACATTGAAATGTCTGCTCAGGAAAGACAGTAAGTTCATGGAACTCTTTGTGGTGTAATACTATATTAAATAGTATAATATTTGCAATCTGAATCCTTGGTGTTTTAAAAACAGGGTTACAGCTGAAGCCAAAGAGGAGACCATGTCTGAAATAAGTGCCGTCTCTGAGTCTGTGGAGGCTGGAGCAGGTGTTGCCCCATTCTTTGTGAAGAAACCCACAGTGCAAAAGCTTGTGGAGGGAGACAGCATAGTCTTTGAGTGCCAAGTCGGAGGAAGCCCCAAGCCACATATTTTCTGGAAGAAAAGTGGAATTCCACTTACTACTGGATACAGGTATGTTTTATACTGTACATATATACACTTTTTAATGTGAATTGTATGCAACTAATTTTTACCATACTTTTTCATTTCTGTGAGTAAAAAGTACTGAGACTTGTTTATAATAAATAAGTGGATAAACAAATTATATTTTGTGCTAGTTTTATGTCTGTTGTGACTGCGTTTTCTTCTGCTTTAATTAATTTTCTATGATGCAAATATATACTTTATTGGCATGGTTGTGTTTACATACACAAAACAAGTAGTGACAAGACATTGTAACAATAACAAATCACAGTAAAAAAAAAAAGGTAAAAGAAATAAAGATAAATAAATAAATGTTGATAAATGTTTTTATATTTATATATATATGTATATATGAGAAACATTTATTAAGCTATTATAAAAACAAAATAACAAAATACTGTAATATATTTAATAAACTCATGCATCTTCTAGGTACAGAGTAGCCTACAATAAGGACACAGGAGCATGCAAGCTTGAGATCTCCATGACATTTGCTGATGATGCAGGAGAGTACACCATCTTTGCTAGGAACCCACTTGGAGAGATTTCTGCTTCAGCCATGCTACTTGATGAAGGTTGGTTTTCTGGGTGACTTTATTATAAATGGCAATAGTACGTTAGTTCAAATGTTAATAGTGTTTTTCTGAATTTTACAGAGGCATATGAGCTGTATATGAAGAAACAGGAAGAGACATTCAAGACAGAAATTACTACTATTATAGAGGAGCCAAAAGTGGCTGACATACCTGCTGTTGTTGAGACTGTAACTGAGAAAGAGCAGATGCTCATGCAGAGGAGGATGGCGCAACAAACCCAGATGATGCAGTCCTTCATTTCAGAGCAGGTATGAAAGATTTTAAGCTGCTAAACCTTATTTTAAGATTATACATCCTGAAACCACAAAGTGTGAGTATGGATCTTACAATGGCATTTTTTACAGGAGTTACAAATATCTAACTTGGAGCAGAGATTCATCCAAGAAATTGAGTTCCGCCTGCTCAAGATTACTTACCAGGAGCTGGTGACTGAGGATGGGGAGCAGTTGGATATGAGTGTTTCTGAACATGATGCTATTTCTCCAGTCTTTAATACTCCAGTTAAAAGCTACAGACTCAGGGAGGGAATGAGTGCAACATTTCATTGCAGGATGACAGGAACCCCTTTCCCTAAGGTAAGATTAAATTATGTTATGTTTAAACATAGTCAATATTCATTCAATTAAATTAGTATAATGTTTAAGCAATATCACAAGCAAAACTGCTATTGTACTGAAAATCATCAATGCTTGGCCTGTCAAAATAGAGGACTGGAACTAACTGTTGTATTATTTGAACTATAGATCATCTGGTACAAAGATGGTAAGCGCATCACACATGGAGGCTGTTATCAGATGGAGGTTCTGCAGGATGGTAGAGCCAGTCTGCGCCTTCCTACGGTGGTGCCAGAAGATGATGGTGTCTACACTGCTTTGGTCAGTAACATAAAGGGTAATGCTGTCAGCTCTGGAAAGCTGTATGTGGAGCCATCTGGTGTAGCACAAACACAGCTTCCTCAGCCTGGGGCAGTTCAAAGAATCAGGTAGGGTCTAAGAAAGAATCTGAGAAAATCATATAGTTAGTAATATCATATCACTGAAGCAAATTACTGTACATGATATTAGAATAAGAGTACTTATCAGATCAAGATATTAAAAGTACTGCATTTTTCAGGTCCACGTCACCACGCTCCACAAGTCGTTCTCCTGGTCGATCACCTGCTCGAAGACTTGATGAGACAGACGAGGCCCAGCTAGAAAGACTCTACAAGCCTGTGTTTGTACAGAAGCCATCATCCTTCAAGTGCTCTGAGGGACAGACTGCAAGATTTGATCTGAAAGTTGTTGGGAGACCCATGCCTGAAACTTACTGGTTCCACAATGGTTAGTGATCTGCATATCCCAGTTGCGTAGGAGGTTTTAAAACAGTGGAATTTCTTTTATTGCCATGGCATGACAACTGTACTTTTTCATCACAGGACAACAAGTGGTCAATGACTATACCCACAAGATTGTGGTAAAGGAGGATGGAACTCAGTCAATGATTGTGGTTCCTGCCATGCCTCAGGACTCCGGAGAGTGGACCGTTGTTGCTCAGAACAGAGCTGGAAAGACTACCGTATCTATGACTCTCACTGTTGAAGGTACGATGCTACATACACTAGTTTCATTTAAAGAAGGACGTTCTCTAAAACAGTCACTTCAGGCCAGCTGCATTCTAAAGCATTCTAACTGCATTTCTAATGAAATATTCAATTTGACATTTTTGTCATTTTTAGCCAAGGAAAACTTGGTGAGACCACAATTTGTGGAAAAGCTAAGAAACATCAGCGTTAAAGAGGGTACTTTGGTTGAGCTAGCTGTTAAAGCTATTGGCAATCCCCTTCCTGACATTGTTTGGCTGAAGAACAGTGACATAATCTCCCCACACAAACACCCACATATTAGGTAAGTTTTCAGTCCTAAAAATATACAGGTGTAAGTAAATGATCAAAATGTTACTCCCTGTGATGATGTGTATGCTGTAAAAAAAAAAAAAATTCTGTATTACAGTTAACTGAATTTACTTGTTTATTAGGATTGAGGGTGGTAAAGGCGAAGCTCATTTCAAGATTCCATCATGTACAGGATCTGATAGCGCATGGTACACTGCTACTGCTATCAACAAAGCTGGCAGAGATACCACACGCTGCAAAGTTAACATTGAGGTGGATGCAGTAATTCCTCAGCCTGAGAAAAAGCTTGTCATTCCCAAGGGAACTTACAAGGCCAAAGAAATTGCTGCACCAGAGTTAGAGCCACTGCATCTTCGCTATGGTCAGGAACAATGGGAAGACGGTGACCTCTATGATAAGGAGAAGCAACAGAAGCCTCACTTCAAAAAGAAGCTTACCTCAGTCAGGCTGAAGCGATTTGGACCGGCACACTTTGAGTGCAGACTGACCCCTATTGGTGACCCAACCATGATTGTTGAGTGGCTGCATGATGGCAAGCCACTGGAAGCTGCTAACAGACTACGCATGGTCAGTGAGTTTGGCTATTGCAGTCTTGACTACGAAGCTGCTTATTCCAGAGATAGTGGCATCATTACTTGCAGAGCTACCAACAAGTTTGGAGTTGACCAGACCTCTGCTACACTAATTGTTAAAGATGAGAAAAGCCTTGTTGAGGAAACTCAGTTGCCAGAGGGAAGGCGAGGACAAAGAATAGAAGAAATAGAGCGTATTGCACATGAGGGTGGCCCCTCTGGAGTTACTGGAGATGATAATTTTGAAAAGACTAAGCCAGAGATTGTGCTACTTCCAGAGCCAGTAAGAGTTACAGAGGGAGAAATGGCTAAATTCCGCTGTAGGGTGACTGGCTACCCTACCCCAAAGGTTAACTGGTACCTCAATGGACTGCTCATCCGCAAGAGTAAAAGGTTCAGACTTCACTTTGATGGTATTCACTACTTGGAAATTGTAGATGCCAAGCCCTATGATTCAGGAGATGTCAAAGTTGTGGCTGAAAACCCTGAAGGTGTTACTGAGCATCTTGTAAAATTTGAGATACAGCAGAAGGAGGACTTCAGGTCAATCTTGCGGCGTGCTCCTGAGATTAAGGCTCCTGCTCCTGTACCAACACAAGAGCATGGTAGAGTCTCATTTGAGGTTGTCAAAACCGAGAAACCATCTGAGACCTCTAAAGAACCCAAGGAGGTGGTTAAGCTAAAGAAAACTGAGAGAGTAATCCATGAGAAATTAACAGAAGAAACAGAGGAGCTAAGAAGCAAATTTAAGCGTAGGACCCAGGAGGGTTACTATGAAGCAATAACTGCCGTAGAACTGAAGTCCCGCAAGAAGGATGAGTCTTATGAGGGTATGCTGAAGAAGAGGAAAGAAGAACTTCTTCATCATGCAAAAGAACTAGGGCCTGATGCTGAGAAGAATGAAGAGGAGGGTAAACTCACCATTCCCAAAGTCAAACCAGAGAAAATTGTGCTCTCTCCAAGCATGGAGGCTCCTAAGATCATAGAACGGATCCAGAGCCAGACAGTTTGCCTGGAAGATGAAGTACACTTTCGCTGTAGAATCACTGGTAAACCAGATCCAGAATGTCAGTGGTTCAAGAATGGTGTCTTAATGGAGAAGTCAGACCGGGTTTACTGGTATTGGCCAGAGGACCATGTCTGTGAATTAGTGATAAAAAATGTCTTAGCTGAAGACTCAGCAAGTGTAATGGTCAAAGCCATAAACATTGCTGGAGAGACCTCAAGCCATGGTTTCCTACTGGTTCAAGGTAAAACATTTTTCCAACTGGTTGCTGTTTGCATATTTAGTCCCATAAATGGTAAAAGTAATCCTCAGTCATTGTTCTTTGGCTTTGCTTTTAGGCAAACAAGTTGTTTCATTCACACAACTTCTAGAAGATCAGAATGCTAAAGAGAAGGACACCATGGTGACCTTTGAATGTGAGACGAACGAGCCATTTGTGAAGGTCAAATGGATGAAGAACAATGCAGAAATTTTCTCAGGTGACAAATACAGAATGCACTCTGACAGAAAGGTGCACTTCCTGTCAGTGCTGATAATTTCTATGAATGACGAAGCAGAGTACAGTTGTGTGGTTGTTGACGATGACCACATAAGAACCAGTGCCTCACTTTATGTTGAAGGTTAGTACAATGCAGTTTCTTCTCATCCATCAGTGTTTATCAGTTTTGAGCAGTGAATTATTTGTCAAATGCACAATTTTATGTCTTACGCAGGTGCACCACTTGAAATAGTAAAGAATCTTGAGAATATGGAAGTACCTGAGACATACTCTGGAGAGTTTGAGTGTGTTTTGTCCCGTGAGGATGCTGAAGGCACCTGGTATTTTGAGAACAAAGAAATCACTCCTAGCCTCAAATATGTTGTGTCTGCACGTCGTGGTCGTCATAGCCTTTCTGTGAAAGATGTTAAGAAAGAAGACCAGGGAAAATACACTTTTAGAGTGGGAGATCTTAAGACAAGTGCCTCCCTTAAGATGAAATGTGAGTATGAGGCAACCGAGATTTAAAAGCATTTTTTAAGCTACCACATTTTCTAGCAAAACTCATTTTGGTTGTCATATAAATCTTACTTGAATATTTTTTGGTTCACTCTAGTGCGCCCTGTGACTCTGATGCAAGGTCTTTCTGACCTGACAATCTGTGAGGGTGATATTGCCCAACTTGAGGTGCGATTCTCTCAGGAAAATGTTGAGGGATCATGGATGAAGAATGGCCAAGCAGTTTCTGCTTCCCATAAGATTCACATGGTCATTGACAAAGTCACCCATAAGCTTCTCATTGAGGACGCCAGTAAGGATGATGCAGGAATGTACTCATTTGTTGTTCCTGCTCAGGACATTTCTTCAAATGGAAAGCTAACAGTTCAAAGTAAGCCCCTTTTGAACTATAAATGAATGTGCAGTGGGTTCTCAAACATTGATTTCCATTTTCATGAGGATAGTGAGTGTTTCATTAATCATTTTGTTTCTTGCACAGCTATTGGCTTCTTGGCACCACTAAAGGATGTTTCCACAGTGGAAGGAACTAAAGCTGTCCTTGAGGCTAAAATCTCTGCTACTGATATAACTTCAGTGAAATGGTTCCACAACAACAAGCTGGTGACAGCAAGTGATAGAGTCCAGATGGTTGTCAAAGGATCTAAACAGAGACTGGCTATTAACAGGACCTACGCATCAGATGAAGGACAGTATAAATTGATTGCTGGCAAAGTAGACTCAACCTGTAAACTTTCTGTCCAGCGTGAGTGTCACTCAAAATTTGTGTTATTATATATTTATTTTCTTGTTTTTCTTGTTTTAAATTTTTTTATAATGTCATTGTGTTTTATAGCTGTATCTATTGTTAAGCACATGGAAGACTGCGTTTGCACTGAGACCCAGAATGTCACCTTTGAAGTGGAGGTATCTCATCCTGGCATTGATGCTCTCTGGACTTTCAAGGGTCAACCTTTAAAGGCAGGTCCAAAGTACAAGATTGAGGGCAAAGGTACACACTATAGCCTCACTGTTTTGAATGCCATGAAGGATGAAGAAGGAGAGTACATGTTTATGGCTGGTGAAAAGGAATCTAGAGCAAGGCTTACTGTATCAGGTATGTAGACATTCAAATTGCTTTTTAAAATCAAAGTACATACTTTTTTTTTTGCCATGCACAATATGAGAAAAGTCAGTCACAATGCCAGGTTTATTATACAATAATAATCAAGTGCTAATATTATCACAAAGATTTTGATGCACATCTTTCTTATTAAATCAGTGTATTCCACCTCGTACCCGTTACAATTGATAGAGAATCACTTAAGACTATTTGCTGTATAAAATAAACGCTAAAAAGAAGACTATTTTGTGAGTGCGGATCATGGTATCATAGGCTACTATGGAAAATAATGTTTAATAAACACAATATCCGCACCGTGGTTGAATCTGCCGGTGGGGGCGGGGCCACAAATCCATGAGTTTACAAACCCGAGGGAACGGATTGCGAAAGCGTGCGCACGGATTATGAATTTGTGGGTACGGATTCAAAATCCGAAGGTACGGTTTACAAAATCTGAGCGCACGGATTGGAAATTCGTGGGTACGGTTTATTAATCCGTGGGCACGATTTGTTAAACCGAGGGAACAGTTTATGAATTTGTGAGTACGGTTTATAAACTGAGGGGACGGATTGCAAAACCGTCGCCACGGATTGTTTTTTTTTCTCCCACAGGTGACTTCCCGGGCTCCGTAGAATCATGTCAAGTGTATAGTTGAGACATTTAATTTTCATCTCTCCACTAGGTGGTGCTATAAATGGGCCACTCCATGATGTGACTGTAGCAGAATCCCAGACTGCTGAGCTGGAGTGTGAAGTTGCTAATCCTGCTACAGAAGGCAAATGGCTTAAAGATGGCCACCCCATTGACTTCAGCGATAATATCATAAGTGAAAACAAAGGTGCTGTCAGACGCCTTGTCATCGTCATCACCAGGCCACAGGATGTTGGAGAGTACACCTACCAGGTGGCAAATTCCAAGACATCCGGCAACTTGAAGGTTGAAGGTAAACTGTGTGTCACTAGTATACTTAATTGTTCATTTTGTTTTATCATTTGTTAGAAGTTATATGGAATTTATTTCTTTTTTTTATTCAAGCCGTTAAAATCAGGAAGACAATAAAGAACCAAACTGTTACTGAGACCCAGGAGGCAGTATTCAGTCTCGAACTCACCCATTTAGATGTGAAAGGATCCCAGTGGATCAAGAATGGTGTTGAGATTCAACCAAGTGATAGATTTGAGATAACTGTCCAAGGCATGGTTCACACCCTGAAGATCAAGAACTGTAACACCCAAGATGAATCAGTCTATGGGTTCAAACTTGGAAAACTCTCTGCTAATGCCAGACTCAATGTTGAAAGTATGTTTTTATGTTTTTAATTATCTTTCAAGTACAAAGTTAATTAAATCTGTCTGCTGTTGTTAGATGCATTTCAGTACCCTTTAATCTCTTTTTAGCTATCAAAATTGTGAAAAAACCAAAGGATGTGACATCACTACTGGGTGCCACTGCCTCATTTGAGCTGAGTTTGTCCCATGATGACATTCCAGTTAAGTGGATGTTTAATAATCAGGAGCTCGAGCCAAGTTCAAATATTAAAACACTGTCTGAGAGGAAAGCCCACAAACTTATCATTCAGAGTGTTGAAGGTCACATGGCAGGAGAATACATTGCTGTGGTCGGGCATCTGCAGTGCAGTGCACATCTTCATGTTGAATGTAAGTGTTTTGAGATATTCTTTTAAATAGTGTTCACCTTGAATGTGAAATTTGGCATTCTAAATATGTTTCTTGCATATATTCAGATTTGGGAGTCACCAAACCTTTGAAGAACATTGAGGTTCCAGAGACCCATGTGGCAACATTTGAGTGTGAAGTTTCACATTTCAATGTTCCATCGATTTGGCTGAAAAATGGAGTTGAGATTGAAATGAGCGAGAAGTTTGGAATTGTGGTGCAAGGCAAACTTCATCAGCTGAAGGTCATGAATGCCAGCCAAGAGGATGTTTCAGAATACACATTTGTTTGTGGAAATGACAAAGTCTCTGCTACTCTGGCTGTAAAACGTGAGTAATTAGTACGTTGTCTGTAAGCTTGAAAGGAATATAAAATTACTATCTACAGCATATTCACAAATGCTTTTAAAAATCTTTCAGCAATTCTGATCACATCCATGCTTCAAGACCTCAATGCTAAAGAAAAAGACACTATTACATTTGAGGTGACCATCAACTATGAAGGCATCACCTACAAATGGCTGAAGAATGGTGTAGAAATCCGATCCAGTGATAGATGCCAAACTCGCGCCAAACAGTTCACTCACTCGCTCACTCTCCGAAACGTTCACTTTGGGGATGGGGGAGACTACAAGTTTGTGGCTGGATCTGCTGAAACGTCTGCAAAACTCTTTGTTGATGGTTAGTTTTGTTATATTTACAGCTGCCTTTATGTAACTTAATAGACTGGCTAACAAATATCTGTTTTCTAGCTCGTGTGATTGAATTCACCAAGCACATTAAAGATATCAAGGTAACTGAGAAGAAGAAGGCTATATTTGAATGTGAGCTCTCTGAACCCAGTGTCCCTGTGATGTGGATGAAGGATGGGCAGGAACTTGAGATGTCTGACAGGTATGTCCTCAGTTTTAATACACTGCAGATATTGCTTAACAATAGTTTTTTTCTTTTTTAAAGAATAAATCTCACTAAATTTTGATTGATTAATGCTTAAAGCAAGGGATGTATAACATACAATTCTTAGGGCAAGAACTGTTTACTAACTGCTTGCGGCAGGTTATCTGCACCAGATTATCATTGGCTCTGTTTGACCCTATGCTTATTTGCACTGCTCTTGGTAGATTGCGTTGGTCATTATGAAAATGATCTGGCTGCGTCTGTGTTCTTTAATTTGTGCATTGTCAGTAGATCAGCTGCAGAACTTTCCACTCCCCTCTGTTCTGTTATGGAATTGTCGTCTCATGGCAATTTGTTTTGTAAATCTGGCCCTTAGTATTTTTGCTTCTTAAGTATAATATAATCTTGTTTTAAGGATGTATATATATAGTTTTACTGAAAAAAAAGACAAAAAAAATGATTAAGAAAGTGATTATTTGCAGTCTATAGATCTAAAATCTGTCCATAACTTCCCCATTCTTTTAGATTCAAAGCCACCATTGACAAATTCCTGCAGCGTTTGATGATCCAGACAGTGCGCATTTCTGATGCTGGAGAGTACTCTGTGGTTGCTGGTGCAAGCGTTTCCAAGGCAAACCTCATTGTGGAGGGCAAGGATGTCCGCATCTCTGAGCCTGCTGAGAAGGACATCACTGTAACTACCCATTGTCTTATTACAGTCACTTGTTAAACGTTATCTGTGTTCCATGGCGAGACCACTTTTTTCCCCTCTCTTTTCATGCTTTCCAGGTGGTTGAGAAACAGAGGGCTACATTTGAGTTTGAAGTTAATGAGGATGACATTGAAGGCCGCTGGCTGAAAAATGGTGTTGAAATTCAATCTTCTGATGAGCGTTTCAACTATGTGACAGTTAGAAAGACACATCGCTTGACAATCACTGAAACTTACAGAAGTGATGCTGGAGAATACACTTTCATTGCAGGAAAAAACAGGAGCACAGTCAATCTGCATGTCCAGAGTGAGTGTACAGTTCAGATATCTATAAATATATTTCAATAAATGCTCAGTTTATTTATTATACACACTGCTGTTCAAAAGTTTGAGGTCATTAAGATTCTGTAAATCTTTTTTTCTCACCAAGGTTGCATTTATGTAATCAGAAATACAGTAAACAGTAATATTATGAAATATTATTCAAATTTAAACTGTTTTCTATTTTAATATCTTTTAAAATGCAATGTATTCATGTGGATAGCCAAGCTGAATTTTCAGCCATTACGCCAGTCTTCAGTATCACATGATCCTTCAGAAATTGTTTTGATATACTGATTTAGTGCTCAAGTATCATTTCTTATTATTATTATCACAGTTGAAAACAATTGTACTGCTTCATATTTTTGTGGAAACCGTCATACATATTTTCAGGATGCTTTGATAAATAGGACGTTCTAAAGAACGGCATCTCTATAAAAAAAATTTAATTATGGAAAAGTCTGTACTGTCACTTTTGATCAATTTAATGCATTCTGACCCCAAAACAAATAAACGGTAGTGTGTATGTACAATACTTAATCTAAATATATGTCTTTAGCTCATTCTGTTAATGACATACCAGTATATTCCAAGTGCATTGTACAGCTGTATCAAAGTGGAGCTTTATTTATAGCCCATATAATTTCAGCAGTGAAGTTGATTGTCTTGGTCTAATATGTGTCTCAATTTAATTCAGTCCCCGAGCCTCCTCAGATCATCAGGGACATGCAGCCCCTGTCTGTTGAGGCTGGTAAACCTGCACGTTTCTCTGTGGAAGTGACAGGAATTCCTCAGCCTCAGGTATCTTGGTATAAGAACTCTCAGGCCCTGTCTTCTGGCTTCAAGTGTAAGTTCCTGAGGGAGGGAAATGAGCACATTTTGTTGCTGATTGAGGTCTTCCCAGAGGATGCCGCTCAGTACAACTGTGAAGCTAAGAATGACTATGGAGTAGCCACAAGCTCTGCTTCACTTAATGTGGAAGGTGAGCTCATTATCAGACTGTTGTTTAAAACCAGTATTAGGCATTAGTTTTAAATTCTTTCATATAACTAACATTTTAACACAAACATGATTTTTGTAATCAGTTTCAGAAGTGGTTTCTCCAGACACGGTGGCTCCAGTGGCTCCACCAGTAATTATTACCTCACTGCAAAATACCTCTGCTGAAGAGGGAGAATCAGCCAAATTCCAGTGCCGTGTCTCTGGAGATGGTAAGGCTCAACCCTGTGAATTGAACAACTGTGAAAAATAGAATATATTCTAAATTCTTAATATGCATGTATAATATTTTTTGTGGATTTAACAAGCGTTTGTTTGATTTGTGCAGATCTGAAGATTACCTGGTACTTCAGAGATAAGGAGATTGTGGAGTCTGAGAACTTCAGAATGTCTCAGTTTGATGACACCTGCCAGCTTGAGATCTCCAGAGCATATGTTGCAGATGCAGGAGAATACACATGTGTTGCACGCAATTCTGGAGGAATGGTCTCTTGCTCCGCTGTTTTGACCGTCAATGGTATGTGCAAACGTTTAGGTTCCTTCTCTCCAGACAATTCCATATTTTTCTCGTTGAACGACCTGACCTTTTTTTTTTTTTTGGTTTGGCTTATTAGCATGTTCCATTGCTTAATACAGGTTTTAGATGTCATGCATGATTCTCAGGTCATTAACTTAAAATACACTTTGGACAAACTGTTTCTCATAGGGATCTCATTATCATTATGGATTTCACGAGACAGATATTTAGTTCCACTGCCATCTATGATCTTACCAAGACCAGGACCCCATTATTTATTGTGCATGTCAAAGGCACTGTTTTCCATCAAAATTCATAGATCATTCAAATACGATATAGAAGTGTTAAAAGATACAAATCGCATCACCTCTCTTTCATTATTGAGAGAACTAACCACAGACCATTAAAAACCAAGCTTTATTTTACAGTGAATAGGGTTTTTCCCACAAATCATCAATATAAATAACATTTTAAATGGAAGGCTCATTTTGCTTGTCATCATCCTCATGAATTTTGAGAACTCATCCATGAAATTCTGCCATCTCTCACTACAGTAATAATCTGTTATTTTTAAACTTAAATGGCAGTTTGACATTTATAAGTGTCTAATGTTATTTTTTTTATCGCTCAGATCTCAGTGTGAGAACAGTAGGTAGGCAAAGTGTTTCGAGCACTGGAATGACTCATTCGGAGATGGTCACCTCCCAGACCATGAGTGAGACTCATTCTTCCACTATGCAAACTTTTGAAAGTGTCTCTACGGTGATGATGTCCACAACATCTGTTAAAAGCATTGAGGTCCAACAAGTTACCTCTATGGAAGAATATTCTACAAGCCCCACTTTGACCCTGAAAATGAGTGATGTCATTGTCAGCCTGGGTGATGTGGCTCAGTTCAACTGCTCCTTCAGTGGACAACCATTTACTGAAATTATATGGGATCATAATGGAAGGACAATCACAAATACAGAAAGGGTGCAGTATGTACATCAAGGCGGGCTCATTTCTCTCATCATATTCAGTGTCCATCTTGGGGACCAGGGAAGTTACTGCTGTACTGTTAAAAATAGAAATGGTGAAAATCGAACATCTGCACAGCTCACAGTGGAAGGTGGTTATAGATTTTGTTTTGCCTTTGATGCTCATTTCATCCCATCTGCTTACTGCTGGTGTTTTGTTATTCTAAAATATGTTTCATGTGATTATAACCAACTTAAATTTTTAATTAAATTTACAATGTAATATCCCATGTAATCAATTTTAATACTTTAAATAGTTTAATCCTTCACATGCCTGGCCTAACATCATCCTCCATCTTGCTAAATTTTTTTTGTTCTTATCAATGCTAAAATATCTTGCTGAATTACTGAATAATCCCTAATAAATTTCCCTAACTTTATTCTCACTCAGCTAAAGAAGCGAACCCCAAAGAAACCCTCGTACCTTCCGGTTCTATCAGTAAATCTTCTAAAACTGAAAATGAGTCAAGTAAAAAGGCCACTGACCAAGAAAAGCAGGAATCCCTACCGAATGTTGGAGCCCTGACAACAAAGTGGCAGATAAGCCGACATTACAATCCTGATGTTATCCCTTTGTTGGAGCGTGAAATATACGATGCAATGCAGCCAGAGTTCCTTGTGAAACTGTCCCCAGAATTCCTTGCCAAACAAAGGGAGAGTGTTTCTCTTTATTATGTAATCAAAGGAACCCCCTCTCCATTCGTTGTATGGCTACACAACCAGTTGAATGTTGAAGAGCCAAGGTCATACTCCTTGAAACATGATGGGCCATTGTGCTGCTTAAATGTAAAGAATATTGGTTCTGAACAAGGGGGCACACATTCTTGCAAGGTTATCAATGTTGCAGGAGACAAAACATGCAGCACTCATCTCAGAGTGAAGACAGGTTTGCATTTGCATGCTTTGGTCTTTACCATCTTTTATGTTAGCCCTGGGCACACATTTTTTTTTTTAAGTCATATGTCCACTCTTATAAGTAGAAAGAGACAGAAAAAAAGACATCTCTCAAAAAAATTAAAAAAATCACAACATGCAAATGTCTCTATAGGAGTCTGATAGTGACTGCAGTGGACACCTGTCATGGCATGGGTGATCTACAAGGGAGATGTGGTCCATTTTCATTATGTTTGAAGGAGAAAATGGGTTTATAATAATAAGAATGCACAGATACTAAAATACTGCATAGAAACTGCATGATGTGCTGTCACACATAAAATATTTGTTTGTGTTTTTACAGTGTCTAAAGTGGATGAGGAGGCCAGTTATGAAGAGGAAGCAAAAGGTAAATGATTAAATACAAATTTTGTTGACTTATCATTTATTTACTTATTTACTTGTTGTGAGGCTTATTTATTTTTTCTATATATATTTTTGTAAAAAAAATAATTTTGCATAATTATGTATCTATAGGTTTCCCCACCACTAACAAATTACTTTGTATATATAATATATTGCATATTATGAAAATTTTATTGAACCATTTCATCATTTTTTATTTAGTGTTTTCTACCTCGACTATATCAACTGGGGAGGACTCTTGCACAACAAGTCTTCATTTAAAAGAAAAAAGCAAAACATTTGAACTCCAGCCAGAGTGTAAATTATTTTCAGAACCATTAGAGAAAAAGCCAGAAAAGCCAGTTTTTGTAACAAAATTCTCATCAGCAATCGCAACTTTTGGAAACACGGCTAAGTTTACTGTGATAGTTTCTGGATTTCCTAAGCCAGTTATTCAGTGGTACCACAATGGCCAATTGATAAAATCCTCAGCTTTTTATACATTTGTCCAAGAGAAGGAAGAACATACTCTTGTCATAACTAACATTACCAAAGAGTTGGAAGGAGAGTATTCTTGCAACGCGAGCAACCGATTTGGCAAGTCAACATGTACGTCCTATCTTCATGTAAAGGTGAAGGACATAAAGGAGCAAGAAGAGACTTTTGAGCAGCCTCCATATTTCATCAAAGCAATTGAGCATGTGAAGTGTGCAGCCGGTAGCCATGCTCTCTTTGAATACACCGTAACAGGGGCTCCACTTCCTGATGTTCAGTGGTACAGAGGTAGCAAACATATGCAGCCTAGTAAGTACTGCATCATTCTGAACAATACAGATGGGTCTGGCTATTTAAAGATATTAGGCATTCAGCAAAGCGACAGTGATCTTTACTCTTGTAGGGCATCTAATCCTCTTGGAGAAACTTCTTGCAGTGCAGAACTCATCGTATTCTTGGAGACAGCTTCTGAAACCACTGAATCACGTTTGTATAGTGTCAGTCTTCCAGAACAAGTCAGGACTAGCCTTCAGCAGGGACACCAGATGGTTTACACCACTGGCACTGAAAACAGGCAAACTGTTACAAGTGGGCAGATGGGTATCTTGCATGCTTTAGATATATCTGCAGCCACTGTGCACATGGAGCAGGTAACTCACCAAGCTACAGTGATTCAGTCTCATGATGTACAAAAGAGAGTAAAAGTTGCCCCTGCCCAGCCAATGCCAGTGGTGGCAACTCCTCTGAAACAGCTGCATATGGCTGCAATGGCCTCTGCTGTTCAAGAAAACCAAGGCTTTACTGAGCAGCACTGTCATCAAATTGTTAGTCCAGAAGTACGAGAGCTTGAATTGAGTGTTGAGGAGCACTCAAAACTTATGTCCGCCATTTCAGAGAGTTCTACACCTCTTAGCATAGTGAAAGCTGAGGATTTGATAAAAAGTGAAACTGAAAAGATACAAACAACTTCAGAGCCAAAGGTTATTGTTAGTGGTCCTCAAGTTGAAATTAAGTTACCAATTCTATGGGAAGAATGCACAAAAATTAAAAGTCCTGAAGAGGAGAAAAGCTACAGAGTTACAGAAGGGGTTAAGTTATTGTATACTGCAACATCATCGGAGAATGTAGCACTTACAGAAGGTCATTCTTCAGAGCTAGCAACTTTTGAGTCCATTGAATGTTTAGCAGAAAAAGAACAAGCCAAACCAGTGCTTACATCAGTCAGTGAGACTAAGCACACTCTTTTAAAAGAAAAATACTTTGAAATGCATAGTCCAGACGAGGAAACTGCTCAGCTCTCTAAAGAGCCAATATTAAAATCAGCCCTGATTACTGAAGAAAAAAACAAGCTTCAAGCTGACAAAACCACTGGAATACCTATTCTAGAGCATCCTTTTTCAGTTCATTCCCAAAAAGAAGAGGATCAGGTGCTTCATTTACAGCTTATCAGTGACCAAGACACTCTTTTATCTGAGGGCAGATTTACTAGTGAGAAGCCAGGTTTCGAGCAGGTGGCTGTCAAAAAAATGCCAATTCTTTTGCACGCAGTTTCTTCTGATGACCAGAAAACTGTTTTTTATGAACAGGCAACACAGTTAGCATCCAAGGATACCACAATTGTTGTAAAGCCCAGAGAAGAGTTTCCTGCCCGATTACATCTTCACTCGGTGCAGTCGGATACTACTTTATATAAAGAAGGGTTATTTTCAGTCGAAAAGCCAGATGAACAGAAAGCCATCCAGAGACAAGAAAAAGACCGTAAATTTGTAGCCACTAAAGAAGAACGTGTAAAACTAACTTCAGATTATGCCAAAGGTCTTGATGTGATGGTAGAAGGTCTTAAGATTGAGCACAAAACAGAAGCCAGACCCTTGAGTGTGCTTCAGGTAGTCTCACAGACTGATCCGCTTTCAAAGGAAAGCCCTCTGGTCAGTGAAGTCAAGCTGCATTGTGCAATTGTGCAGAAAGAGGATTGGTGGAATAACATGCATGCAGCATCTGTGTCAGAATCTCATTCAATAGAAGAGGGTCTCACAGACAGTTTCAAAGCAGTTGAGAAATGTACTTGTAAGACAGATGTAGAACCTAAAGTACCGGTTCAGTCTTATCATGTAGAGGAAAAAGACATATCAACAGAAAGTTGTGTTTCTCTTGAGGCTGCAGAGCAAGACTTTGCAGTTCAGATTCAAGAAGGTCAATCTGTAAGGCATTCAATACTTATGGAGGAAAAACATACTTTGACAGGTGAAATGTCTCAGGGATTTACCAGATCAGAGGCAACTGAAATAAACATTACAACTCAGCCACTAGAACCTCTTTTAGTAAGTGAATCGCAGGAAAGCAAAACTCTTCCAAAGGAGCTTACCTTTCTAATTCCTGTACCAAAATCACACAGCTTGGACATCAAAGAACAGTTGGAAATGACACTTCGATGTGCTGTGGCTTGTGAGCAACCTTTGCTTTTGGCAGATGTAGTGCAAAGTTTAGAAGTCGGGGAAGTAAAGGAGGTCAGGGTGCACATGGAACCGAAATACTTGATGTTCACTTACCTTATTACAACAGCTGGTCCACCCGTTGAAATTACAATTGCCTTCGAGAGTGAATACCCACAGACAGCAGCTCTTAAAAATGAGTTTCATGCTGCTTTCTACTCCATGCTTAATCAGGAGAAACCCATCTTGACCTCTGAACAGTCAAACATCTTAAAATATGACAGACCTGAGAGATTGCAGGTTAGCAAAGCTTCTTCATATCCATTATCCTCAGCAATTTTAACAGAAAATGTTGAAGTGTTTGCAACACCCAAAATGCAGTCTGCTGCTCTGCAAACAGAAGCTAAAGTCTCTTTGCAATCTGCAATGTCTCAAAAGCAAACTGCTATCCAGGAGTCAAGGCACCATGTGACTCAGAAGACTGTTGAATCCAAGATGGAGATCCACAGTTTCACTGAGACTGAACACAGGGAAATGAAAATTGTTTCAGATATTACAGTTGATGCACCTCACAGGCAGGAAACTGTGGAAGAGCCTATGGATGTTCTTCTTCAAGAAGACAAACGAGAGGAGGTTTTAACAGAGGACATTTTGACTGAAAAGCTCTTTTTTGAAATACCATTAAAAGATCTTAATGCAGAGGAGAATTCCAAGGTTACATTGTCTGTGAGAATAAAAGGTGTAAAAAGTGTAAACTGGCTTTTGAATGGAGTATTGATCAAATCTGGCAAAGAGTTCAAATGTTTAAAGGATAATGACTCTTACACACTCTTAATCAACAAAGTTATCAAGATGAAACATGAAGGTGAATATACCTGCGAGGCTGAGAGTGAAGCTGGCAAGATATCATCCTCATCAAGGCTCACTGTTGTGTCAAGAGGTTGGACTGTGTGGATTTTGTCATTTTAGATGAGATAGATAATTCTTAACAATTCAACTCAGACCATCACTAATTAACTAGTAGGCAGCTGCTACATCATCTTCCCACTACTTCACAATTTCTTTAAGAATACTTTTCCAAGAATACATTGTGTGCTAAACATCTTTCCACCCTCTTTCAAAATAATGGCACATTTTTCATCTTCTTCTGAGTTCTTCAAGCATGACCATGTCATGTGTGATTCTTTATCACCCTTCTGCTAACGCTCACATCACTTTTTTTCATGTTATCCCAGGATTAGTCATCCCTTCCTTTCCATCTCTGATGCATCCTGATATATCACTCAAGTCAGTTGTCATAGTATTGCCCATGTAATAATGTTTTGTATTTTTTTCTCCTTGCATATTTCAGTGCCTCCAGTTTTCAAAAAGAAGATTTGTGACGTGCAGAGCAACATTGGCAGCCCAGTGAAGTTTGAATGTGAAATTGAAGAGACACCCAATGTGACCTTCAAGTGGTCCAAGTCTGGCTCAGAGATTAGACAGAGTGACAAATTCAGGATCATCAGCAGGCAAAGCACATCATCTCTAGAGCTCCTCAACCCAACAAAGGATGACATTGGTGAATACAGCTGTCGCGCTTCAAACAAGCACGGTAGTGACACCTGCTCTGCTAACCTGAGCATCACTGGTGAGTGGACTGGTTTTGAATTCACATGCTTTGCTTTAGCTGCTGGCAACTCTTTAACAAAGGTTACTGATTTTCAAGGTTTCACTGTTTTGTTTTTAGTTTTTCCTTGAAATCCAATCTGCACTCTTCTGTATGACACAGTTTTGTACGTTTTTGTAATCTTACATAAACAATATATGTTGCATCTTAAATTCTTTGTGTGTAGTGATTATGAAATCACTGAAGACATAGAAATGTCCAAATCTTTCAAGCTCTTCCTCTTAATGTTATTCTTTATATTCTCTCTTTTTTAATTAATATAATTAATTCTCCTGGGATCAGTACTGCCTCTCATGTCTGAACCAGACACTTGGAAATTTATGTGATAGTTTTAAGATCTTTCCCAGTGACTGCCCCCCCCCCCTACTCATTATACTAAAGTGAGTACAAATACTAATTTTAGAATTTCTTCTGATTCAATTCATATATTCTATACAGATATTATATACAGGTTAACCAATATTTTGATGGCCTTATGTGGTAGAGATAACTGATATAGACAAGCTCAGATTGACTCCATTTTAGCAATGGATATTCTATTGTCTATTGAGTGCATATTGGATTATAATTTTGGTGATTCATCTGTTTCAGTCACATGACTTTTTACAGCTCATTCACCATATTTATGATCATCAGTGGAGCAAAGTAAAGGTGGTGAATTATTAAAAAAAAACAAAAAAAACATTGCACACTGGATTTGATCTTTACCAGGTCCCAGAAAACATTTTGCAGATCTGAAGTAAGCACAGACCCTACCCAATCTAACGTTCCCAGACATTTATTTAATTTTATTGTATTTAATCCTCTATCCAACTCTGTATGTCTGTGCTTTCTGTATGCAGGAGCTATATAGGAAAATATATTTTAAAAAAATATAGAATTGTCCTGTCTATGAATGTTTGATTTGGTAGGGTCCATGCTAACTTGAGATCTGTAAAAATGTGTTCTGGGACCTGGGTATGGATCTAATCTAATAATTTTTTTTTTCTTGGTATCACTGTTCATGTGTTTTTGTATTTACCACCATAACTTCTCTCTGCTGGTGATCATAAATAAGGAGATGAATAGGGTCACTTTGATTAAGGATGGAAGGAAGATTCATAACATAGTTGGCTTTCAAAAATGGCAAGACTAATCTAGAAGATAGTGACAGATATTGCTTGTACGGTAGGGACAAAACCACTCTTCTTGACAGAACATGGTAAGTCCTGTGTAGAAAACGTGTCCCAAGTGATAAATGTTCGGTGTTACTTGATTTGTGATGTGCTTTAGTGTTTGTGTGAGTATATGTGTAGAAAGGTACGGATGATGAAAATGCTGGTTATTCTGGACTTACCACCTACCCACGAAAGTATTTCCACACACCTTGCATTTCTAAAAATTGTAATAGTTTGTTTATGACTTGTCAAGGTCTTTGTTTAAATGGTTAAAGCAGGCATATCTGCACAACTATGCTGCAATAATCTGCACTAATCTATACAACTGCCCTATATATAAAGGAGACATAGTGAGGGATGGCCCCCCAAAAAATAATATATATTTTTCTATTAGACAGTGGAAATGAAGCTGGTTTCTAGTGTACCATTACTAGAGTGGCTATGAAAGGTTGTTATAGTTATTGTTACCAAAACGATCAATACTATTGAGTTTATGACTATGGTTATGCTGAAATCCATTTAATTTTTATTCTCAGAATCCCCATCCATCACAAAAGAATTACCAATGCTGGATGTAGTGAAGGTGACCGGTGCTTTATTTGGGAGTGAGCTCATTGGTACTGCCCCGTTTGAAATAAATTTGTTGAAGGATAAGAGACTTGCCAATTCTGACAAAACCATTTTTGAAGATTTAATTGAATATTTGGATACACATGCATTTGAAAGTTCAGATGTTGGGGAGTACAAGTGTTGCCTATCAAACGAAGTTGGAAAAATCACCTCAAATTCAATTGGTATGATAAGAGGTTAGTATGCTTGAGAAAGACAAGAAGAATAATACCTGCAGGTTCCCAGCACTAACAGGTGTGTTACTAACAGGCAGCGCGGGCTACAATGGCTAGCTAAAACTGTTAACAATGCTTTCAATATTAAGCAGTTGCTGTTGCCATGACTTATGTGATTCAGTTTTAATTTTTCATGGTTGACCTGCAATATCAAAATTTTTAAGACTTTAATCAAAAAGAAAAACACAAGTGCAATAAAATCAAAGGTAAAAGTACAGTACAACTTCTACAATTTCTGACTTTTTACATAGCTTATAGAACGTTCTTTGTTCTTTGTATTTCCGAAAAGGCCGGTGGGTTTCCATACACTGATTCTTTGTCCTAGAAGCCACTTTTTAGATTCATTATGATAAGAGGGTGCATTTGTATTGAATCATGCTGGAATAATTGGTTGTTCTGCTTCTCTTGTAGTTAAAGGCTGGCAAAAGGATGCAGGATCTTGAGATATTTGAACATGTTTTTAAAAGCGCTGTTTTAGACTGGACTGTGTTTTGCATACCTTTTCTATATTGGACAAAAATGCATTCTCTGTATATTTTAAAATCACAGCTCATATTTCTTAATTCATGTTTGCTTTTCTCGAGTGATACAGTGCCTTCACATATCCTGTGTTTGTTATGTAGTTGTAGCTATGGTTTAAGTTAGTTTTCACTTCATCCGGATGTATTTGCCCTGCTTCATCTTCAGAAACTATAGATGTTTTTACTGGTTAATGAATAATGAATATCTTGACAGTGGTTGTTGGTGAAATTGAATGCAAAAACATCACTCTTGGAAAATGGTAAAGAAACAATGAACAAACTCTGCATCTTCTGAAAATGTTCTTATTCGAATCAGAACCACATGTCTTTCTGAAGAATATACCCAATTTCTTTGAAAAGGCAGTGAAATGGAAGAGGTTCAAGAGAAATCTTGTGTTTGGAAGAAACTGAAATGGGAGAGCAACTGCAACATTCTTCAACAAGGACACATTCCTTTCCATGTTGAGCCATTATTTAAAGGACGAATGAGTGAAGGATCATGGCACACAAATTTGTGGCATTTTTACTGGAATACTGAAATTTCTTCTTTCTTGGATTCTTGGATTTTGCAATGAAATAACTATTCTAATAACTCTTGTTGGTCCTCAGTGTTTTACCTCTTACATGGAATGCAGAATTATATAATAATGAAATGGTTGAGGAATGGAAAACAAATTTTTCCTTTTTTATAGGAAAACTATTTTTTGCTGAAAATTCCGCTGTCTTTGAATATCTACAAGAACAATACAGATATGGATGTCAGTATTCTTGCAAAGTGTGTAATTCTTTAAATCAGATGCTGGTTACTGTGCTCAACATGGATTTTTAGTCATTTCTGCTATATTTAAATAACTTAGACTCTTAGAACTTAGACAGAACTGGAAATGACACTTCTCTAATATGTAGGCCTATATTTATTTTCCTGGAGTCTGGACTAAAGCTTTTCAATCCTCTTCACCTCAGGACCTGCCCGCTTTGTGAAGAAGTTGACCAACCTATCTATTCCAATGAGCAAAAAACTAAGACTTGAATGCACGTTCACTGGAGCTCCAAAAATGTTTGTCACTTGGTACAAGGATGGCAAACAGCTCTATGCTTCATATAGATACAACACCAACGTTACAACAAACTCCTGTATCCTGGAGTGTTTGCATGAGTGCAACAATGAGACTACAGGAAGATACTCATGTGAAGTTTCAAATATTTATGGGACAGATATATGTCATGCTCAAGTAGTGGCAGTTACAGGTTTGTAATTTTTACTCGTCTCTTGCCTGCCCATTGTCAAAGTTCCATACCCATGGATTTTGCCCATGGATATAAAAGGAATAGTTTGGTTTTGCCGATTTGGACCGCATGTCACCTGGAATGGTGTAATTTTTGTTCATTAAAGTTTTTATTTTAAAACCATTATTAAATTATTTAATTTGGGTTTCTCAGTTTAAATGAAAGATACCAGTAATTATAAATATGTAGGCCTATATTTATTTTCCTGGAGTAAAGCTTTTCAATCCTCTTCACTTCAGAACCTGCCCGCTTTGTGAAGAACTTGACAGACCTATCTATTCCAATGAGCAAAAAAATAAGACTTGAATGCACATTCACTGGAGCTCCAAAAATGTTTGTCACTTGGTACAAGGATGGCAAACAGCTCTACGCTTCATATCGATACAACACCAAAGTTACATCAAACTCCTGTATCCTGGAGTGTCTGCATGAGTGCAACAATGAGACTACTGGAAGATACTCATGTGAAGTTTCAAATATTTATGGGGCGGATATATGTCATGCTCAAGTAGTGGCAGTTACAGGTTTGTAATTTTTACTCGTCTCTTGCCTGCCCATTGTCAAAGTTCCATACCCATGGATTTTGCCCATGGATATAAAAGGAATAGTTTGGTTTTGCCGCTTTGGACCGCATGTCACCTGGAATGGTGTAATTTTTGTTCATTAAAGATTTTATTTTTTTATTTTTAAACCATTATTAAATTATTTAATTTGGGCTTCTCAGTTTAAATGAAAGATACCAGTAATTATAAATGCAGAACTGGAAATGACACTTCTCTAATACGTAGGCCTATGTATATTTTCCTGGAGTAAAGCTTTTCAATCCTCTTCACTTCAGAACCTGCCTGCTTTGTGAAGAACTTGACAGACCTATCTATTCCAATGAGCAAAAAAATAAGACTTGAATGCACATTCACTGGAGCTCCAAATATGTTTGTCACTTGGTACAAGGATGGCAAACAGCTCTACGCTTCATATCGATACAACACCAAAGTTACATCAAACTCCTGTATCCTGGAGTGTCTGCATGAGTGCAACAATGAGACTACTGGAAGATACTCATGTGAAGTTTCAAATGTTTATGGGATGGATATATGTCATGCTCAAGTAGTGGCAGTTACAGGTTTGTAATTTGTACTGGACTCTTGCCTGCCCGTCTTTCAAAGTTCCATACCCATGGATTTTGTCCATGGATATAAAAGAAATAGTTTGATATTGCAGCGTTGGACCGCATGTCACCTGGAATGGTGTCATTTTTGTTCATGGTTTTTTTTGGGGGGGTTGGCAACAATATGGTGTGCTGCTGTGACATTTTGCACGTTCATTGAAGTGGCTCAAGTGTCTTAATTCAAGTCTATTTTGTCCTATATCAAGGCAATGATAGGAGCTGGCATGTTTTTTTGAGTGCTTCTTGTTGTGGGATATTGATCAACTTGCGTTTGCATCTGCAAATTTCCTGAGGCACGCTTGGAAGATATTGCATACTTCAACAAATTTGAGGAGTTTATTTAAAAGAACAATCTGCATGTTTTAAAGGATGAATTGTGGCCTGTTTGTGTAGTTCTTGGCGTTGTTAAGAAAGTCATTTAAATTGATCTGATGATGTTCTTCTTAGAGCCTGCCCGCTTTGTGAAGAGGTTGACAGATATGGCTGTCCCACTCAGTCAGAAACTGAGACTTCAGTGTACATTCAATGGAGCACCGAAGATGTTTGTCACATGGTACAAAGATGGAGAGCAACTGTACGCCTCATACAGATACAACACAAGGATCATTGAGAACACTTGCGTTTTGGAATGCCTCCATGAATGTAACAATGAAACACCTGGAAAATACTCTTGTGAAGTATCAAATTCCTTTGGCACTGATATCTGTCATGCCGATATAACTACAGCTACAGGTTCGTATGCCATCCTAGTTTACTTATTTATAGATATCTTTAATGTTTAGGCAGACATAGGTTAAAAATAATTTCCTTAATTTCTTGTTCTCAGAACCTGCCTGTTTTGAACAGAAGCTTAAGGACAAAAAAGTTGCCATGAGTAAAAAACTGAAGCTTGAGTGCACGTTTACTGGAGCTCCTAAAATCTTTGTCACCTGGTACAAGGACGGCAAACAAATATATGCCTCTTACAGATATAATACTCAAGTTGTTGGAAACACTTGCACTCTAGAATGTCTACATGAATGCACTAAAGACACTCCTGGTAGATACTCCTGTGAGGTGTCCAATTCCTATGGAAGTGATATCTGTCATGCTGAAGTGACCACAGTTTCTGGTTAGTTTACCTTAAAAGGCTCTTTATCCCAAAAATTAGTGTTGGATGGAATTCAAGTTGATTCTTTAGCCGAAGCCAGTTATTTGCAAGCATATTGATGATGCTCATCCAATATTGTTCCTCTTAGGACCTGCCCGTTTTGTGAAGAAACTCACAAACCAGACTCTTCAATGGGGACAAAAGTTGAGACTTGAATGCTCCTTCACAGGAATTGAAAAACTGTTTGTCACATGGTACAAGGATGGCAAACAGGTCTACGCTTCATATAAGTGCAACACAAAAGTAATTGGAAACACTTGCATTTTGGAATATCATCATGAGTGTGATGAGGATACTCCTGGAAAATATTCTTGTGAGGTTACAAATGAAGATGGATCCGATATTTGTCATGCGCTGGTCACCCTTGCGACAGGTCGGTTAACTGCAGTCAGAAATTTGAGTGAATTTACAGATCATCCAACTTCTTAAATTGTTTCTATACTTTCCAATGCGCTTCTTTTCTTTAATCTCAAAGAGATCATCTTTCTCTAGATAAATTGCTAGAATTCAACATTAAACACTGGCAGCCTTTACAAAGGGAATATTATATATATATATATATATATATATAATTGAGTATATTATTCAAACTGAAAAAAAATCTCAAACTTAAAGTCCAATTTAGAGTACACAGCGACTTTCAACATTAGCACTGGTGCACAATAGCCAAATGCAAACTAGTGTTTTTTTATAGTGTTATTATTTATATATGATTACAATATTTAGTAATGTTTATAATTAGCTTATTTAATTAGCTTTTATTTTTATACTTTTTGTTTTCATTTTCAGATTTAGTACTTGTGTTTTGTGCTTGTAATTTTTTTTTAAAGTTATTTTTATTTTAGATTTAGTTTTAGTTTTAGGTTTAGTTTAGCTCTAATGTTAATAATTCAGTTTTTCCTCTAATGTTTTATTTTATTTTATTTTATTTTAGCTTTCAATTAACAAAAAATATTTTAACCATTGTAGTTTTTGTTAACAGTAACAATGCTAATGCAATAAACAATGTAGCAAAAATGCATTAAATAAAGCATTAAATACAGTTGTCTGCTTCATGTAGTAAACAGCTTACACTTCAGTTTTAAATGTCACGTTAACTCTATAATATCACATTTAACAGACATTGAGTGGTATAATAAGACACTTTAGTCTGCTTTTCAACTATAGAATTCCTTAATATGCTAATCTACTAAACATTTAAAAGGTATTTAGTACTGGATTAAAAGCTTTTTATTTCTAGAAGTTAGATTGGAAGGTTAGATTGGAAGTGCCATGGCAGAGGCATTGCAAATATGAATCTTTTGGTCAAAGGATTGAGAAGACTAATACGAGAGATTGCAAAATTTAAAGTGTGGATAAAACTGCACGCCTAGCTATTCTGAAAGCAGAAAAGACATATGCTTGTCTTGCCATGCAAGCAAAGAACTTGATTTAAAAAAAGAAAACAACAACACACATTAAACTCTTTGTGGTATGTATTTTGATTCAATATGTGACCTTGTGTGTGTGTAATGTGTTTTGTTTTCAGAGCGCAAAATTCCACCAACTTTCACTAAGAAACCCTCAGAGCACATTGAGGATGCCGGGGGAAAATTGGTGAAGCTTGAGGGTCGAGTATCTGGGTCACAGCCTCTATCTGTAAGCTGGTATAAAGATAATAGAGAAATCAACACTTCTGACATCTATGACATTTCCTTCAAGAGCAGCACGGCTGTGATGTGTCTCAAGAATGCCACAGTCACAGACAGTGGCGTTTATACATGCAGCGCTTCTAATGAAGCGGGCACTGCCTCCTTCAAGGTGGTGGTTAACATCACAGGTAGACAATATTGTCTTACTGCATGATTATCTTATTTCTCACTTGTCATATTCCTTTTTCTTCTTTGCATGCTAATTTCTGGTAATTCTGTGATGTGTATTAAATGTGGCTTTCTGTTGTACTGCATAAACATGACCTCCCCTCCTTTTCACTGAAAAGCACAGGTAAAAATGCTGACATTGTTCACTTTTTAATATCTAGAGCAAAAAAGGCCACCGACTTTTGACATTCCCCTTAAACCAGTGACAGTGAGTGAGGGAGAGAGGCTAAACCTTAGCTGTCATGTCTGCGGGTCTCCCCCAATGAAGATTCAGTGGATGAAGGACAGAAGGGAGGTCACATCCTCTGCTAGAACCAAGACGATTTTTGTGGATGGCACAGCCACCCTGGAGATAAACCAGACATCTAAAACTGATGCAGGAGATTATCTGTGCAAGGCAACCAACAGTGCTGGTAGTGAATTCTCCAAGGCCAAAGTCACAATCAAAGGTAATTAGAAGACTATTATAAATCAACATTTTCTGTACTACTCAAAATGTGCATTTTAATGCAGCTAAATTAAAAATGTGGTATGAAAAACATATTATTGAACTCTTTATATTTAATTCGTTTCTTTGTTTCATTTTCTACTTTTGGGTGTGGTATTCTTAACTTTTCTAACAGTACCAAGTAGAGTTTAAGCTAATTTCTTATTTCATTGTCATGCATTTTGGCATCTTTACAATCTTTATGATTTCCACATCTTGTTTTGCTCGCTACTTTGGTGCTTTGATCTTGCTGTTTCTTACAAAGTTTTACATTTTTCATTGGGCAACAAGCTGCAATGTTTTGCTGTGATCTTGATAATATTTTAATCACATATTTATTCTTGATTCATCAAGGATCTTTTTAGAAATGCGTTTTATCTGAATAGCAATGCTTAAGGCACCGATACTTAGACTTACATAAATTGCTAACTAAGGTGGATGAGTTTGATCTGTGTGCTTTATTATTTTTTATTAATGTGGAGTTTGTGACAGTCTAAAGCAGATGCACTAAACTTATTAAAATGTTGAGATGTGACAACTATTCTTATCTAGATTTCAGTCCATTTTTATAAGTTGCTTAATATGTTGTTACATTGTCGGTATTACTCAGATAAAGCAAGTGCAGCACCTGCAACAGCACCGGCAGCCCCCACAGCACCTCAGACAGTTAAAAAACTGGATAACTTGTTCTTCATTGAGGAGCCCAAGAGCATTCATATTGTTGAGAGTAAGTTGCTGCTTTCTGCTAAACAGTGTAGATATGTAATTTTTATGATTAGTGTTAAATGTTGAATTGCATGATGGATCACATCACTTTTTGGATTACAGAGGGTACAGCTACCTTCATTGCTAAAGTTGGTGGTGATCCCATTCCCAATGTGAAATGGATGAAGGGCAAATGGAGGCAGATGACTCATGGTGGTCGGGTCAACATTCAACAAAAAGGCCAAGAGGCCAAGTTGGAGATCAAAGAGGTGACCAAATCTGACTCTGGTCAGTACAGATGTGTTGCCTCAAACAAACATGGAGAAATTGAGTGCAGCACAGATTTGAATGTTAATGAGAAGAAAGACTCTGGACCACAGGTGGTCAAACTGAAGAAGTGAGTCGGAAATTGTGATTTTCTTTGCCAGAAAAGCTCAAAATCCCAATTCTGTTCTGATTATAACCTTGCACTCTCTTTTGTTACGTTCAGGACTCCATCAAAGCAGAAAAGTCCAAAGGAAGACAAAGACATTGACATTGTTGAGTTGCTAAGAAATGTAGATCCAAAAGAGTATGAGAAATATGCTCGCATGTATGGAATCACAGACTTCCGGGGTCTCCTTCAAGCTATTGAGTTTCTGAAAAAGGAGAAGGGTGAAGAAAGTGGACGACCGGTAGATAAATCTAAATTGTTTTGTCTTAATAGATGATCCAAATCTTGTGTTTTCCTACACTTTATTGAGATATAAATCTACAACAAATAGCTTTAATTAGTGCCCTTGTTTTCTGAATCAGGAAAGTGAACATGGAAGAGAATATGATGAGGATTTGGCTAAGCTTGTGTCTGATTTGCAGAGGAGAATGGAACACAGTGAAGTATGTTCCTTCTTTGGGAAGTTGAAGAACCACTGCTTCAATTTTCAGACATATTGGCATATTGTTGCATATGCTTATCAGGTACATGTTGATGCCCTAAATGTATGAATATTTTGTTTTTGCAGCCTGTTACCCTGCTTAAAGACATCACAGATCAGACAACGCAAGTTAACAAAGAGGCAGTGTTTGAGTGTGAGATTAAAATCAACTATCCAGAAATTACACTGTCTTGGTATAAAGATACACAGAAGCTAGAAACTAGTGATAAATACGACATTAAACTCGTGGGCGACCGTCAGATATTGAAGATCAAGAACTGTCAGACCAGTGACCAGGGAAATTACCGTGTCGTTTGTGGGCCACATATATCCAGTGCCAGACTGATAGTGTTGGGTAAGTCCATTTTAAAGACCTTGTATTCTGCACTGAAATAAAATGTTTGTACTTATAATTAATTGAGGCACATTTACCTCAATATTCTACAGAGAGTCAAGTTAATGTTCAGAAACCATCACCTGGTAAGAGGGTAGAATTGCATTGTAGTGCAGTGTTTACTGACACATATTATAGATTTGTCTTACACCATGTTTTACTAGTTCACTTCAACTATAAGAAATTAAATTATCAGAATGAGAAGGAGGGCCACATAGATTGCCCAATCATGTAAAGAAATTACTAACCTCTTCTTGTTTCTTCACTTACTAGCTAATGCTAAGCATTTGTTTATTTTTCCTCTTAGTGCTTTAAAATTGCTTGGCTATAGTGGTGTTGATTATGTACCATCAAAAAGTGTGCGTTTGAAAGCACATTTACATTTCTTCTTCTTTCTACTTTTTAATTATGATTATTATTATTTTGAAAACAGTGAAATTTTGAAGTAATTAACGATTCCAATTCTTTCATATTTTTTCTAGCTGATCAAATTCAGTTCACCAAGCGCATTCAAAATATTGTGGTGAATGAGCATCAGTCTGCCACTTTTGAGTGCGAGTTGTCTTTTGACAATGCGTTCGTCACCTGGTATAAAGATACATGGGAGCTTAAAGAGAGCCCGAAATATACCTTTAGGTGTGAGGGACGAAGGCACTTTATGATAATCCTTAACGTAACATCTGACGATGAAGGTGTGTACATTATTCTTAATGTACTACTTAGTAGCTCATATAAATATGGAATTAAAAAGATTTAAACTAAATTAACCTCACTGAAAATCTTTTAGGTGTGTACTCTGTGATTGCGCGCCTGGAGCCTGTTGGTGAAACTAAAAGTACAGCAGAGCTTTATCTGTCAGGAAAAGGTAAAATGTACAGCAGGTAAAATCACTTTGTAGCTTGTTTACTAGAGTTTAGTCAAGAGCAATTATATTTCACTTTCTTTTGCAGAATTTGAAATAAGACCACGTTCTTTTGGTAAGTGGTTTGTTATGCACTAAATCGTTTCTGAGAATTAACCATCTCTTATTTACTCCTCAGTCCCCTACCCCAACTCATTTCTTTGCAAATTTTGGAAAATGTAAACTTTATTCAATGAAACCATTAAAAAAATTATTAAAATCTAATCATAATAAAACTAAATAAATTCAATTCATCTCAACCTGTCTAGATGTTCCTGATACATCGATACATGTGCCAGATGTGTCATCTGTGATTAGTTTAAAAGGTAAGACTAAAACAAATAAACAAATGTATAAATAGAAGGCCATGAATTCCTGCAGTTTCACTTTAACTTATAATGATATAATTGTTACCTTTTGTTTAAAAGATGAATCCTCAGAATTTCATTATGAAGAGAAGTTTGAAATAACAGGTACTATTTTAAATGAAAAACAATTTCTAATGTTTCTTAACCTTTAATATTTGAACTTAATGAGTACATTAAGTACACTAAAAGACTAAACACTAAAAGTTTCCATAATGTCAACTCCTGAATGCATTGGTTGACTAATATTACCATATAATTTGCACCTTACCGTTTAATATCACCCTGATATCATTTAAAGTTCATATTTAATTAAAATACAACTAATGTAATATGATCATGTTCTGGAGTTAGCATTTCTTTCTTATTTTCTTCTTCTTATTATTATTATTATTATTATTATTGTTGTTGTTATCTTTGCATTTGTACTAACATCTGAGCTGAACAAGATTTTGTCCAACATTGTTGTTACAGAATAAAAAATAAATAAAAAAAATTCTTATTGTATGGTAGAGTGTCAGAACTGGACAGTTCAAGAGGAGAGTGTTACTTATGAATTCTCTTCACTGCAAGGTATACAGTAGTTTACAGTCTTTGAATCTTTAACTAAGAGCATAACATTTTGCTCGTCTTATTTGTACAGTATATGTGTGGACTTTCTTCACTCATCTTCATTATCTTGTCTTTTTACATACATTTTGTCAAAGCTATCATTGTGTATTCCTTGTCTTTTTAATATAACTTGCTATTAAACATCATCACTGCCTATTCCCTTCAATAACTATCTCCTCCGTCATTTTCAATTCAGCATCATTAACATTTTTAATCCACAGGTATTGTGCTGCAAACTTTGTGTTTGTATGTTTGAAACTGAATTTGTGTGTATATGTTCATGCCTAAGAATGTTCTTGTTTTCCATCAGAATTGAAGAAACCTGTTGAGGAGATTGTAACGAAACATGTAGTGGAAAGGACAGAGGAGGTGCCTACGAAAGGTATTGGATGAAGGCAAAATGCTTGTGGCAGACTTTGCTTATGGCTGTCCCTGATGATCTCTTATCATTTATATATGTAAAGCCAACTGCTTAATTTTTTTCCTCCAGTGAAACACTTACAACATTTTGGTCTGTGCTGAACCAAAAACATTTTGGTTCTTTCCTTGTCTTGGTGTTGTGTTTGTATGTTATTATATGTCATTGTGCAGTTGTTCATTGTAAAATTGCTTCACTTTTTTTTATTGGTCTTGGTTGTATGTCCATGAATATTTTCTTCTAATGCTTGTGCAATCATTCTAAAAGCATGGATGTTTTGGCTACTTAAACTCTGCTTAAGCTTTGCAGTTGTATTTTAACAAAGCTGATGTCTTTTATGCACCTGAAGTTATGAAGCAACCAGAAGAGACAACCGAAACATCCTTTGTACAGCCTCCAGTTCCTGAGAAAGGTATTATTATGTCTTTGCTTGAGTCTAACATTGTTTCTCTGTTTCTACCTCTGTGTGTTCATTGTTTTCTGACAAAATATTTAAACCAAATCTGTTTTCCTATTTGTGAGATGTCTGTTTCTTACCATATCAATTGTTTGTGTACTTGCTGTACATGTAGCTCTTTGGTGTAAAGAATCATAATTTGCGAATTTTATTTCTATGATGCCATGATATTTTTAAGAACCTGAAGTCAAGAAGCCTGTTGAGGAAAAAGACCGAACTGTCAAGGTGACAGAGCAAAAAGAACAACCCACATGCAAAGGTATTATCAACAGTATGTGTTTTCAGTGTGTATACCAATTTATATTTGTTCTATGTATGTTGATTCTTTGTCTAAATATGTTTCTTTTTTTCAGTTCAAGTTTATGTTATGTGTATATGTTGATATGTGTGTAACTGTAATTTGCAGTTTCTTCTTGTATCATTTTCTTGTTAGTATGTAAAATATTCTTAATGTCTTGAGACTGAAAAATTCTTGTATACAGAAATTAAATATCTGAAGCTGCTGTTTATAATTTCTGTTTGTGTTCTTAGTCTCCTTTGAGAATTGATAGCAATAATAGTGTTAACTTAAAGATGTTCTAAAACCTACACCCTCAGAGCCTAAACCTCAGGTGCCAGCAGAACCAAAGGCTACAGTGGCTGAACCAAAGCCTGAACCTAAGTCTGAGCCAAAAGCTCTACCCAAACCCGAGCCCAAGCCTGAGCCCAAAACTCTACCGAAACCTGGGCCCAAGCCTGAGCCAAAATCTCTACCTAAACCTGAGCCCAAGACTGAGCCAAAAACTCTACCGAAACCTGAGCCCAAGCCTGAGCCAAAAGCTCTACCGAAGCCTGAGCCCAAACCTGAACCCAAGCCTGAGCCAAAAGTTACACCAAAGCCTGAGGCTGAACCTAAGCCTGCAGTTGCAAAGAAAGTTGAGGCACCCTCTGTCAAAGGTATTGTGTGTAATTTAATCATATGTGCTATTTTTTTCTTTGTGTTTGTTATGTGGGTCAGCATGTCTGTATGAGTCAAGTACTGTATGTATGGATGCTTTCCTTAATTAGTTGTATGTTCTGTCCTTAACCAACCTCTTGTTTAACTTAAGAATATAAAGTCTCCTCTGCTTTATATTTTGGGGTTTACTGTATGCTTCTTTGTTTTTGGTGTTCTTTTAAAGCACCTGAAGCGCCAAAAAAACCAGAAGCTGCACCTCAACCATCCTTAGATATTAAAAAAGTTGAGGCTTTAACTCCAAAGCCAGACACTACTCAAATAAAAGGTAACTCTTTAATCTCAATTGTTAAGAAGCACAATTACTGAGCATAAGTCTTGCAAGGGATTTTAAAACGGTTTAATTTTGTTTGTTGTCTGTACAAATCTTTACCACCAAAAACGGTGCTCTTGGAATGCATGTGAAACTCTTATCTTGATCTTTTAATTGATTCTTTTCATTATGTGGGCTTCTGCATTCTAGTGTGAATGCCTCTTTTTGTGATATGACACTGTTTAACACATATGTGTTCTTTTGAAGCTTTTGTGGAGATGAAGGGAATAGAACCACCAAAAGTAAAGCTAGACAGAAAACCAGAGCCTGCACATGCTGCCGCTGAGCCACCAAAGAAAGAAGTCTCTACACTACTGCTAGAAGAATCTAACAAAGATCATTTGCCTGTCCAGTCTGAGCCATCAAGTGTAGAGCCAGCTAGTCAGCCTGAAACTACACAAAGCCAGCCTCCTGAGCCAGTTAGAAAACAAGTAGTCAAAGCTCCACCAGATGTTATAGTTGAACCAACAAGAAAACAACCTCATCAAGAAGTTTTCAAAGCAGAGTCAGTTGGAAACACTGAGCCTTTACCCAAAACTTCAGAGTCACCTCAAACAGATCAAGCTAAAAAGCAAGTGCCATCAAAGAGTGAACCAACCCCTAAAATCAGTGAGCCAGCACTTGCTCACAAAAAGGAGGGTCATCCACAGAAAGGTATTATTAAGTCTTCATATTAAGCTCCTTAGTATGCCCTGCATTAATGGGGTAGCAATTATTACAAACTCTCTTTAAAAGTGTCTTCTTATCTTATTTACTCTTCTTAATGTGCTGTTCTTTGTCTGGTGTTATTTTTATATTTACGAAGTGGTTGAAGTAAAGGCTGCAGAACTACCATCTGAGAAAAAGCCTGTGACTAAAGCTAAAATGGAGACTGAGATTCCCTCAGCCAAAGGTATGCTCGGTTGGTCATAGGAGATACAAATCAAAATTGTGTCACAGATCTCCCACTTTTTATAGCATAACCATTATTAACATTTTAATCATAGTTAGCTGAAGAATTATTTTTAATATTATTAATATATTAATCTACTCTGGGTTAAACGTTTTACCTTCAATAACCTTCAATAACGCAAGCCAGAGAAAAGAGTGCATTCTGGTAATGCTGCCAGAATAAAGATTATTGCTAAAATCATGGAAATCCCCATTATGAAAGATGCTATTTTCGCTTTTATTTTGCAATAACAAATTATCTTTTCTAGGTTAATGTAGGGAAACTTAGAGATTTAAATTGATGTTGGTATGCATGTTTTGTTGAAAATTCTTCTTTCACCATTGCATGGTGCAATCTTGAAAATCTTTCATCTTTAAAGTCTTTGCAGCATCTGAGAAGAAAACGGACACATTTTCTCATACAGTGGAAGCAACTCAGAAGATTTCCATGGATGAAATGTTTTTGAAGGAGGAAATTGTGGAAGAGAGTGAAAGCATGCCTCATCAACCAGAGGAAATTTTGTCTTATCAAGATCGTATTGTAAGGATGGATGTTAGTCATCACAGTAGAGAATCAGCTGCTGAGGATGTGAAGATAATTGAAACAGAGGTTTCCCAGAAGCCAGAACTTTCTTTTGAGCTAATAAAAACAAAGGAGATACCTGAGATGAAATGGTCAAAACAAGAAATGCACATTGAGAAAAAGGAACGGAAATTAGAGATGTCCAGTGTTGAAACGTCTCCAGAAGCTGTGGTAGAAGTTGGCATTGAGGCACCACAGAAAAGGCAAGAATTTATGTCAGATAAAAAGAAAACAACTAAAGATATGCCTCTACAAAAGAGAGATGATACCCCTAGAAAAGAGATGGCCATTCAGAGAGAAATAGATGTTCACAAGAAAGAGTCTATTCACTTACAGCAGTCTGTTCATGAAAACAAGAGATTACATGAGGAAACCCCTCAGAAATCACCAGAGATAACACCAATAGTAAAACCAGAAGAAAATGGAACTATATTAAAGGAAGTCCATAAAGCACTTGAAAGAGGTAAACCTTACAGTCTTCAGCAAATGCCTTGATTGGTATATTGCAATCTTTACTTGAATTGTTTGCCTTCAGGTATTTGCTGAAAAGGCAACTGTGATTTACTTTTCTTTGTCCTTATAAGTCTTGTGCCTGCATGTTCCTCTTTAGTTTCTTGTATCTTGAATATGTTATAATTCTTAATTAGACGAGAAGACCCAGGCTGTTGCAACTCCTGTGTCAGAAGTTGTTTCTCCTACAAAAGGTACTCAAAGGAAGGCTGGGAGATTTGGTGCTATTACTCTTCAGTTCTTAGTTTAGTGTGTGATAATGTGTCTGTATGCTCATCTGTAAATGTTCATGGTCTATTTCTTCATTGTGATCATGGCTTACTTTTATTTAAAGAACCAGAAATAGTGAAGAAACCTGAACCAGAAGTCCCAAAACCAACTGTGGCTTCAGCTGAACAGAAAATATCACCTCCATCAAAAGGTATTCAGCAAAACTGGAAGAAACATTTCCCGGTATAAAAGTCTGTCTTTGATCTCATTTCTGTTTGTTTTGTATCTTCTTTTTTCATCATGTTTAAATGTTCTTTGACAAGTCCAATTACACCTTATTCCACATATGGCTTTATTATTTTTGACTGTGATTATGGTATTGTTTTAATTAAAGAGCCAACTGTTGAAAGGAAACCATCACCTGAGGCACCAAAGCCAAGTGTGACTCCAGTTGAACGGAAAATATTGCCTCTTTCAAAAGGTATTCAAAGTCACACTGTGGTAGAGCTCTTTCTGGTCTGTTTGTTAGTCTATGGTATGCGTTTGCTTGTTTTGTTAGTCTAATGATCTTTTTCTGTGCTCATCTTTACATGTTCTTTGTCCAGTCAAATAACGTCTTAGTCCCATGATTTATTTGTTCTTGTTCTTGCTTGTGATTATGGCATTGTTTTATTTAAAGAGTCAACTGTTGAAAAGAAACCAGTTCCTGAAGTACCAAAGCCAACTGTGGCTCCAGTAGAACAGAAAATAGTATCTCCTCCAAAAGGTATATAAAGCAAAAAAAAATTGCTGGTCTATAGTCTTTGGATTGATGTGTGATGTTTGTTCTTATTTGTGTTCATCTTTAAATGTTCCTTGTCCAGTCAAATGACATCTTATTCCACATTTGCCTTCTCTATTTTTGGTTGTGATTATGGTATTGTTTTATTTAAAGAGCCTACTGTTGAAAAGAAACCATCTCCTGTGGCACCAGAGCCAACAGCAGCTCCAAAAGAACAGAAAGTCTCTCCTCCCACAGGTAGAGTCTCTGTTTTCATGTATTCTGTGTCAGTTGTTATTGTTGTTGGTGTTTCCTTTTGGGTTGTTAATGTGTCTTTGTGGTCTTGTGAATTCTACTTTTAAAGTATCTTTTGAATCCTGTCATGTGATTACATGTTTGTCTTAAAACACTTGTGAGGTTGTACTTAAAATACTTTCTAACCAGTTTGACTTTTTTTTAAATGTTTTTTTAACCAAAATTATGGATGAGAGGTATCTTCTTTTGTATTACACTTTGTTTAAACATATTCATAATGAGAATTCTTTCTTCAATGGAACCCCAAAGGAAATGTTTAATAGAATGTCTGAGCAACTGTCTTCTATACAATGAAAGCGGATGGGAACCAGGGACTGTCAAGTTCCAGAAAATAAAGACCAAAAAATGCATCATAGAAGTAGTCTATATGACTTGAGTTATATTTAAAGTTTTCTGCAGACATATGATCTGAGGAACAGATTGAAATTTAAGTTAATTTCTACAAATTTAACAGCCATGGTCACAATTCACTCTCATTGAATAGAAAAGAACAGCTTGGACAGAATGCTATTTCCTTTGTATTCCACATAGGACATAAAGTCATATAAAGGGTTTTGAAAGACACAAGGGGAGTAAATGATGACAGAATTTACATTTTAAGTGAATTGTGCTTCTAACTTGTGTGTCGCTACCTGTTTAATCTGAAATGATCTCTGAAACAGATGCAGATAAGGGCCCTGTTACAGCTCCTGGACCTGCTGGCAAAGGTATGTTAATGTGTGAGTCACATGCCACAAACGAACCTTCAAATGTTTGATTATTAAACATATTCAAATCAGTTATTCAGGCAGCACATTTCACATGTCTGCTTGTTGTTCTGTTTGTTTTGTCTGCTTATTGTTTTGTTTTATTGTTCTTTTTTCTTTATTTATTTTTATGCTGTACAGTTCTGTTCGCTACTGTTTATCAGGGTTGAGGTTCATTTCATTTTAATTCCAACATTTAAAAAAAAAAAAAACACTAATGACATGGCTTCAACCCTGCTGTGTACAGGTGTCTTATGTCATGCTGATTGTACTGTCCATGTTATGTGATATTGTGACCTTTATTGCCTCAGAAACAACTAGCACCACACAAGCACTTCTTAAACAAAAGAGTAAAATTCACATCAAGGAAGAGGAAAAATTGGAAATGCCAACCGTAAAGAAAGTAACCAGAAGATCAAAAGAACATCAGGAAGATCGTGAAGTTATATCACTTAAGAAAGTAAACCAGATTCAGTGTGAAGAACCACCAACAGATGAGGGGCCACTTCTCCGGAAAGTTGAGAAAGCTGAAATAGTTGGAGAGGAGATGGTGTATTCAAAGGCTGTTACTGAAATCAAACTCGCCAGCAACTATGAAGTCACAGAAGATACTTGGTCATATGAAACCGCTACAAAAACAAAGAAAATATCTAAAGAGGAGGGAAAGAAGACTGAACAATACAAGGATGTGATGAAGAAGAAAGAGATTACTACTGAAATAGGTGGAGGAGAAGTAGAAAATAAGGGTAAACAAGGAAGTAAAATTCCAATGGAAGATGAACCTAAGATACCTCAGAAAAAGGTAACTAAGGCAATATCAACTGAGAAAGAACAGGAAACTGTCAAATTAAAACCTGCCGAGAAATTAGACAAAGCTGTTGTAGGTCCCCAGAAAGACAGCAACATAGACAGGAGCAGTGATAGTATTGGTGTCCAAAAACACGAAAGGCTTATAAAGGATGAGCCTGTTTCAAAAAAAGAAATAGATGTGACACCTACAGATCAAAAAACTAAAGAACCCATAATTCCAAAACCTGTTGTGGCTAAAGATGAAATCTCCAAAGAACCTGAGACATTTCCAAAGAAAGCAAAGAGAATTCTACCACAGGTTGAGGAGCCAGAAACTGTTACACTAAAACCATTTTCCAAAGAATCTCATGCTGATGTAACTGCTGAAATGGTTCCTCAAAAGCAAACTGAGAAAAAGCCTGTAGACATTACGCATCCAGAGAGACCGGAAACAACACATATCCTGAAGGAACCTCACATCCAGGTAAAAGAACCAGGAAAAAGTGAAAAAATATATGAAGAGGCTAAAGAGATCAAAAAGCTAGAGTCACCCCATGAGTATCAGCCCATGAAGAGTACTACTACTCCAGAAAAGACACAGGAAGGTCCCAAAGAAGAGGGGAAGGGAATAGCTAAAAAACACAAAATGATTCCAATGGATAAAACGAAAAAAGAAGAGGTATCGTTGAAACCTAAAAAAGGAAAAATAATTGCAGATAAAACTCCTTCACCAAAGGTAGATAAACCTAGTCCTCAAGTCACTCCACTGACTAAAAAGAGTCTAAAAGAGGATGATAAACCAGAAATGGCAAAAAAAATTGGTCTTTCACCAAAGGAAATTCAGAGAGAAGAGGAAATATCACTGAAGCCTATAGAACCTGCAGAGCTAAAAAAGACTCCTTCACCAAAAGTGGAGACACAAAAACCTAAACTCACTGAATCCGTTCCAATGGAAAGAAAGTCTAGTGCAAAATCACCCAAGAAGATTTCACCAAAAGATTCACTTGAGTCTGTAATTCTGAAGAAGGTCTCAAAGACAGTCTCCCCCAAAGAAGAAAAGACTACTCAGGAACCTCCTTTAAAAACTACTGAAGACAAACTGCCAATGGTAAAGGAGTTGTCTCCTAGTCTTCTGCATCTACAAAAGATTCCTACACAGCAAGAGGAGATAGTATATGAGCATGAGCAGGAGGTGGTGGATGGTGAAGAAGAAGAAACTTGGGGATGGGAACTTGCTCCTAGGGACAGTTATGGATCCGAAACCTTTGATGACGCCTTGGAGGATGGAGCTGTTGAAACCCCAGGAATGGGTGACAAGAAAGGTGAGATGGTGGCACAAAAGCTCACCACTGGTATCTCGCGGCTCCCTACAATCATTCCAAATATTATCAACTCAACTCATCCATTATTACCCTTTAACAAGTGTCTTCATTTTTTTATTATTTAGTTTTGATGTTGTGTGTCCTTCCTTTGATTTATTCGTTCTTTCATTCTTGGTTCATCAAACCCTCTTTATAAAATGTTGTGTGTCAGTGAAGTCCTGCTCTGTCATGTAACTGTTTGTCAGTCTCATTTTCATTCCTTCATCTTCATTCGTCATTTTCGTTGTGGGTGCCATTTGTACTGGGCTGTGTTTTTCAAACTTGTTTTCTTGTCTTTTATTGTCATTAATATGCTCACATATGTTATATCCTTTGTATATAATTTATAAACCAATCATTTAAGACCCTTTGCAGTTTTACCATTTCAAGCCTTTCTTAATAGTATAACAATATTTAAAACAGATGGAAAACCAAAGGAGGAACCAGCTCCAGGCAGAGGCAGAGGACTAAGACGTACGTTCATAATATACAGTACATTCGTAGTATGCATTTATAATGTTACAGTGCATGGGTTAATTTTAAAGTTATATAAGAATAATTTAAAATGGTGAAACTTTTTCTTTTTTATTGTAGCAAGACAAACTCCATCTCCTGGTGATGCTGGAAGGGGTAGAGGGCTGAGACCTGGTGGTGGAGGTGACAAGCCTCCAGGAGAATCACCATTTGGTTTCCAACTCAAAGCCGTCCCCTTGAAGTTTGTGAAGGAGCTCCAGGACATTGTGTTGCAGGAGGCTGAGTCCATTGGCTCCTCTGCTGTATTTGAGTGCCAAATCTCTCCATCTACTGCTGTCACCACCTGGATGAAAGATGGAAGCAATATAAGGGAGAGTCCAAAGCATAAATTCACATCTGATGGCAAAGACCGCAAACTGCAAATCATTGATGTACAGCTTTCAGACACTGGGGAGTACACATGTGTTGCAAAGCTTGGCAACAAGGAGAAGACCTCAACAGCTAAACTTGTTGTAGAAGGTATTTGTGACTGCTATTCTCAAAGTGTCCTTTCTAGTCACATAAAAATGTCATATGGCATTGCCTCTTGCCTCTAAAGACCATTAATGTTAATATGTTGGTACTAATAATGTATGATTGTTAAAGTTGCATTTCTTCTATCATTTCATATAGAATTACCTGTGAAATTCACAAAGAATCTGGAAGAAGAGACCTCCGTGTTCAAGGGGCAGCCAATGTATTTGACCTGTGAGTTGAACAAGGACAGAGATGCGGTCTGGAAGAAGAATGGACAAGAGATAAAGGAAATTCCTGGCAAAATTCAAATCAATGTTATTGGGCTACAGCGTACCATCACAATCCAGGACGCGAACGATGATGATGCTGGTGTTTACACATGCGAGTGTGAAAACATCAAAACTCAAACTAATGTCAAGGTTATTGGTATGTATTTGTTTTTTTAACCTTTTAATATCTTCTTAAAAACTTTGATAGATGTTTCTATATCTTCTTTAATGAATTTAGAGCCGGTGTGTGAATTTACCCATGTATGTATTCAACAGAAATCATTAGAGACTGGTTAGTGAAACCTTTGCGGGACCAGCATGTGAAGCCCAAGGCCACTGCTACATTCAAAGGCGAGCTCTTCAAGGACACCCCTAACTGGAAGTGGTACAAGGGTAACGATGAAATCCCTAATGAGCCCACAGATAAGACTGAGGTGAAGAAGGAGGGTAAAGATATTACTCTTACAATTAAAAATGCCCAGCCTGATGACGTTGCTGAGTACACTGTGGAGGTTGAAGGCCGCAGATATGCAGCAAAACTAACACTTGGAGGTTTGTTTAAAAACAGCACCACCACTTGAGGACTGTTGATTTCTGCTTATATTACCATCTGAAAACGTTGTGTATAAACATTTCTCTATAATCTCTATTCAGAACGTGAAGCGGAGATCTTGAAGCCTCTTGCTAGTATGGAGGTGGTTGAGAAAACGGAGGCCAGCTTTGATACTGAAATTTCAGAAGATGATGTGTAAAACTAACTGAAATTTCTAGTATCACATATAGGCCAAGATTAGGATGACAAAATTGAGACATTTCAATAGGCCAGTGGTTCACAAACCTCTCCATGAAGTACCCCCAGCACTGCACATTTTGTATGTCTCCGTATATCTGACACACCCACTTCAGGTCTTGCAGTCTCCACTAATGAGCTGATGAGTTGCATCAGGTGTGATAGATGAGGGAGACATACAAAATGTGCAGGGCTGGGGGTACTCCAGGACAGGTTTGAGAACCACTGTCCTAAAATATTAGTCATTCCCAGTGTTGGGGAAGCTACTTTGAAACTGTGGCTTCCCAGGCTACAAGGTAGGCATAATTTAAGTAGTTAAATAACCACTCTACCCATTTGGAGATGTAATTAAAAAACGGCTAACTGTGTAAAGCTGTTTAAGAGGGTGATATCTATTTAAATGATTTAAGTCTGTTTTATAATAAAAACATTCTTTATTTGTCACACACACACACACACAAATTGCAATGATTAGTAGCAGTGCTAATTGTAGTTAGTCTTTCCCCAACAGTATTAATACAGTTATGTAATTTTTTATAGCACATTGTTCAAAAAAATTGCTGATTCATAATTTTCTTCTATTTTAGACATGTGACATCAGATCTGAGGGAACAAAACGATTCCTTACTATCAAAAACGTTCAGCTTGATCAATCTGGAGAAGTTACATACCAAGCTCTGAATGCTGTGACAAGTGCTATGCTCACAGTAAAAGGTAAGAGAATGTTTTTTTTAAAGCATAAGAAAATGAAAATTCAAATCTACAAATGCAGATGAGTGACGATATGGACAATGTTCATTCATACCTACCAGAGTTGGAAATGGAGTTCACAGTCCCTCTGAAGGACGTTACTGTGCATGAAAAGAAACAGGCAAAGTTTGAGTGCTCCGTCAATAAGGATGTGCCTAAAGTGATTTGGTTTAAGGGTTCTGATATTGTTACACAAGGAAATAAGTATGAAATCATTGATGACGGAAAGAAACACATACTCATTATAAATAACTGTGGCTTTGAGGATGAGGGTGAATACAGTATTGAGGTCTTGGGCAAATCATCAAAAGCAAAACTGATGGTAGAGGGTAAGTCTTGGTTATCATCTTGGTTAGTGAAGTGTTGGTCAAAATACTTTCTGACAAAATTTAACAAGGGTGTTTATTAATGAGTAGTCTAACAAATAGCAAATAGTAAAAAAAACACAGTTGCTAATAAATTCACTTTTTCTAATAAATTCACTAATAATTCACTGGTTTTCAAGTTTGTAGTATATTAATTTATTGCGTCCATAGTCAATTTGTTATGCACTGAACAAATGTCGTAGGTATGAGGCTGAACTTCACCTCAACATTAAAGGACCTAACTGTGAAGGAAGGTAAAACAGCTGTATTTGAGCTTGAACTCTCTCATGAGAATGTTGCCGTGACGTGGTACAAAAATGAAATAAAAGTGCACCCAAGCAGAACCGTGTTCACCAGCGTGGTGGGAAAGAAACATACACTAGAAATTAAGGAAGTATCACTAGATGATACTTGCCTGATAAAAGCAGAGGCTAAAGGAATATCTACAATGGCTAAGCTGCTGGTAATAGGTAATTTTACCTTTATTTCACCATTAAATGTATTTGATCAGCTGCACTAATTCTTGTTTCCCCCCCTCACTGTATCATTGTGTTTGCAGTACAACAAAACCTTTTATGTAGATTACTACACATATTTTATTTTCTGAATATTATTAACACAGCAACCTGTTTTTACAGAGGGTGATGCATTTTTCAGCTCCAAGTTACAAGAATACACCGCAGTTGAGAAAGATGAAGTCACATTTGACTGCGAGCTCAGTAGAGATGTTCCTGTGAAATGGTTCAAGAATGAAATTGAAATTAAAGCCTCCAAGATGATTACTTTGAAAGCTGAAGGCAAACGGAGAATCCTCAATCTTAAGAAAGTTGAGAACAAAGATAAAGGATTATATGTTTGCGACTGTGGAACAGACAAGACTTCGGCCAACTTGAACATTGAAGGTCAGTAATTAAGGTTATATTCCTAAAATGTAAAAAACATTGCAATATTTCAGGGGTACAAGTGGGTTTTATTTGATAATTTTGTTCTAAATAGAATCTATTTAATTCCAGCTCGTGACATCAAAGTGGTGCGACCATTGTATGGTGTTGAGCTCTTTGATGGTGAGACAGCTCGTTTTGAGGTGGAAATCTCTGAAGATGATGTCCATGGCCAGTGGAAGCTGAAGGGCGAAGTCTTATCCTCGTCACCTGTGAGTACAGTTGCATCAGTAAATTCAATAAACATCTTTCACAAACATCTAGCAACATACTTAATATTTTTTCTCATGTGCTTTTTGTAAACAGGATGTTGAGATTATTGAGGATGGTGCAAAACACACATTAACACTCTACAACTGCAAAGTTTCCCAATCTGGAGAGGTGGTCTTCCAGGGAGCGAATGCTAAGTGTTCTGCAAATCTTAAAGTGAAAGGTAGTTAAAAAAATAAAATAAAATAAAAAGTATATATATATGTACTTAAAAAAAATCAAGCTAATTATTTCAGTCTAATCTAATCTTTCTGTTCATCTTTGCATAGATTTGCCCATTTCTTTTGTCATGCCTTTGAGCGATGTACAAGTCTATGAGAAAGATGATGCAAGATTTGAAATTGAAATGTCAAGAGAGGCTAAGGCCGTCCGTTGGCTAAAGGGATCTCAGGAGTTGAAGGCTGATGAAAAGTTTGAAATCCTCGTAGAAGGGAAAAGACACATTCTGGTGGTCAGATCTGCTGCCTATGAGGATGAGGCTAAGTATATGTTTGAGGCTGAGGACAAGAGGACATCTGCCAAACTTGTTATTCAGGGTAATGAAAAAAGTTATTTAACAAATTGTTATGTGCAATATATGATGCACAGTAATCACATTTCCTTCTGAAACTTTTTTCTGATAAATTTTTTTTTCTGATCTGCATTTGTCGTTCTACACAGGTATCCGTCTTGAGTTTGTCAGACCCATTAAAGATGTCACTGTTAAAGAGCGTGAGACTGCAGAATTCAGCATTGAGCTCTCTCATGAGAAGATACAAGTCACCTGGTACAAGAATGACATGCGTTTGCATCCAAGTAAAGTGGTACACATGTCAGAGGATGGCAAAACCCATACTCTGTCCTTCAAAGAGGTGTCTATTGATGACACTTCTCTAATTAAAGTTGAGGCCCTTGGGAAAAGCTCTGAAGCAATGCTCACTGTACTTGGTAAGTGTTTAAAATATTTTCTAATACATTTTATAATGACTTTAGTATAATTGACTATTGTTCTTGACAGTACATTGGTGCTGCTTTCATATTGTATCACTCTGCAGTCTCTCTTTTTTATACCAATACAAGTTACAATAGCTACAAACTTACAAACTTCTGTGAAAATTGAAATGAAAAATTTTCAGAATTAATTTTATGATGAGCATAAATAATTTGACAGATGAAAGCTCTGAGTAAGAAAATGTAAACCTCATTCATTTAGAAGAACAAGGAACAAGAAATATGAGGTGGATGACAGAGCTCTTAGAATAGAGGAAGCTAAATATGTTGGCTAACTAGTCCATAGAAAAAATAACTTTGTGTCAGGGTCTTGATCACCGTATGTGGGTTAATTTTTTATTAAATTACGTACAAGGACATTTTTGTATATTGGTAAATCATGTTGAAAACATCATGTCCTCCTCTATATCAACAGAGGGAGAACCTTACTTTACTACCAAGTTGCAGGACTACACTGCAGTTGAGAAGGATGAGGTTGTCCTGATGTGTGAAGTGAGCAAATCATCTGCTCAGGTGAAATGGTTCAAAGACGGCAAGGAGATCACTCCCTCTAAGAACGTCCTCATCAAGGCTGATGGAAAGAAACTTATCTTGACAGTGAAGAAGGCAGAGAAGGCCAACATTGGTGAATATGTGTGTGACTGCGGCTCTGACAAAACAGCAGCCAAGCTTAACATTGAAGGTATGTATTTTTTGTTTGTTTTATTAATCCATATACAGATTAATAGATTAAAATTGAGAAAATTACTATGAACTCGTATAACTTTGCCTCTCCTCTCATGTTCTTTGCAGAACGTGATATTAAGTTTATCCGTCCACTGTACAGTGTGGAGGTCACAGAGACAGAGACTGCTCGCTTTGAGACAGAAATCACTGAGGAGGATGTTCATGGTAACTGGAAACTCAAAGGAGAGGCCCTGCACCAGTCTGCCGTAAGGGTTTCCTGCAATGCATGTTTTATATATAGATTTATTATATATAGATATATACACACAGTATATACATATATTAGTGCTGGGCAACGATTAAATATTTGTGATATCACAAATCCCTGGAAAATATGCGTTGTAGTCCAAACGAGTCGTTCGTTGTAGTTTTTGAAAAGTGATTTCTGTTAAATAAAATTGCAGCAAGAGTGATAGATCTGTAAAGCAATATATTGTCCCAAACGACTTAAAATAATAAACCACAAAGTTAACAAAACGATACACTCCACTGTGCTGAGCTAGAGCGCTTCTCTGCTGTCTTCACATGCTATCGGAAACTTACTATTTCCCACTTATGAGTCGTGAGCGCTTCATGTGAGCGCTGCTGCAGTCTTAGGTCCACCCCATATGCTCTCATTTTGTTGAGACGCGTGATGACACCCATCCCAAGCCAGTACTGATCAACATCCCACCCCTCCTGTGACCCATGGTTTGTCTGTGTGTGTATTCAGAGCCAGTGAGCAACGGACTTTCATAATAATAAAAAACAGCGTTAACGTGCGATAAAATAATTGTCGGTGTTAATCAATTAATGCGTTAACGCGATAATAATGCGTTAACTTGCCCAGCCCTAATATATATATATATATTTTATTTTTTTTCATATTATGTCAATGTTTTCAGCCCCCAAAAATGTGCTTGTTTCACTCAGGACTGTGAGATTAAGGAGGAAGGCACCAAGCACATGCTTATTCTTTACAATGTTCACATGGATATGGCTGGTGGTGTGGACTTCAGTGCTGCTAATGCTAAATCAAGTGCTCAGCTCAGAGTTAAAGGTGAGAATCCTCATAAGTGAATAAAAAAATAAGCATGCAGCCAATATTATTCTCTGTAACCAATTAGTTTTATAACTTAGGCTTTGTGTTTCATAACACAAAGCCTAAGTGTAACCTTTTTAAATTGGTAACGAAACAACCTGCATTCTTGTTTCACTGAAGAAAAAAATTTTTTTTTTGAGTGGCAGTAACTGATAACTTGGTAGTCAACAGCCAGTCAGGCCTCAAGACTATTTTAGAAGTCCCATGCCTTATCAGGAGAGGGTGGGGGTGATTGGCAGAACTGAAACATGCCTCCTAGTTTATCTGACCACAGGCAGTGCATGGAATCTCAATATGCTAATGATATAGGATCCTGTGTGAATCTGAATAGTCCTTCAGGCTGCAAAATATAACCTAGTGATAGAGCAGAATGACAAATTGTAGTAGTAGGATTGTCTCTTCTTCTTATTAAGGATGTCCATTTCCTCCTCTAAAGCACGCACAATTGGCCTCCTGCGACCTCTTCGGGATGTCACTGTCACTGCTGGAGAGACTGCCACCTTTGACTGTGAGCTCTCATATGAAGATATTCCAGTTGAATGGTTCGTTGGCTCAACAAAGATGGAGCCAAATGATAGGGTGAGATTCTTTTCTGTAGATTTTGTTAGATTTAATTGTTAATTTGAGCATCATCAATTCAGTTTTGTTCCTGTCTGAATGTTTAAGATTTCATTGTTATTCACTGTGACTTCAGTTGTAGTTATGGAAAAATTACAATAGACTATAGTTTAACTATACAGTGTACACACACACAGTATGTATATTTTTTTGTCTTAGCGTGACAATTCCAAGTAGAAAAGTCTTTATATAAAGATTTTCTGCATATAAGGACTTCCAGCACTTGTTCAAAGTTTTGAGATAACGCTGGGCCATTCTGCCCTGTAGGCGCCCTTCTGGTTATTTTTAACTGCTTCAAGAGTGTTGTTGAAGTGGTGGTATAGTGAACTTCATAATCATTAGACATTTGATAAAATATATATCTCTTTCATTTTAATGTTTGACTTCAAGAAAATATGCTTCTTATGTAATTATTTATCACATATATATATTCTAACAATGCATTTGTTGTTTTTACATAGCTTAAATTAGACAGATAACTAAGAAAGAGATCGTTTTGTTTTATAATTTAAAGGCACTTTCTCATTTTTGTTGATTTTGCCACTTAATTTTTCCTTTGCTTTCAGAGTTTTTATATAAAAAATGTGGGGGAAAAAGCATTTGATAAAACCACTCAACCTAAAAAATTATGCCACACTGTTGTGTTCAGGTGGTCACCAGAGCAGAAGGAAGACTGCATTCTCTGACTCTAAGAGACATCAAGATGACAGAGGCCGGGGAAGTGAAACTTACTGCAAAGGACTTTGTGACCCAGGCCAAACTTACTGTGAATGGTATGTTTTTGAAATAAATAAACACCCCAATGTTATTGTAGTATCATTGAGATACTATTTTAGTTTTTATTAATATTTTGAATTAGTTTTTATTTTAATATTTATAATTTGAATTTTTAGTTTTAGTAATTTTGTTGTGTTTTCCCAAAGTTTTTTTGTTTAATTTGTCTACATAATTTTTATTACATTTTATTGCAGTTTTAGTTATCTTAAGTTTTTTATATATTTAATCATATTTATTTTATTTAACTTTTTTTTCAAGTAATAAAATATGTTTTTTATGGTTGTAGTTTTAGTTTACTGCAATAACACATGTATTCCTATCAATGTAATAACCCTAGAACACCTGTATTCCTATTGGATAGAAAATATAGGCATATATAGAGATTGCTTATGGTTTCAAATTACCACATTACATATCACAGAGCCACCAGTTGAGTTCACCAAGCCCTTGGAGGACCAGACTGTTGAGGAGGAAGCCACAGCCATTCTGGAGTGTGAACTGTCCAGGGAGAAGGCTGATGTGAAGTGGTTCAGAGACGGACAGGAAATTCGTAAAACCAAGAAGTATGAGATGGTGGCTGAGGGACGCATAAGGAGACTGATCATCAAGGACTGTAGCCTTGATGACTCCAAGACATATACCTGTTATTTTTTTTTTTTCAGCTCCATTTGTTGAATTCACAAAGCCTCTCCATGATGTTGAGGTTAAGGAGAAGGAATCTGCTAAGTTTGAATGCGAAGTGTCCCGTGAAAGTGCCAAGGTATTTTTAACGGAAATCTCTGTGCACAGATAGTGGAGTCAAGAAGTCTGAGACTACTAGTGAAGCTGTGCCTGATTTACATTTTAAATTTAATGCAGTCGTTTTAATTACAAATTATATTATTAGCAATGCAATTTTAGTGAAAAGCTGAACTAAAAAATGTGCATGATTTTCAGAATTTCGTAGAATTTAAAATGTCTTTCTTAAACAACAGTATGCACACAAGCTCTGACGATACAGAGTGGATTGATTCATAACTGTTTGTTGCACAGGTCCGCTGGTTCAAAGATGGTGCTGAGATCAGAAAAGGCAAAAAGTATGAGATTATTGCCAAGGGATTACAGCGTATTCTCATCATCAGCAAGGCAGTATTTGATGATGAAGCAGAATATGAATGTGATGCAAGGACATCCAAATCCTCTGGAATGCTGACAGTTGTCGGTAAGTTTTGTTTCAGCCATTGTTCTAAAATAAAGCTAAAATAAAGACATTAATGACTATTCCTTTTGCCTTACAGAGGAGGAAGCTAGATTCACAAAGAACCTGTCCAATGTTGAGGGCACGGAAACCGACAGCATTAAGATGATTTGTGAGGTCTCCAAACCCAGTGCGGAGGTTACGTGGTACAAGGCTGACCAGGAGATTCCCGAGGGTGGTAGACATGAACATGTTGCAGATGGGAGAAAGAGAATTCTCATCATACAGGACCTCCGTATGGATGATGCTGGCGAGTACCAGTGCAAACTGCCTGCTTCAGAAACAAAAGGAACTCTAAAGATCAGTGGTAAGTTTTAAGCTTAGATTCTTTCAAACTCACTGTTATATTAAAGTCCTACAAGCTCAGGGTTCCCATGGTCATGTAAAACCTAGAAAAGTAAGGAATTTTAAAATTGTGATTTCCAGGCCTGGAAAAGTCATGGAATTTTCTAAAATTAATATATAGATTTCTAGCTATTAAATATTTTGTTTGCTCTTATTGAGTGCAATTTCTTTAAAATTGTTTTCGAAATTCAAGTTTATTGGTCAAAAGGTGTGGGAATCATGATGCACTAAATAATCACACTGATAATTTAATTAGGCATTGATTTACCTAAAATTGAGTCTCTTTATTGCTTTAGAATTGGCAGCTGAGTTCATTGCCAGGCCCCAAAACCAAGAGGCTGTTGAGGGCGAAAAGGCTGAGTTTGTTTGCTCAGTGTCTAAGGAAAATTATGAAGTCAAATGGTTCAAAGGAGACAAAGAACTTACAACTGATGATAAGTATGAAATTGTCAGTGATGGCAAGAGGAGGGCACTCATTGTCAAAAACTGCGAGGTAAAAGATGAGGGTGCATTCACTGCCCACATTGGCTCTGTAAAGGCTTCAGCAGACTTGTTGGTGATTGGTAAGTTTTTTGTTGTTGTTGTTGTTGTTAGTATATATTTCTGTAAAGGTCTTCAAATGTTTCATTCTGAATTGTCATATTAAACTGAACTAAATATGGGTACCATTACTTGTCTCATTAGAAAAACTGAGGATAATCACTCCCATCAAGGATACCCAAGTAAAGGAAGGACAAGAGATTGTTCTTAACTGCGAGGTGAACTCAGAGGGAGCTAAAGCCAAATGGCTGAAGAACAATGAGATGATGTTTGAGAGCAGCAAGTTTGTCATGGTTCAGAGAGACACTGTGTTCTCTCTGAGAATAAAAGCTGCAGAAAAGGCCGATGAAGCCAGCTATACCATTACACTGACTAACCAACGCGGAGAGCAGGCCAAGTGCTCTGCTAATGTCAATGTACTAGGTGTGTTGTTATTATATGTCTGCCTTTTATACCTAGTGTATTTTGTTAGCAGTATATGTACAATGCTAATACACATTTTTTTGCATCCACAGAGGAAGCCCTCAAGATCATTGTGCCACTAGAGGACTGTGAAATAGAGGAAAAGAAGACCATAACTTTCACTTGCAAAGTGAACAGACCAAATGTGACAGTCCAGTGGATGAAGGCCGGTCAAGAGATTACTTTCAGCAAACGTATTCTGTATCGTGTGGACAAGGACAAGCACACTCTGACCATTAAGGACTGCAGTCTTGCAGACGAGGGTGAATACAGTGTAGTTGCTGGTGCTGATAAGTCCACAGCAGAACTGATCATCAGTGAGGCACCCGCTGACTTCACCGCTCAACTCAGAGACCAAACCATCACTGAGTTTGAGGATGCTGAGTTCACTTGCAAATTGTCTAAGGAAAAAGCCCACGTTAAATGGTACAGGAACGGACGTGAAATCAGAGAAGGACCAAGGTGAGTTCTGAACCATGAAAGAAAGTACTCTGTAATAATGTGAAAATGTTTGCTAATGAACATGATCTTTTTTTCAGATATCATATGGAAAAAGATGAAAAAGAATGCAAGCTTGTAATCAAAGAGTGCAGACCAGATGATGAATGTGAATATGCCTGTGGAGTGGAAGACAAAAGGACAAGGGCACGTCTCTTTGTTGAAGGTATTTTTCACAGCATCTTACTGGTATTTACAGTGGATGTAGAAAAGAATCACCCCCCTTTAAATTAATCACATTTTGTTGCTTTGCAAATGCGATCCACAAATAAATCTTAGAGTTTCACAAACGTATTGAATTCACAAATAAATAAAATGAGATTTGCAAATAAAAAACATATTCACAAGTATGTTTTTATGTCACAAACAACAACTTTGCCTGGCATTCATTTGTGAATTGCGTCCTGTGCATTTGTAGATTGCTACACGAATTTGTGGATTTTTAAACATTTCTAGCATCAAGACAAATCTACAAATGCATCAACTCCACCCACCGTCTACTCAAGCCAATCAGATAACAGCCACAGTTCGCTGACCAATCGTATGCACGTTCTCGCTATACCCAGTCACATTTTGCTTTACAATCAGGGCGGGAGCGGATTCATTTTGCACCCCTGTAAGGAACTGCATTATAGACACTTCGTTCAAATTGAGCTGAACTTAAGTGCTGTTTGTGTGGTTAAAAAACTGTTTCCAAAAGACTGTTGGAGTGTAAGGCTTCTTTATATTTCCATCAGGATCAGTGAATGAGGATAAACTCAGGATTATACACAACTTATAATCATTCACAGATCCCGAGCATCATCAGTAACACCCTCGCGATGCGCCCATAGCAAATAGAAATCATTATAATCAGCAATACTGTCTACACTGGACGAGGCATGACACGATAAAAGACAAATGATTCATGCATTTTCTTTGATGCGTACAGTTGCAGTTGTTACAGCTGTTGCAGCGCAGCGCGACAGCGAACGGGGTAGACACAGCGTAAGACATGGCACAATGGCTTATTTGGCCTTTTAAAGCACAATCGCGGTGACAAATATAGGGCATAATAACACATATAATAACAACTATCATCTGGGTACCAGCCTCAGCATCACTCTACCGTGTACTGGGGATTTGTGAGTGAACGATGTAAATAAAAACCATGCATTTACTTTGGATGCTGTTAAGTAATTTTTACAATCAAAACTAGTAAGTCTGATTTAAAGTGCTGTTTCTCTGGCATTTTCAAAGGCATGTAAAATATAATACTGTGCCTAGGCTTGATACACAGTCTAATGGTCTAACAAATTCAAATTTTAAACATCTTTTACTGTAACAATTTTTATGGTCCTTATATTTCCTATTTGAGCAAATGCAGATGAATGAGACCGCACTGAACAAATGCACAAATGCATGCAGCGATCTACAAACACACAGGATGTGATTCACAAATGAATGCCAGGCAAAGTTGTGTATGTGACATAAAAAAGATATTTGTGAATATGTTTTTTTATTTGCAAATCTCATTTTATTTATTTGTGAATTTAATTCATATTTGTGAAACTCTAAAATTTATTTGAGGATCATAATCTATTTATTTGGAATTATGCAACAATTCTTATCTCCATATTATATAGCCAGATGATTTGATTTGCTAATGCCATCTTTCTTTTCTTTCTTCAACAGAGATTCCAGTAGAAATTGTCAGGCCACCCACAGATGTATTTGAGCCTCCAGCATCAGATATTGTGTTTGAGGCTGAACTAAATAAGGACAGAGTTGAGATCAAATGGATGAGGAACAACATGATCATTGTCCAGGGTGACAAATACCAGATGATCAGTGAGGGCAAAGTTCATAGACTGCAGGTGTGTGAGATCAGACCCCGTGATCAGGGAGAATACAGGATTGTTGCCAAGGAAAAGGATGCCAGAGCCAAGCTTGAGCTTGCAGGTATGATACAGTGAGAGTTAATGATTTTAATGCGGTTTAGGTTTTGATATACTGTAAAGGGATATATTTGTTAATGTTTTATACCTTTCTTTACAGCTATTCCAAAGATCAAGACTACAGATCAGAACCTTGTAACAGATGCTGGAAAGCCTTTCGTCATGACGGTTCCCTATGATGCTTATCCTCGTGCTGAGGCAGAATGGTTTTACAATGACATCAGCCTTCCTGGGCAAAACATTGACACATCCAATGAACGGACAGAGTACAGGCTGAAGGACCCTAAGAAGTCAGACCAGGGTCGTTACAAGATTGTCATCAAGAACAAACATGGAACAGGAGAGGCTTTCATTAATCTTGATGTCATTGGTAAGCAGGAAATCAAACTAGATGATTTACAGACAATTTAACTGTTCTAGATGTCTGATAAAAGTGTTGTTGTAGATGTTCCGGGACCTGTAAAGAACCTGCATGTTGTTGACACTGCTGATGGTGAGGTCAGCCTTGCTTGGGAGGAACCAGAAAGTGATGGTGGAAGCAAGATCTTGGCTTATGTGGTTGAGAGACGAGATGTCAAACGCAAGACCTGGACAATGGCCACAGACCGTGCGGACATTCCAGAGTACTGTGTTGGTGGATTGCAGAGGGACAACAAGTATTTCTTCCGTGTATGTGCTCGCAATAGAGTTGGAAATGGCGAGCTTGTTACTACTGATGAGGCAGTTCAAGCCAAAAACAAATTTGGTGAGCTATGCTTCAGTTTATTTCTTGATTTTCTGGTAGGAGGTGAGAATGTATCAACTAATTTTACATGGTCTTAAAAATATTTTTAAATTATTTTTCTGCTTCTAACAGATGTGCCTGACGCACCTCAGAAGGTTATGGTTGGAGTTGTCAATAGGTTTGGTGCCACAGTTTCCTGGGAACCACCACTTTTTGATGGAGGATCTGAGATCACATCTTATATCATTGAACTACGTGACAGAACGTCTGTGAAATGGGAGCCTGCTATGGTGGTCAAAGCTGAGGATCACACAGCCACACTCAATGATGTTGTCGAAAACAAAGAGTACATCTTTAGGGTCAGAGCTGAGAACAAAGCTGGAATTGGCCAGCCAAGCGCTGCTACAGATCCAGTGAAGATCATGGATCCCATTGGTTAGTAGGGTTTATATTTTGCTCGCTATGTCTTGAGTTGTTGCAAAAGTCATTGTCAAACATTAAATTTTGTCTCCTATTACAGAGAGGCCAAGTCCACCTCTGAACTTCAGCTATACAAATCAGACCAAAGACTCAGTTCAGCTGTCATGGGAGACACCAATTAGCAATGGAGGCAGTATGATTACGGGCTACATCATTGAGAAGTGTGAAGATGGTACTGACAAGTGGTGGAGATGTAACGCTAGGCTTTGCCCTGACCTTTACTACAGGGTATGTCATGTTGATTAATTTTGTGTTTTGGATTTAACAAAATGTATTATCATATGAAAAGATCATCTTTTTTTATAATGTGTTTATTCATGTATCCTACATCCTACATTAAGGTTTCTGGACTGAAGTTTGGTCAGAAGTATCACTACAGAGTATGTGCAGAAAATGCTGCTGGCGTTTCTGATCCAGCTGATGCAATTGGGCCACTTTTGGCCGATGATCCTCACGGTAAGCCATTTTAAATTTCCCTTAAAGACAGGTAAATATATGAACACACATCATTTTAAATGTGTACATTTTCTTTTCCACCTTTAGTGGGTCCCACAATGGACCTCAGTGGATTTAAAAATGGTCTGGAGGTCATTGTTCCCAATGCTCTTGTCATCCGAGTTCCCATTACGGGATATCCTGTCCCCAAACCCAAGTGGACATTTGGTGACAAAGAGTTCACTGCAGGTGACCGTGTTTCCATGGTTACGAGGCCTACATACACCGAACTGGTTGTTGCTCCAAGTGTGCGTCCAGACAAAGGAACATACACATTACAACTGGAGAATGATGTGACAACTGTCTCTGGAGAGATTGAAGTCAATGTTATTGGTATGCACATTTTCTTTCTACTATATTCTCCTACGACGTTGTTGTTTTTGTGCAGCAATTAATGTACATTCCCATTTTTTGCACCTTTCAGCATGTCCAAGTGCACCCAAAGACTTCAAAGTTGCAGAGGTGACCAGACATCATGTGCATCTAATGTGGGAAGCACCAGAGCATGATGGAGGCAGCCCTGTAAGTGGGTACAATATTGAGAAAAGAGAGGTTTCCCGCAAGACCTGGGTCAAGGTGAGCTGTTTTTAACAGTTACTTGTTTACAGTATTTGTACACTCAGTGAAACATTTAGGTTCTAACAACATCTGCTCTTCAGGTGATGTCAGGCGTACAGGACCTCGAGTACACCGTCACAGATGTCATTGAGGGCAAGGAGTACTTGTTCAGTGTTATTGCTTGCAACAAATGTGGACCAGGAGAGCCAGCATACATTGATGAACCCGTGAATGTGTCCTCCCCAGCCAGTAAGTCTTAAAAAGTGTTACATTCTTTTAGTTTGAGGGGTATGAAATAAAGAACAATTTGACAGTGAATGAAACTTGTTTGAAATACAGCTGTCCCTGACCCTCCTGAGAACCTGAAATGGAGAGACAAATCAGCGAAGAACATCTTCCTGCTCTGGGAACCTCCCAGATATGATGGTGGTGCTGCTATCAAGGGCTACATTGTTGATAAATGCCAGCGTGGCACTGACAAATGGGAAGCCTGTGGAGATCCCATACCTGAGCTTAAGTGAGTGGTGATTCTTCATGAGCATCCCTGTAATGGCACATAGTGTGTTTAATAATTATTCATATGTGTCTGTAACCTTTATCATTATACGTATCCCAGGTTCCAGGTGACTGGTCTTATTGAAGGTCAGTGGTATGCCTATCGTGTGAGAGCAGTGAACAGACTTGGAGCCAGCCGACCATGCAAGGCTACAGATGAGATCCTGGCTGTAGATCCTAAAGGTTAGTGATCTAGGTCCATCAATGTAATAGTTAAATAATAGTTAGAATTCACTATATATTAACATTTACATTATATTACAGAGCCACCAGAAATCCAGCTGGATGTGAAGCTTCTAGCAGGCTTAACTGCTAGGGCTGGCTCTAAGATTGACTTGCCAGCTGATGTGCTTGGCAAGCCGGAGCCAAGAGTAAAATGGACAAAGGCTGACCTTGTCCTGAAACCAGATGATAGGATTACTATCGACACAAAACCTGGCCATTCCACACTTTCCATTGCAAACACAACCAGATCTGACACGGCCACCTATATCATTGAGGCAGTCAACACTAGTGGCCGTGCCACTGCAACTGTTGACGTCAACATTCTTGGTATGGTGTTATCTGTCATTTCAGCATAATCAAATTAAGAAATCAGTGGTAATTGTAAATATTAATGTCTTGTCATTATGTTGAAAAACAGACAAACCTGGCCCTCCGGCTGCTTTTGATATCTCTGAAATCACCAATGAATCCTGCTGTCTGGCCTGGAATGCTCCCAGAGATGATGGTGGCTCCCCAGTAACCAATTACATTGTAGAGATGAGACCCACAGATAAAGAAGAGTGGCAGAAACTGTCTGCTACAATCAAACAAACTGCTTTCAAAGCCTCCAAACTGGTTCCTATGAAAGAGTATATCTTTAGAGTGTCTGCTGAGAACCAGTATGGCATTGGGACTCCTGCAGAGCATGTGCCTATTGTTGCAAAGTATTCATTTGGTAAGCGTACAACACACTATATTATTTATTTATTTATTACCTAACATTTACAAAATTAAGTATCTTTCTCTGTCACTCAGATACCCCTGGGTCACCAACCAGGGTTCAGCCTTCTGATATCACAAAGGATGCTGTAACTCTGACTTGGTTTGAGCCTGATGAAGACGGTGGAAGCCCCATCACTGGTTACTGGGTTGAGAGGTTTGATCCTGAGACTGACAAATGGATCAGGTGTAACAAGCTGCCAGCTAAGGACACATCGTACAGGTAGGGTAATCATTTTCATTGTGTCTGTATTTAAATGGTAAAGGAAGTGCAAAACTCTAGAAAGTCTCTAATTAATGTTACCTTTTCAGGGTGAAAGGTTTGCCAACAAAGAAGAAGTACAGGTTCCGTGTTTTGGCTGAGAATCTTGCAGGACCAGGAAAGCCAAGTGCTGAGACTGACCCAGTTTTGATTAAAGATCCAATTGGTATGTTATGGATTTATTTTTCAATGTTGATGCAATTAAATAATTAACATTTGAAATAATGAATCTCAAATGTTATTTTAGATCCTCCTTGGGCTCCTGGGAAACCATTCATCAAAGACATTGCCAAGACTTCAGCACACCTGCAGTGGACCAGACCTGAGCATGATGGCGGCGCTAAGATTGAGTCCTACATAATTGAGCTTCAAAAGAGTGGAACTGAGGAATGGGTTCGTGTAGCTGAGGATGTGCCAACAACAGAGCATTTATTGAAGGGTCTGATGGAGAAGCAGGAGTATTCTTTTAGAGTCAAGGCTGTCAATGTTGCTGGAGAGAGTGAACCCAGTGATCCAAGTGACCCTGTTGTCTGCAAAGAGAGACTTTGTGAGTGTTTACAGAAGATTCGAAAAGTGATTCGTTTAATAATTATGGTCATTATAGTCAACTATTATATATATCAAGATCATATCATCAAGAATATATCTAGATATCAGTATCTAGAAGTCAAAAAGCAAGACATTTATTTGTATGTGTACGATGACTTAACCAGAATGTTATCATAATATCAAACCTCAATTTTCAATACATTTATTTTTGTATTCAACCTGCAATGATCTGTAAACAATAATATTATTTTTGTTATTCTCATTCCAACAGATCCTCCAAATGCCCCACGCTGGCTTGAGGTGGTTAACATTACTAAAATCAACTGTGACCTGAAATGGACTGAACCAGATAGTGATGGTGGCTCTCCGATCACCAACTATGTTGTTGAGAAGAGGGACGTCAGACGCAGGGCCTGGCAGCCTGTGGATACCACAGTGAAAGATGCCAAGTATACTGTCACTCCGCTGAATGAAGGCTCTCTTTATGTGTTCCGTGTTGCTGCTGAGAATGCAGTTGGTGTAAGCGAGTTTTGTGAACTAGAGGACTCTGTTTTGGCCAAGGATACTTTCAGTAAGTTGAACAACATTTTATCTGTAGCTATTTTATATATTTATGTATGTGTGTGTGTTAGTTTTCATTAAAATTAGTCATTCTTGTCTTTTCTAGCAAACCCTGGACCACCCTACGCTTTGACTGTTGTTGAGGTGTCCAAGAGACATGTTGACCTGAAATGGGAACCACCCAGCAGTGATGGTGGAAGACCCATAACCAAGTATGAACATTAAGTATAAAACACTGGTTTTGTAAAATTCAAACAAAATGATGTGTTTTGCATGTGGTGTTCCAAGGCAGAAAGAGAAAAGTCTTATGAACCATTCTTTTCATAGGTATGTTATTGAGAAGAAAGAGAAGGTAGGCACACGCTGGGTAAAGTCTGGAAAGACATCTGGCCCTGAATGCAAGTACAGGGTGACTGATGTTGATGAAGGCTCTGAGGTACAGTTCCAGGTCCGTGCTGAGAATGAAGCTGGAGTTGGCCACCCAAGTGAACCTACTGTTATCATGACCATTGAGGATCCCATAAGTATGTTAACTTTATGCATAATTGCATAGCATTCGACACATACAGGTCTAATGCTAGTAATAGAAGATTATGTACACACCATAATCGTCATTGATTAATGTGGATTTTTAGGTCCACCTTCTCCTCCACTTGAAGTCAAGATTGTTGATGCCAGCAGAGAGCACATCAACATTACATGGAAAGCTCCAGAAAAGAATGGCGGAAGTCCAGTCACAGGCTACCATGTTGAGCTGTCGGAAGCTGGAACTGAGAAGTGGATGAGGATTAATGCTCGTCCTGTCAAAGAGCTCAGGTTTAAGGCTGAGGAAGGCATCATTCCTGCGAAAAAATATGTTCTGAGAGTTCGTGCTATCAATGCGATTGGAGTCAGTGATCCCTCTGAAATTTCAGATGGTGTCTTTGCTAAAGACCCTGACTGTAAGGACTATTCAGTTATTCATTGTGAATGAGTGTATATAAGTGTGTGTGTGTATATATATATTTTTTTTATTGTTCTGGCACTGGTATTTAATACATCTTTCAATATTTTAAAGGTGCACCAACCATGGATCTCAAGACCCAAGACATTGTAATTGTTGAGGGTGAGAAGATGGATGTAAAAATCCCATACAGAGCAATACCAAAACCATCAATGGTCTGGAAAAAGGGTGACACTGAATTAAAGACTGAAGACAGACTGACGTTGACATGTGAACTCAATCGCGTTCACCTGGAGCTTCTCAAGTGTAAACACGAAGATGCTGGCGAGTACACTGTTACTCTTGAGAACAGTCTGGGTTCAGTAACTGGCACAATCACCGTAAAAGTGATCGGTAAGAAACTATTTAGTTATACAAACTGTCTTAACTGATTCCACTTGTCACACTTATAAAGCCTACTGCTCAAAAATACCTCAATGCCTCATATTTTCCATTAAAAGGCCTGCCTGGACAATGTAAGGACATCTCTTCCAGTGAGGTCACCAAGGACTCTTGCAAGATCTCTTGGGAGCCTCCAGAAAGTGATGGTGGTAGCCCGATCTTGCACTATGTTCTAGAGCGTAGGGAAGCTCAGAAGAAGACATTTTTACCTGTGATGTCTAGAGACAGTGTTTTAAGTTTTGTGGTCAAAGATCTTATGCTCAATGGTGAATATTACTTCAGAGTGAAGGCTGTCAACAAGATTGGTAGTGGCGAGTTTCTTGAACTCCGTAATCCTGTCATAACAGAAGAACAAAAACGTAAGTTTAATTAATTTTTTTAATTAATATTAATTATATTTTATGTACATTCTTATTATCTATTATTTTTATTATTATCATTATTAATTATAGAACGCCCAGACCCACCAATTGAGGTTGAAGGACACAATCCCACCTCAAATTCGATCACTGTTACTTGGATGGCTCCACCATATGATGGTGGATGCCCAATCACAGGGTACATTCTTGAGAAGATTGAAAAAGATGGTGACAGATTTGAAAGATGCATTCCAAATCTGGTACCTGGTTTCTCCTACACTGTTACTGGCTTGACGGAAGGAAAGGAATACCAGTTCCGTGTCCGTGCAGAGAACATTGCAGGAGCAAGTGACCCATCTCGCAGTACACCATTGATTAAGGCTGCTGATCCTGTTGGTATGTTAAAAAACAAAATCTATTACAGTTTCGTTTCGAATATGTGAACTTTTCTAACTCTTCAGTGTGTCAAGTAAAACATTACATATAACAGTTTTGTTTTTGTTTGTTTTTTTTCAGAACCACCAAAGGTATCACTCCATGCCCGTATTGCATCTGGCCTCAGTATCAAAAAGGGCGAGGAGATTAGATTGGATACTTACATATCTGGATCTCCCTACCCAACTGTTACATGGCTTAGAAATGATGAGAATGTGAGGCAGCCACCAGCTAAGAAAAAAACAGAAATTGTGAAAAAGAAGAAAAAGTCTGTTCAGCCTGAACCCGAAGAAGAATTCCATCCACCACTTTTAGATCGCCTGTCATTCGACCAGAGCAAAAGGAGTGAAACTGCGCTGATGGTGCGTGATGCCATCAGAACTGACCATGGAATTTTCACTATCAGAGTTGAGAATCCCCATGGTTTTGCAACAGCGTCGTGTGAAGTCAATGTTCTTGGCGAGTTACTTTTGGAACTACAATGATTATCTTCTTAAGAATTTATTTAATGAAAAAAATGTATTAACATTTCTGCTTGTTGTAACTTACAGATAAGCCTGGCCCCCCTGTTAACTTTGGATTTGATGAGATCAGGAACACCTCTGTTGTTTGCATGTGGGATGCACCTCTTGATGATGGTGGCAGTGAGATCATCAACTACATACTGGAAAAGAAAGACAACACTACTGATGAGATTGGTTGGGTAACTGTGACCTCGACCCACAAGGGATACAATTACCCTGTAACCAAGCTTATTGAAGGAAAGGAGTACATCTTCAGAGTCACAGCCGAAAACAAGTTTGGCTGTGGACATCCATGCTACTCTGAACCACTTATTGCGAAGAATCAGTTTGGTAAATTATATTTTAGTTATACTTTGAACAGTAGTTGTCTTATATTATGGCTTATTTGAAATTATTTGAATATTGTTTTTCAGAACCACCTGATGCTCCCAACATACCTAGAATTGGAGAGGTCACCTCCAGCACAGCTGCTCTCAGCTGGCATGAGCCAAAGGACAATGGTAGCCCTATCTTGGGCTATTGGGTTGAGAGACGTGAAGTCAACAGCAAATATTGGACCAGAGTGAACAACAATCTTCTTAATGCATTGTCGGTTAAGGTTGAGGGTCTTATGGAAGGCCTTGTTTACATATTCAGGGTCTGTGCTGAAAATCTTGCTGGCCCGGGAGAATTCAGTCCACCAACTGACCCTCAGACTGCAATGGATGCAATCTGTAAGTGTGAAAAATGAAAATGTAACATTAAAAATATGGAAATATGGCTATCAATTGGTATAAATATTTAATTGTGATTGGTTTCATAGTTTCTTTTTTTTATCAGTATAAAATTCATGGTAACACTTTAGGGACAAATTCTCACTATTAACTAATTGCTTATTATCATGCATATTACTAGCATATTGGCTGTTTATTAGTACCTATAAAGCACATACTAATGCCTTATTCTGCATGACCATATTTTAGATCCCTTAATCCTACCCCATACCTAAACCTAACATCTACCTTACTAATTATTAATAAACAGCAAATTAGGAGTTTATTGAGGCAAAGGGTGTATTTAATAGTTAGTTAATAGTGAGAAATGATCACCACACTAAAGTGCTACCAAACTCATGATTTATACTAAATGTAACAATATTTTTGCAGTACCACCTGGCCCTCCTGCACCAAAAATTGTTGATGTCACAAATACAACTATCGATATCAGTTGGGTACCTCCATTGTACAATGGTGGTGGAGAAATCCTTGGATATCATGTTGAGCGCTGTCTGGTTGGAGAGAAAGAGTGGGTCCGCTGCACTGAGTTTAGATGCAAAGACCGCAAATACACTGTGACTGGACTGACTGAGGGAGCAGATTATTACCTTCGTGTGTACGCTGTAAATGAAGCAGGTCATGGTGCCCCAGGCATGACTGAACCTGTTCAGGCCAAAGAACCTGAAGGTATGTAGAAAAACTTGTGGCACTTTCTACTTTCTACAAACAGTGAGTGCAACGGAGGACCTAAAGCTCTTAATTTGATTTTTTTTCAAACAATGAGTCTCGATTTAGATATCTCTCAGCATTGCTTTGCAATTATTAGAGAAATTCTAATCCAATTTTAAATCTGTACTGAATTAACAGAGGCCCCAGGGGTTGAGTTTGATGTCTCTGTAAGGAATGGAGTCATCATTAGAGCTGGAGAAACGTTGCGTCTCCCTGCTGTTGTTACTGGTCGCCCTGTACCAGAAGTTAAGTGGACAAAAGATGATGCAGAGCCAGACAAGGAACACACAGTTATTGAGACAGAAGGAAAAAACAGCAGTTTAACCATCAAAAAAGCTTCGGCATGTCCAGTGACTGGACTGACTGAGGGAGCTGACTATTACCTTCGTGTATACGCTGTAAATGAAGCAGGTCATGGAGCACCAGGCATGACTGAACCTGTTCAGGCCAAAGAGCCAGAAGGTATGTTAAAAAACTTGTTGCACTTTCTCCTTTCTACAAACAGTGAGTGCAACAGAGGACCTAACACTCTTTAAACAATGAGCCCCGATTTAGATATGTCTCAGCATTGCTTTGCGCCTATTAGATAAATTATGATCAAATTTTAAATCTGTACTTGAATTTACAGAGGCCCCAGGGGTTGAGTTTGATGTCACTGTAAAGAATGGAGTCATCATTAGAGCTGGAGAAACATTGCGTCTCCCTGCTGTTGTTACTGGTCGCCCTGTACCAGAAGTTAAGTGGACAAAAGATGATGCAGAGCCAGACAAGGAACACACAGTTATTGAGACAGAAGGAAAAAACAGCAGTTTAACCATCAAAAATGCTTTGAGAACTGACCATGGCATATACCAGATCACAGGTACCAACCCCAGCGGAACAAAGTCTGCCTCCGTTAAGGTGGACGTGATGGGTAAGTTAAATTATTTTCTTTAAAAAATTGTTTGCTTTTAAAACCTGAAATGTAACCTCTGATTGGGATGTTTTCGTGTTCTATTTTTTTTTTGTACAAAAGATGTTCCCGGACCAGTGGTTGACCTTAAGACAGTTCATGTGACCAAGAAGATGATTTCACTCACCTGGTCAGATCCTCTGGATAATGGTGGAAGTGACATCATGGGCTATGTTGTTGAAAGAAAAGATGCCAAAATGCACATTTACAGACAACCCTTAGAAGTTGCTGCTTGCAAATGTGACATTGTTGGTCTTCTTGATGGAGAAGAATATATGTTCCGTGTAGTTGCAAGGAACAAGTATGGCCTTGGTGCTCCTGTTGACCTTGGACCTGTTTTAGCAGTGGATCCCAAAGGTAAATAAAACAGAATAATAAATTCATGAGAAAAAATTATTTTATCTCATTATTGAAAATACATTTAAATTATGTTCATTTTATAATTTGTATTACTTGTTTTCATACAAATGCAATAAACAATGTTGACTTTATTGAAATTTTAGGAGTTCCATCTGCCCCAGAGAAATTGCACTATACGGAAAGGACCAAGAACACTATTACTTTGACTTGGGAACCTCCCCGTAGCGATGGTGGTTCTCCAATCAGAGGCTACTATGTTGAAAAGGTGAGACAAGACAGCAACGAATTTGATGTTGCCAATCGGCAACTCTGCAAAGACCTCACCATCACTCTGGAAAGTCTCTCTGAGAACATGATGTATGACTTCAGAGTCAAAGCTGTCAATGAGGTTGGAGATGGAGAACCATCCAAACCAATCAGTGTCAATATTCAGGATGATGAACGTATGTATCACTCCCTATAATGTAAATCATTGACAACTTTTGAACACATTTAGTTTAAGTTTTTTATCAAATTCATACCTTAATCTTTTCATTTATATTTTTCCTCTATTTTAGATTCACCAACTGTTACGTGGTTGAAATTCTTTAAGAGTGATGCCATTATTGTCAAGAAGGGAGCAGCTATTGAAATTCCTGCTGAAATTCTTGGCCTACCCTTGCCTACCTTTGAGTGGACAAAGAATGGAGTAGTTATTGACCAACCTACTGAGACAATGACATTGGAATCAGAGGAGATTAACAGGCAAACTATCAATACCAAAATTGGTATTCCTGAAACTGTAAGACAAGATACAGGCATTTACAAGTTAACTGCCACAAATACCCGTGGAGTAGGTCAACGGACAATACGAGTGGATATCTTGGGTAAGACTTTAAATCATGTTCAGTGTTTGATTTTACTTAAGCTTATAGAATTTTCACCAAATGGGAAGTAGTATTGGTTGTTACAAGTTACATGGTGCTTTTCCTGTAATTAAGTTATGTAGGATGCAACTCTTTATTTTCAGCAATTCTGTTACAAGATTACTTTAATGATGCATTGAGGGGATGTCATAACTGTGGTAGTGTTGTTTCCCTAGATCGCCCATTGGCACCAAGAAACATTGTGGTGTCTGACATCAAAGCTGAGTCTTGCTACCTAACCTGGGATGCTCCAGAGGACAATGGTGGAAGTGACCTCACTAACTACATCATTGAGAAGAGAGATGCCAGCAAAAAGAAGTCTGACTGGGAACAGTTGACATGCTGCATCATAGACAGACGTTATGGGGTTAATATATATTATTAATACATATTACTATGAGACAGTCCTTTTTAGAATTAGACTGTGATATGTGCTTTTAAATGCTCTAAATGTGATTTAATCCCCTTCTGAAGGTGTACAAGTTGGAGGCCTATGGTACCTACCAGTTTCAGATCAAAGCTGAGAACAAGTACGGGGTCAGTGATGGTTGTGAATCAGAAAAGGTTGTACTCAAAGATCCATTTGGTCTTCCTGGGCCTCCCCAGAGACCAAGGATTATTGGTCACACTTGCTTATCCATGTTGGTCACTTGGGAGCCTCCAAAAGACAATGGTGGCTCAACCATTCAAGGCTACTGGCTTGAAAAGAGAGAGAGAGGAGCTGTGTACTGGAGTCGTGTTAACAGGGCTCCAGTAACAAAACCAGCAGTCAAGGGCCTGGAATACAATGTGCTCCACCTTATTGAGGGTGCCGAGTACCAGTTCCGTGTAATGGCTCAGAATGCAGCTGGCGTTGGACCTCCAAGTGAAGCAACAGAGTGTGTGTTTGCACTTGATCCAAGAAGTAAGTAATATTTCTTTGACAGGTTTATGAATTCCAGTTTCTAATGAATAAAACTTTACATTCTTAAATGTTACTTGTAGACCCACCAGGTCAACCACCAGCACCTGAAGTATCAGACAAAACCACAAGCAGCGTGAGTCTTTCCTGGACCTCACCAGAAAAAGATGGAGGAAGTCCAATAAAGGGTTACATTGTTGAAGTTCAGGATGAAGGTTCACATGAGTGGAAAAGGATCAATACACCGGATAAGCTGATCCTAACCAATTCATACACTGTGTCAGGGCTTAAAGAGAATAAAAAATGCAGGTTCAGGATTGTTGCTGTCAATGCTGCTGGTGAATCTGAGCCAAGTCCCAGAACTGCCGATACCATTGTACAAGATATTCTGGGTAAGCCTTACATTTGTGCAGATGTGTTGCAATAATATAGAGTAATAGTTAATACATACATGTAGAAAGTTATATATGATTAAAGATATGTGTAACTCGACTTGTTCACAGAGGAACCTGTCATTACCATGGAGGTCACAGCTCATGAGCTTCTGAATTGTCATGCTGGAACAACCATCAAGATTCCAGCCACCATCTCTGGCAAACCTATTCCGAATGTTACATGGGACTTTGATGGAACTGCCCCAACAGAGAAAAAGAATGAGCGTCATACTTTGCCAGAAGATTCAGAAGTAGGATTATTAATATTTTTTTCAAAACACTCAGTTTGTTAAGTCCAAACAAACATGCATTATTTAAATAATACATTTTACATTTAAACTTTGCAGATATCATCCAGTGATACAACATCAGTAGTGACAATCCCTGAATGTAAATTAAACCACTCTGGGCGATACATCATCACTGCCAGCAACCAGGCTGGCACCAAAATCGTTAAAGTGCGCGTGAATGTACTTGGTAAGCAACATTATATTTAAAATACAAAACATCACAACCTGAAACAGTAGTAGTTTCATTAAAATATAAGTTTAGAAGTATGTATCATATCACATAATATCATATCTCATTATACCATGTCTCTTTTTTTCTAGATTTGCCTGGAGCTCCTACAGATCTCAAAGTCAGTGACATCACACGTGGAACATGTAGACTAAGCTGGAAGCCACCAGACTGTGATGGGGGTGACAGAATCAAGAGCTACTTTGTTGAGAAAAAGACTGTTGAAGGAAAGGCTTGGACAAAGGTCAACCCAGCTTGCGCAACACAGTCCTTAGTTGTGCCAGACCTCATTGAAGGACAAGAATACTTGTTCCGTGTAAGAGCTGAGAATCGCTTTGGCTTAGGACCTCATATCACAACCATTCAGCGGACTAAAGCCAGAGATCCTATTCGTAAGTGTATTTTGTAAACGAGTCTATCATTAACCTGAAGACTGCACCGATCTTTGATTGTACAGATAAGGCGTAATTTGAAACTGCAAAGGGTCTACTTCTATTTGTGCATAGTCATAATAACAACAAAACAATGTGCTTTTGTAAAATAAAAAATGTTTAAATACAGTTTATCCTGACTATTCATAACACTGAATTTTTGCAGATCCTCCTGATCCACCCACAAGAGTCAAAATCGTTGATGTGTCCAAGGGCATTGTGACTCTGACATGGAAGCCACCAAAGAATGATGGTGGTGCACCTGTAACTCACTACAATGTTGAACATCTGTGGTGGGATAGCAGTGGAAACCAGCAAGAGTCCTGGAGACAGTGCAACCGCCGTGATATTGATACCACCACTTTCAAAGTGGAGGATCTCCACCAGGGTGCTGAATACGAATTCCGTGTTAAGGCTGTGAATGAGGTTGGTGCCAGTAGACCATCCTCTACAGCTGGACCAATCATTATTAAGGACCAGAACAGTGCGTACAAAGCAACACACATAAAGGAATTCAGTGAATTTGGGTTGCATGGTGTACAAATTCTTTCTTCCTTTCACTTTTAGGGGCACCTTCCATTGAGCTTCCAGAATTCATGGAGGTTGAACAGGGTGCAGATATTCATATTGTTGCTAAGATTAAGGGCTGTCCATTTCCAACACTTACATGGCAGAAGGCTCCTCCTCACAAAAGTGAAAACAAGGTTGATGTTGAGTATGATGAGCACATTAACAAACTTGTGTCTGATGATAGCTGCACACTGTTGATCCAGCAGGGCAAACGCTCAGATACAGGCCTCTACACTCTTACTGCTAGCAACAGCCTTGGCACCATTTCCAAAGAAATGAGGCTTAATGTTCTAGGTAAATTTCAACAACCAATTTTTCATATGAAGAGATGTAGGTGTTGTTATTAGAAGTAACATAATTCTTTCTTCTTTTAAACAGGGCGTCCTGGGGCTCCATCTGCACCCATTAAATTTGAGGAAATTCATGCTGAACAGATAACACTGTCATGGCTGCCTCCTAAGGATGATGGTGGCTCCAAAATTACAAATTACACTATTGAGAGACGTGTTGCCAACAGGAAGACTTGGATACCTGTCACTAGTGAACCCAAAGAGAGAATATTCACGGTTGACAATCTAATGCCAGGCCATGAGTACATTTTCAGGATTAGGGCTCAAAACAAATATGGTGTTGGTGATCCTCTTGATAGTGAACCTGAAGTAGCCAGAGATGTGTTCAGTAAGTATTCATTCACATATTTAAAGTTTATGTAATTAGAGACATGTTATATGTTTAGATTAGTCCTACATTTATTTCACTTGATAACACTGATGTTATTTTATGTCTATTTTTTAGTGCCACCTGGCCAATGTGACAAGCCAACACTCTCTAGCATCACAATAGACTCCATGACTGTGAACTGGGAAGAGCCAGACTCAGATGGAGGCACTCCAATCACAGGCTACTGGCTTGAGCGTAAAGAAACCACATCTAAACGCTGGAGCAGAGTAACTCGTGATCCAGTCAGGCCCATGCCACTTGGTGTGTCACACAGAGTCACAGGGCTCATTGAGGGATCTCAGTATTTGTTCCGCGTGATTGCAATTAATGCGGCAGGATGTGGACCTCCAAGTGAGCCATCTGATCCAACATTTGCTAGAGCTCCAATAGGTAGGAAAACAATACAGTGTCAGATCCAATGGCATATCGTTTTTTAGTAATAGAGACTCAAACTATGACAAACCTGTTTTCTTGTAGCTCCTCCTTCGCCCCCAACTCCGAAAGTCACGGACTGGACTAAGACCACAGCAGACTTGGAATGGATTCCACCATTGAAGGATGGAGGTTCAAAGATAATGGGCTACCATGTTGAATACAAAGAGGAGGGCACAGAAGCATGGGTTAAGGTTTGTTTAAGATTTATGTATACCCAAATATTTAAATTTTAGCAAAGCATGTTAATGTACTCTTTATACATTACAAATAAAATCTTCCTTCTGTTCCAGGCCAAAGACAAGGAAGTTAGAGGTACTAAATTTGTGGTCACTGGACTGAAAGAGAATGCATTGTATAAGTTTAGAGTTTTGGCATTCAATGCTGCTGGTCTGAGTGAACCAGGCGAAGTTGCTGATGCTCTTGAAATGAAGGACCGGTTAAGTAAGTCTCAGTGATTCAACATTCTGCAAATTAAGTGCTATTTTATTGCTTGTGTGGAGGGAAAAAAAACATAAGGATTTATATGCAATAATAATTTAATGAAAATTTGTTTTTGCCATTTCAGTTTTGCCAGTCCTTGAGCTGGACATTTCAGTAAAGGAGAAGATGGTTATTCATGCAGGAGGTGTTATTCGTATCATCGCTTATGTGTCAGGCCAACCTCCACCTGTGATAACATGGAGCAGAGATGGGTATCCAGTCCCATCAGAAGCTGTTATTGAAACCACCTCAATCAGCTGTTCCATGGTAATTAAAGATTGCACTAGGGCACAACGAGGTGTTTATACAATAACAGCCAAGAATGATGGAGGAGAAGTGAAGAAGTCTGTTATTGTTGACGTTCTTGGTAAGTAAGAATTATCAGACACAAATAATCTATACATTACTGTGAAATAGCTATGTTATAGAAACTACAGTTTCTTTTCTTATTTTGCTACTTCAGACATCCCTGGTCCAGTGGGGGCACCATTTACAGCAGAAAACCTTACAAGTGACTCATGCAAGCTGAACTGGTTTTTCCCTGATGATGATGGTGGATCTGCCATCTCCAACTACATAATTGAGAAACGTGAAGCTGATCGCAAGGCTTGGACATCTTGCTTTTATACAGCAGGCAGACAAAATGCTGTAGTAAATAATCTGGTGCTTAAAAAGGAATATTTCTTCAGAGTCGCAGCTGAAAATGCAATTGGAGTAGGTCCTTTCTGCCAAACAGCATGTGAAATTGTGATTAAAGATCGCATTAGTAAGTATTTTTCTTTATTTTTCTATTTTTTCTGGTTTTAAAATAGCTTGAAACTATATGACCAATTAATGCAACTGTACAATAAAATTCCGCATTGATGGTAGCTAATCATCATTTGACCTTTTTTTGACTAGATGTTCCAGACCGTCCAGAAGATCTTGAGGTGACTGCCATCACCAAAGACTATATCAGTGTGACTTGGAAGCCACCTAAGTATGATGGAGGGTCTGAGGTGTTATCCTACATTCTTGAGGCTCGCACGATTGGCAAAGACAAGTTTGTCAGACTGACCAAAGAGAAACTTATGGATAGGAAATACACTTATGATGGTCTTCGTGAAGGCGACACCTATGAATTCCGTGTCAGTGCAGTGAATGAAGTTGGTCCAGGCAAACCATCCTTCTCCACTAAGCCAATTACATGTAAAGACGAACTTGGTGAGTTTTTTTTTTTTTAGCTCTTCAATTGTTCTTCATTTGGTACACCACATTACACTAGCTATTATCTAAGTGTTCATGATGTGATATTTTTTCTTTTTCCCATTTTAGAGCCCCCTACAATTGAGCTGGACTTCCGTGATAAGGTTGTTGTTCGTGTTGGTGAAAGCTTTGCACTACAGGGGCGGTATACTGGAAAACCAGCCCCAACTGTCACCTGGTCAAGAGATGACAAAGAACTAAAAGCAGATGACCACATCAAGTTCAAAAATACTACTACCACTATGTGCCTGGGTATTATTAAAGCTCAGCGTGGACACAGTGGCAAATACTGTGTAACAGTTGAAAACTGTACTGGTGCTCGTAAAGGCATTTGTAATGTCACAATTGCAGGTAAGTCTCATGAAACAAGACAAATGTTTACTAAACTATAAAATAATATGATGAATAAAAAAATACATATTTTGGTCTGATGACTAACAAAAGCAACCTCTCTTATCTATGTATATTTTGTGCATTTTTAGATCGACCATTGCCTCCAGAGGGCCCAGTTGTATTTGAGGAAGTTCACCGAGATCACATGGTTATTTCTTGGAAGCCCCCTCTTGATGATGGTGGATGTGAAATTTCTAACTACATAATTGAGAAGAGAGATGCAAACAGGGACATGTGGACAACTGTAACATCTGCCACCACAAAAACCCACTGCAAAGTACCTAAGCTTGTAGAGGGTCGTGAATACATCATAAGAATTAGTGCTGAGAACCTGTATGGCATAAGTGACCCACTGGAGTCAGAGGAGATGAAAGCTAAAGATCTATTCAGTATGTAAAAACACAAAAAAATATTGTAAATTTAAGCCTATAAAAATGTTATGTTTTGTTCCTGATATCCTTCACCTTATTACAGGGGTACCAGAGGCACCTGAGCAACCCACTGTAAAAGACGTCTTCCATGATTCAGCACTGGTGATTTGGAACCGTCCTCGTGATGGTGGAAAGCCCATAACAAACTATATATTGGAGAGGAAGGAGCCCACAGCTAAGAGATGGTCTCGTGCAACCAGAGATCCAATCTACCCTGCTACACAGTATAGGGTACAAGACCTTGTTGAAGGCTGTGAATATGAATTCCGTGTAATGGCAGAGAATGAAATTGGAACTGGAGATCCTGGCCTTCCCAGTAAACCTATTCTTGCTAAGAATCCCATTGGTAGGTCTTCATGTTTTGATGGTTTCTTTTTCTTAATGCATATCAAGAAATAGTACTTTTGATAATTCTTTATTTACTTATTCTTTAATAGTTAAGCCAAGCCCACCTGTTTTGCCTGAAGCTGTTGACAAGACTAAAGATTCTGTAAGTCTGTCATGGCGTGTTCCTCGCCATGATGGTAAAGGGAAAATATTTGGTTACTTGATTGAGTATCAGAAGCCCGGTGCAATCGAATGGATCCAGGCAAATGAATCACCTGAATCATGCCCAGACACCAAGTTTGTTGTGACAAATCTACCAGAAGGTGGAGAGTTTCGATTCAGAATTATGGCTGTGAATGCAGCTGGAAAATCTGAGCCTGCTTATGTCAAGGAACCAGTGAAAGTTCATGACAGACTTGGTAATTTCTTCCTTTTTGTTTACATATTCAGAAAACAGTAGTGTTGAAAGGTAGCTGTTGCTTTATAATTACACATATTTAACTGGAGGTATGTTGTTCACATACTGGAAGATAAAAATATATTAATAATTCATATCCTTCTAATCTCAATTCTCATGCAGAGGAACCGGAGTTGCTGTTAGATGCCAATATGGCACGTGACCACCTTGCCATGGTTGGAACAGACATCACACTTAGTGCCACATTTAAGGGCATGCCAATTCCCACTGTCTCTTGGAAAAAGAATGATGGTGAAGTTCCTGCTCATTGTCTTATTGAGGTTACAGCAAGTGGAAGCAAACTTCACATTAAGAAGTGTACCCGTGCTGACCGTGGCAATTATACCATCACTGTTCAAAATGCAGCTGGAACTAAATCTGCTACCTGCACTGTTCTTGCTCTTGGTAAGAATGTTTTAAGAATAAATGCTTAACAGTACACATATTTTCTATAATTCGTTAGATATCTAGATTAATCTTTTTTTTTTTTTTTTAGATAAACCTGGACCACCAAGGAATCTTAAAATCTCTGAAGTCACAAGTGAGTCAGCTTATCTGACATGGCAAAAGCCAGAAGATGATGGTGGTGCTGTGATCTCCCACTATGTTGTGCAAAAGAAAGATGTAGCAGCTGAGAACTGGGTTCCAGTTTGTGCTGCATCTAAAAAGCTTAGCCTTATGGCTCAATATCTGATGGAGGGAATTCAGTATCTCTTCAGAGTTGCAGCTGAGAATCAGTTTGGCAGGAGTGCATTTGTTGAAACCACCAAGCCTATCAAGGCAGTTGATCCACTTTGTAAGTATTAAATATAATGTTACTTTTCAATGCTTAACTATTTTATACCAGTTTGTTTAATTAATTTGTATATTTTTACCTAAAGATCCTCCTGGTCCACCCAAGAATCTGCATCATGTGGATGCAGACAAAACTGAAGTATGGCTTCAATGGGAGTGGCCTGATCGCACAGGTGGAAGTGAGATCACCGGATTCATTGTTGAACATCAAGAAGATGGTGCTACCGACTGGGTGACCTTCAAGACTGTCAGCAATCCTCAATGCCATGTTACTGGACTTGTGGAGGGCAAAACCTACAGATTCCGTGTAAAATCACAAAATGCAATTGGCATTAGCCGACCAGACACCAGTGTGCCAATTACTTGCCAGGAAAAAACCTGTAAGGCTTACACAATATTATATTTAAAAATTACTGACAACATATTACATTTTATTATGCTCAAGGTTAATTAAATGTTTTTTTTTTCCAGTGGCTCCAACTATTGAAGTTGATGTGAAGCTTATTGAGGGTCTTGTTGTGAAAGCTGGCAGTACAGTCGTCCTCCCAGCAGTCATGCATGGAATCCCAACTCCAACAGCCAAGTGGCAAAGTGAAGGAAATGAGCTTAAAACTGAGGGCAAATTTAAGATTGTTACTGAAGGAAATTCAACTGTCTTGACTATTAGTGAATGTGTCAGAACTGACAGCGGAGAGTATGGCCTTACTGTGGCAAACCCTGCTGGAAGCAAGTCTGTTGCTCTACATGTTACAGTCCTTGATGTTCCATCTGCTCCGGTTGGTCCTGTAAATATCCTTGAGGTTACCCCTGATCATATGATAATCCAGTGGCGTGAACCAAAAGATGATGGTGGCACACCTTTGATGAACTATGTTGTAGAGAAGAAGGATGTCAAGAAGCCTTGGGAGCCATGGTCAGTTGTGAGTTCTGGAAGCACAAGCACAAAGGCCAAAGTCCCACGTTTGGAGAAGGGACGTGAATATATTGTACGTGTACGTGCTGAGAATAAAATTGGCATCGGTGCTGGCCTTGAAAGTCCTCCCACTATTGCCAAGCATATGTTTGATCCACCAGGTCCTCCTGGCCAACCAACATGTTCTGACATAACAGAAAATGCTGTAACACTGTCATGGACTGAACCAGAAACTGATGGTGGAAGCCCTGTAAGTGGCTACATTGTTGAGCGCAGGGAGATGACTGGTAAATGGATTCGTGTCAATAAAACACCAGTCTTGGATGTAAGATACAGGGTCTGTGGTCTGTTTGAGGGCAATAGCTATGAATTCAGAATCTTTGCTGAAAATGTTGCTGGTGTAAGTGAGCCTTCATATCCATCAGACCCAGTGAAAGCTAAACGTCCAATTACTCCTCCGGGGCCTCCAAGTAACATTAAGCTGAAGGACTGGAGCAAGTCATATGCAGATTTGGTATGGACCAAACCTTCCAGAGATGGTGGCAGCCCCATCCTAGGCTATGTTGTTGAATGCCAGAAATCAGGTTCTGCACAGTGGGATAGAATAAATAAGGATCTAATCAAGTTTTGTGTATTTAGAGTACCTGGACTTAGTGAAGGCACAGAGTACAGATTTCGTATTAGAGCCTCAAACAAGGTTGGAGATGGTGAGCCAAGAGAACTCACGGAAACTGTGCTTGCCAAAGACATTCTTGTTCCCCCTGATGTAACTGTTGATGTTGCTTGTCGTGACCTCCTAACAGTTAGAGCAGGGCAAATCATCAACCTTGTAACCCGTGTTAAGGGCAGACCTGACCCTGAAATCACTTGGACTAAAGATGCAAGAGTTTTAGGCAGAGATAAACGCACTGAGATGAACAATAACTTCCCTCTTGTTGAGCTGGTAATTCAGGAAGCTGTTAGAGCTGATTATGGAAAATATGCAATTCAAGCAAAGAATAGCAGTGGTCAAGCACAAGCTACAATTATTGTCAATGTACTTGATATTCCAGGAGCCTGTCAGAATTTAAAGGTTGCTTATGTGACTAAAGACTCATGTATGGTTTCTTGGGAAAATCCAGAGGATAATGGTGGCACTGAAATTACTAATTATAAAATTGAGTGCAGACAACCAAGTCAAAGAGGATGGACAGTTGTTACTTCTGACTGCACCAAACGACTTTTCAAAGCTCCACTTGTTGAGAAATGTGAATATTTCTTCTGTGTGAGCGCAGAGAATAAAATTGGAGCTGGTCCACCAACAGAAACAAAAGCACCAGTCCTTGCTGTTGATCCAGTTGAGAAACCTGGTGAGCCAGAGAACTTCCAAATCTCTGAAATTGGCAAGACATTTGTCTTTCTCAAATGGAAGAAACCAGAATACGATGGTGGTAGTCGTAACCTTGCTTACCATATTGAAAAGAAGCCTAAAGAAGCAGATGAATGGGAAAGATTACACAAAGGTGCTATAAAGGAAACCTATTTCATGGCTGACAGATGCATTGAGAACCAAATTTATCAATTTAGAGTTCAAACAAAGAATGAGGGAGGAGAGAGTAACTGGGTGACGACAGCTGAAGTTCTTGTAAAGGAGGAACTTGTACAGCCAGAGCTTAAAGTCAAACTGGCGGGTGTTCTTGTTGTTAAAGCTGGAGATGCCATTCCAATTGAGGCAGAGCTTATAGGTAAACCTCAGCCTGATGTAAAATGGTCTAAAGAAGGTGACACTGGAGATATCACCAAAAGCCCAAGAGTACAAGTTGAAACTGGCACCAACTTCACAAAATTCCTGCTCACAAATTCAAGACGTGGAGACACTGGAAAATACACAATTACTGCAACAAATACTGCTGGAACCTGCTCTGCTGAGGCCAAGGTTAATGTTCTTGACAGACCAGGTCCTATTAGAGACCTGAAAGTGTCAGACATTTCTGTGGACAGATGCAAGCTTACATGGGAGATACCAGAAGATGATGGTGGTTGTGAGATCTATAACTACATCATAGAAAAATGTGAGACAAAGAGAGGTGTGTGGTCAATTCATTCAGCAGCTATTATTACCAATTCAGCTAAAGTTACTCGCCTTATCGAAGGAAATGAATACATATTCCGAGTGAGAGCTGAGAACAAGATGGGTGCTGGCCCTGCTGTTGAAACTGAGTCCATTGTTGCAAGGACCCAGTTCAGCAGACCAGGTGTACCTGATGCTCCAGAGGTTACCAAAATTACAAAAGAAGAAATGGTGGTTATGTGGTGCTCTCCTGATAATGATGGCGGAAAACCTATAACTGGTTATATTCTTGAGAAAAAAGAAGAGCATGCCATTCGGTGGGCCCCTGTTGTTAAGTCCCCAATTGCAGGGACACAGATGACTGTTACAGGTTTACTGCCTAATCATGAATACCAGTTCCGTGTTAGGGCTGAAAATGAAATTGGAGTTGGTGATGCAAGCAAGCCATCCAGATCATTCACTGCAAGAGATCCAGTTGGTATGTCCAACTACAGTCAAGTAATTGGTAAAATGTTTGTTTGTTGATGTATTTACAACTAATTCTTTATTTGTTTTTCTATTTGCAGAGCCTCCTGGTCCCGTTAGTAACTTAAAGGTGACTGACAGCTCAAAGACATCAATTACTCTTGCATGGACAAAGCCTACATATGATGGAGGTGCTCCTCTTATTGGATATGTTGTTGAGCTAAGAGTCAAGGGAACAGACAAGAAGGGAGATGAAGGCTGGAAAAGGTGCAATGTTGCTGCACAGTTGTTTGGAACAGAATTCACAGTCTCAAGCCTGGATGAGAAGCTTGAATATGAATTCCGTGTTTCTGCCCAAAATCAGGTTGGCTTAAGTCAGCCAACTAATCTTGGAGGAGCTGTGACACCAAGGGAAGTCTTGGGTGAGTTTCCATAGACTACTCTTAAACTTTATCAGCAACATTCCTTCCTAATTCCTTGTGTTTTTATCCATTTTTTTCCCACAATCTTCAGAGGCCCCCGAGATTGATTTCGATGCAGAACTGAAGAAAGGTGTGACTGTTAGAGCTGGCTGCCCAATAAGATTAGTAGCAACAATCAGAGGCAGACCCGCTCCCAAGGTCTTATGGAGGAGAATGGGAAAAGATAATGTTGTACAGAAGGGCCATGTTGATCTCATTGACACTATGACATTCCTTGTTATCTCTGAAACCACTCGTGATGATTCAGGCAAATATTCATTGACTGTATCCAGTCCAGCTGGAGAGAAGGCAGTGTTTGTGAATGTCAAAGTACTTGGTAAGTAAAAAAAAAAAACAAGCTCCCATTTTTTCATCTGTTTCAGTCACATGATTTTTTTCTGCTTATCTGCCATATTTTTAAATATGTCAAATGAATGGAAAAAAATCACACGGCTGAAACAAATGAAAATATATATATATATATATATACTGTATATATATGTATGAAAACACTTAAAATATCTAACTTTTCATTCAAATATATATATATATATTTATTTATTTATATATTTTTAATTTTTTTCAAAACAGACACGCCTGGACCTGTTGTTGGTCTTGAGGTTGCTGACATCACAATGTCATCTTGCAACCTCACATGGTCTCCACCTGAAAATGATGGTGGCAGTAACATCACTCATTACATTGTTGAAAAACGAGAAATTGATCGCAAGACTTGGGCAACAGTGAAAAATAATGTTGATAACACCACATTTAAAGTTAGCAATCTCGTCCCAGGAACAGAGTATTACTTCAGGGTCATTGCGGTAAATGAGTATGGTCCCGGGGTCCCAAGGGTTACAGCAAAATCCTATCTGGCCTCTGATCCTATCAGTAAGTGTATTCTTAATCAGAACAATTTTAAAGGCTTTTAGAATTCTTGTTGAAAGGGTATTACTATAACAATTGTGTCTCTTCCCTCAAGGCAAGCCTGATCCACCACAAAAGGTTGATGTTCTGGACATTACTAAGAACAGTGCAACTGTGGGATGGGTGAAACCAATGCGTGATGGTGGAGCTAAAATTGATGGCTACATTATTGACTATCTTGAGCTTCCAATGCCTAAACCTCCCAAGAAACCAGTGGAGGCTGAAGGTGAGGCTGAGCCTGGTGTAGAGCCTGTGGCTCCACCCCCGCCTGAACCTGTGATTGAGGAAGAGAAGGAGGAGAAAAAGGAGGAATGGACGCCGTACACAGTCGTAAAAGATTTGAGCATCTCTATTGCTGGATTAAAGGAGGGAAGAAAATATCGCTTCAGAGTGGCAGCAAGAAATGCCATGGGGTCCAGTCTTCCCACAGAGACCAGAGAAGCTTATGAGATCAAGGAGCAGATGTGTAAGTTATTAAATCATATATTACTCAAACATATTTTGAACTACACTTCCACTAAAAACCTGTTCGATCTTGTGATTTCTTACCAGTGGAGCCCAAAATCATCATGCCTGAGCTGGTCACTGCAAAGGCAGGAGCAAAACTGAGGGTTGAGGCTCTTGTATCAGGAAAGCCAGCACCAGCATGCCAATGGAAACGGGGAGAAAATAATGTAGTCCCATCAAGCCGTCTTGCTGTGCATAAATCTCTGAACATGTGTGTGCTCATCATTAAGGATGTTTCAAGACAAGACAGTGGTGAATACAGCCTTGTTGCTGAGAACAGCACTGGAAAAGTTGACCAGACTTTGAAAATCATCATCAGAGGTTAGAACTTTTCATTTTCATCATCAGCACCTTCAACAATAATGGGCTATGTGAAAATTTTTCAACAAACATTCTTATGTGTCAGATATTCCTGGACCACCTGAGCCACCATTTGAGATCAGTGACATAGATTCTGATGCCTGCACACTCTCTTGGAACAAACCTACTGAAGATGGTGGTAGCAATATTACTAATTATGTGGTTGAGAAGTGTGATGTAAGCAGAGGTGACTGGGTGACTGCTCTTTCCAGCTGTGGCAAAGCTGGCTGCAGAATCGGAAAGCTTATTCCTGGAAAGGAATATATTTTCCGTGTTCGTGCTGAGAACAGATTTGGTATTTCAGACCCCCTTACATCTGAAAGGATGATTGCTAAGTACCCCTTCGGTGAGTTGAAAAACAAGCATCAGCAGCATCTGTCAACATGCAACATGATAAAAATGGTGTGTCCTGTTTGTTAGTGTTTAACAGTTTAATATTTTTTAGATGTTCCTGGTGAACCTTTGAACTGCCGCATCAACAAAGTGAACAAGGACTGCATGTTTGTGGCTTGGGATAAGCCTGAGTCTGATGGTGGCAGTCAAATTACTGGATACTACATTGAACGCAAAGAAAGGAACAGTCTCCTTTGGGTTAAGGCTAATGATTCTGTTGTTCGCACAACTGAGTATCCTTGTGCTGGCCTAATTGAGGGTCTGGAATACACTTTTAGAGTGTCTGCTATAAACCGAGCTGGTCAGGGGAAACCAAGCAAGAAAACTGAGTTTATCACAGCAAGAACACCTGTTGGTATGTGCATATAAAATAGAATGAATTCTTAGGTATAAATGTCTGCGTATTAGATGATTATGTTCCATGTTTTTCTGTTGTTTTATTTTTTTAAATTGTAGATGCTCCTGGAAAACCAGAGGTGCTTGATGTGACTAAGAACTCAGTTACATTGGTTTGGACCAAACCAAAGAATGATGGTGGAAGCAAGATAATTGGATACTATGTTGAAGCAATGAGGCTTCCAGGAGACACTTGGGTGCGTTGCAACACAAGTAGTCAAAATGTGCCTCGTGAGGAGTACACTGCAACTGGGTTAGAAGAGGGTGCTAAGTACCAGTTTAGGGTAATTGCCAAGACAGCAGTTAACATTAGCAGGCCATCTGAATTCACTGACCCCATTCTGGTGTCTGCAGAAAATGGTAAGCATTTTTATATTTTGTAAATGTCTTTTAAAATGTTTTCTAAATGGCTGTCAATTGCTATTTGCCTTATTGATTTTCTCTCTTGTTTGCTTATCTATAGTACCTCCAAGAATAGAGCTTTCAATACAGATGAAAAAGATGTTGCCAGTAAAGGCTGGGTCAGATGTTTGCCTTGAAGCTGAAGTTTTTGGTAAACCAATGCCCAAGGTTACATGGAGCAAGAATGGAGAAGTGTTGAAAGCTGACAAAGAATTCAAGATGTCTCAAAAGAGACACCTCTTTTCTCTGAGCCTTGATGCAGTTACTAAACTTCATACTGGAAGTTATGGAATTCTTGCAGTAAATGCAAGTGGTTCTACAACTGCAGAAATACAACTCAAAGTTTTAGGTGAGGAAAAATATATAATTTTATTCTTTAGCTAAATTATCACTAAGTTGAGATATAGCATATTCATGTCTCCTTTTGGCAAAATAATAATCATACATTCCCCCTTACACAGATATACCTAGCCCACCAGCCTCTATCAAGTTTGATGAAGTACTTTCAGATCGGATCAAGTTGAGCTGGGAGGCTCCACTTGCAGATGGTGGTTCTCCAATTACAAATTATGTTGTTGATAAACGTGAGACAAGCAGAGCTAACTGGGCCCAAGTTTCTGCTAAAATCAGTGGTGATACAAAAGAATGTTTAGTGGAGAAACTGATTGAGGGGCACGAATATCAGTTCTGTGTTCGTGCAGAGAATCGCTATGGTACTGGTGATGCCATCATATTGGACCCTGTTGTTGCAAGGAATCCCTTCAGTAAGACCTTACTATTGGTCTATGTATTTTACTTCTTGGATATATTACTACTGGATGGTAATGTATTTGTCATTTACAGCTGTTCCTGGAGCATGTGACCCACCGGTCCTTACAAACATCACAAAGGAGCGTATGACTGTAAGTTGGAAGGAACCATCTGATGATGGAAAATCCCCTATCCTTGGATACATAGTTGAGAAACGTGAGACCAAGGAAATTAACTGGACCAAACTGAACAGAAAGCCCTTGCTGGAGAGAACACTTGAGGTTGGAGGTCTCTCTGAGGGAGCTCAGTATGAGTTTAGAGTCATTGCTGTTAATAAAGCTGGCCTTGGCAAACCCAGTGAACCATCTAATGCCGCCTCTGCTCTTGATCCTTTGTGTGAGTTGTGTCAGAAGCTATTTACATTATCTTGTATATCTAGGAATATGCGAGAGCATTTATGAATTCCTCTTAATACTTATTTACAGATCCTCCAGGCCCACCCATTTCTCCCAAGGTTACAGACACGACCAGCAGCACCATTAGACTAACTTGGACTAAGCCTGCAAATGATGGTGGTAGTGACATTTTGGGATACCTTGTCGAATGCAAGAGAACTAATACAACAGACTGGATAAGATGCAACGTACCCAAGAACCTTCAGGATACAAATTATGCTGTGACTGGACTCTTGGAGAACTCAGAGTACCAACTTCGTGTTACTGCTGTAAATAAAGTTGGATTTAGCCAGCCTTGTGAAGTTCCTGAAAAACATGTTGCCAAGGATGTTTTTGGTACAAATAATTTACTAACTTTTAAATCGTTAATTGTATATTTTGTTTATTCTCTTTTAATTCTGGTCATGAAAATACAAAATTTAAATATTGTGTAACTAATGCCTGAAATATGTAAATGTTTTTTTTTCTGTTATTCTAGCTGCTCCTGAGGCTGAGCTTGATGCAGAGCTGAAGGACACTTTGGTGCTCACGGCTGGCAGTAAAATGAAACTTCATGCCACATATAAGGGTCGACCAATCCCCAGGGTGACCTGGGCCAAGATGAACACCAACATTAAGGACAGACAAGGAATCATAATCAAGACAACAGACACTGATACATTGGTTTATGTTGAGAAAGTCAATAGAAATGATGCAGGGAAATACATTCTGAATCTTGACAGTGTAAGCGGAATGAAGATGTACACAGTTATTGTCAAGGTCCTTGGTGAGTCCTAAGAGGTTGTTTATATTTAGATATATAGTTTATAGTTTAATTTATATACTGTAGTTTATAGTGTTAATATTTTATTTTAACTAAAGTAATTATATCTCTTTTAACACTAAACAGATACTCCTGGACCTCCACTGAATCTGATGATAAAAGAGACATCAAAGGACAGTGCCTCCATCCTATGGGATGAACCTCTAATTGATGGTGGAAGTGAGATTACAGGTTACATTGTTGACAAAAGAGATTCAGAAAGGAAAGCATGGTCAAATGTTTCAACCACGTGCACTACAACATCTTTCAAGATTGATGGTTTAGAGGCTGGAAGATCTTATTGTTTCAGGGTTCTGGCTCAAAATATGTATGGCATTGGTGAGCCATGTGAAACTGTGGATGCTGTTAGAGCTTCTGGTGAGTGAATATAATTTTTGACTATGTAATCTTCAACTGTAGAAACAATTTCAATGTACATTTTATAATAACAATGTTAATATTTATTACTGAATAAACTTAATATATTCCAGAACAACCTGGACCAGTTATGGACTTTAAGACCTTGCTGGTAACCAAGGACTCTTGTACTCTTTCCTGGAAAAAGCCCATCAGTGATGGAGGAAGCCGCATCATTGCATATGTGCTAGAAGTCCTTAATGGCGAAGATAAATGGAAGGAGCTTCTTAGATCAAAGAATATGCAATATAGTGCAAAGGACCTTGTTGAAGGAAGGGAATATAAATACAGAGTTAAAGCAACAAATGATTCTGGTGATGGTTCTGTGAAAGAACTCTCTGTGATTGCAAAAAATGTCAATGGTGAGATTTCTAATTTATCATTTGCATAAAAATGCACTTGAGCTCTATCTGTTATATTGTGTTTTAAATGTGCTCCTTATTAATTATTTTTCTATATTATAGTTCTTCCAAGCTGTGACTTGCGAGAGTTGCCTAACTTGAACTATATTGCAAAAGAAGGAAGCACCGTTCGTCTCAAGATTCCTATTAGTGGAAAGCCTGTCCCTGTTGTCACATGGAAGAAGGGAGAGGATGAAAATCTCACAGACACAGGAAGAGTGTGTGTAGAATCAACGGCAGTAAACACAACTCTTCTGATACGTGACTGCCAAAGGACAGATGCCTCAAAATACACCATCACTCTTCGCAATGCTGCTGGAACGAAAGAGTCCACAATTTTTGTCAGAGTTGTTGGCAAACCAGGAATTCCAGCTGCACCAATAAAGTTCAAGGAAGTGACTGCAGATGGTGCAACCTTAAAATGGGGTGTTCCTAAAGATGATGGTGGATCAGAAATTACCAACTACATTCTTGAGAAACGTGATTCCATTACTAACATGTGGGTTGCTGTGTCTTCATCTGTGGACACAAACACTTTCAGAGTGACTGGTCTCCATGAGGGAACTGAATACATCTTTAGGGTTAGTGCAGAAAACAAATATGGAATTGGTGAGGGCCTCAAATCAGAGCCTGTGGTTGCCAAGCATCCATTCAGTGAGTGGATTTTCAATGATTTATTGTCAATATAGTTTAGATACTATAGGTATCAAATAAAAAAATCTCACTTTCTTACTCATGATTATTTCATCAGATGTTCCAGATTCACCTCCACCCCCTCAAGTCATGAGCATGTGTCATGATTCAGCAACTCTTGCATGGTTGGATCCAAGGAAAACTGGAGGCTCACCAATCACAGGTACAGAAATAATTAAATTAATATAAGACAATAACCTTTTCATCAAGACAATGTTTTTCATATGCTTTTTTTTTTTTTTGCTTACAGGTTACCATGTTGAATTCAAGGAAAAAAACAGCATGTTATGGAAAAGAGCAAACCCAACTGCTTTGAAGATGAGAGATTTCAAAGTGACAGGCTTAACAGAGGGTCTAGAATATGAGTTCAGAGTTATGGCTATTAATCTGGCTGGTGTTGGTAGACCAAGTCCTGCCACTGAGCCAATGGTTGCCTTGGATGCAATTGGTAAGTAAAGCTAATTTCAAATGCTTGAGTCTCATATAATCCCCCCATTATACACCCCACTTTGAGTAAGGTTAATTTTTATTAACTGAACATATACCATTACAGATGCACCTGGCAAACCTGATGTGATTAGCAGCACTAGAAGCACTGTAACACTTCAATGGACTGAGCCTCAATATGATGGTGGACACAGGCTTACAGGCTACATTGTTGAGAGACGTGATCTCCCAGCCAAGGTCTGGGTGAAGGCTAATACAGTAAATGTGGTGGACTGTGCATATACTGTAGCAGACTTGCAAGAGGGTTGCAAGTATGAATTTAGAATCAGAGCAAAGAATGCAGCTGGAGCAATAAGTCCACCCTCTGAACAAACTGATACCCTTGTGTGCATGGATGAATATGGTAAGACTCATTTACACTTTCTAGTTGATACATCTTGAATAAATGACGTTCCATGTCATCTAATCTAGGAAATTGCTGTGCTGATTAGTTTGTTATTATTTTGCAGCGGCACCAACCATTATAATTGATCCAACAGTCAAGGAGGGGCTAACTGTCAGGGCTGGAGATACTATTGTAATTACTGCAACAAGCATTCTGGGCAAACCTCAGCCAACCTCTGTGTGGTCAAAGGGTGGAAAGTATTTCAAGCCATCAGATGTGTGCCAGATAGAAACTACACCTTCTTCTTCTACTCTTTCTATCAAGTATGCAAGTAGGAAGGATTCAGGAGAGTACACAATTACAGCAAGTAACCCATTTGGTGTGAAAGAAGAAATTGTGAAAGTAACAATTTTAGATGTTCCCGGTCCACCAGGGCCAATTGAAGCTAGTGGAATTTCATCTGAAAAGGTCACTTTGACATGGACACCACCTCATGAGGATGGGGGATCTCCAATTAAATACTACACTTTGGAGAAAAGAGAAACAAGCCGTCTCCTTTGGACCATTCTTGCTGAAAAGGTTATTGACTGCCACTTTGTTGCCAATAAGCTTATCCAGGGAAATGAGTACATCTTCAGAGTTTCTGCTGTCAACAGTTCTGCAGCTGGTGATGCTTCCCATTCTGAACCAGTAAAAATGGTGGATAGCTATGGTATGTTTAAAGAAAACTCAGTCTCTCATATTATTTCCATACTGTTCATTTGTGTGAATCTGCATAGCTGGATATATATATATGCAATAAGATTCTCAAGAGACATATTACTTATTTCAGGTCCCCCTGGTCCGCCAGCTAAACCAGAAATTGAAAATGTTGGTGGAAATTCTGTTACCATTGCTTGGAAAAGACCAGCTGATGACGGTGGAAGTGATATAATAGGCTACATGGTTGAGAGGAAAGAAAAGAAGGGCATGAGATGGACTCGAGCATCAAAGAAAACAATTGCTGACCTCCACTTTGAAGTGAAAGGGCTAAAAGAGGGAGATGAATATGAATTCAGAGTAACTGCTGAGAATAAGGCTGGTTTTGGTGAGCCAAGTGAACCTTCAATGCCAGTGAGGACAAAGCTTGTTGCAGGTAAGTAAAGTGATTATTTTATATTTGATATGATAGCAAAGAAGGTCCTAATATATATGTTATCAATTTCCAGATGTACCTGGTCCTCCAGTCAACCCAAGAGTCACTGACACAACAAAAACCACAGCTGAATTGCACTGGGGCAAACCATTTAGTGATGGTGGAATGGAAGTTACAGGATACCTTGTTGAGCACAAAAAGGAGGGAGAAGAAGAATGGGTGAAAGATACAGCTACACCTTTGAGGATCACTGAGTTTGTTGTCCCCAGTTTGCAAGCTGGAGTGAAGTATAATTTTAGAATTAGTGCAATGAATGCAATGGGGGTTAGTGAACCATCACAAACAGAGGATCTTGTTGAAATTGTGGAACGTGAAGAAATCCCTGATTTAGAGCTAGATGTAGAACTCAGAAGAACGTTAGTTGTTAGGGCAGGTGCCTCTATTCGTTTATTTATTCCTATTAAAGGACGCCCAACCCCTATAGTGACTTGGACAAAAGAGGACACATCATTGAAAACTCGCGCAATCATCGACAATACCGAATCATACACCCTGTTGGTCATTCCCGACTGTAATAGACGCGACGCAGGGAAATATGATTTAACATTAGAGAACACTGCTGGAAAGAAGACTGTTTCTGTGGTTGTAAGGGTTTTGGACTCCCCTGGTCCTCCTCTCAATCTGAAACCCAAAGCAATTGACAAAGAGAGCATCACATTGGAATGGGAAATGCCTATTATTGATGGAGGTTCTAAAATTACCAATTACATCATTGAGAAGAGAGAATCTACTCGCAAGGCATATGCTGCTGTGATCACACAATGTGAGACATGCTCCATCAGAGTTTCCGATCTGGCAGAGGGTTTGGAATATTATTTCAGAGTTTCTGCTGAAAATGAGTATGGCATTGGTGAAGCAGTTGAAACCCCAGACCCAATCAGAGTATCTCAAGCACCAACTCCACCAGAAAATGTAACTTTTACTGATGTTACGAAGCACACAGTTAGGCTTGCATGGACTAAACCAAAACATGATGGTGGAAGTAGGGTTACTGGGTATGTAATTGAAGCACAAAAGAAAGGAACAGACCAGTGGGCCCATGTGACAACTGTGAAGTCTTTGGACTTTACTGTAAAAAATCTTAATGAAAATGAAGAGTACATATTCCGTGTAATGGCGGTGAACAGTTCTGGGCGAAGTTGTCCTCGTGTAAGCAAGCCTGTTGTTATCAAAGAACAAAGTTCAGAACCAGAATTTGATCTCCGTGGTGTGTGTCAGAAGACAGTTATTGCCAAGGCTGGTGAAGATATAAAGGTTGAGGTGCCTGTTTCTGGACGTCCTAAGCCTACAGTTTCCTGGCAGAAAGACAATCAAGCCCTCAAATTAACACAAAGGACAATGATTGAAAATACTTCTACCTCAACTATCTTGATCATAAATGAATGTTTAAGGAGTGACAGTGGAATATACTCAATGACAGGAAAGAACATCGTGGGCTCTGTTACAGATAGCATCACAGTAAAAGTACATGATTTGCCTGGACCACCAAAGGGACCAATTAAACTGGACAAAATATCTCGTACTTTCATTGAGTTCTCATGGGAAGCTCCTGAAAATGATGGAGGTGTACCAATCAATAACTATATAGTAGAAATAAGGGAAACTACTAGCCAGACATGGGTAGAATTCTCCTCTTCGATTATTCGTACAACATTTAAAGCAACTCATTTAACAACAGGAATTGAATATCAATTCCGTGTCAAGGCCAAAAACAGATATGGTACAGGGCCTCCATTAATGTCAGAGGCAGTGGTTGCTGCATATCCATTTAAGGTACCTGGGCCACCTGGAACACCCAAAGTTGTCACTTTCACTAAGGATACAATGACAATTGGTTGGAATGAGCCTGTTTCTGATGGTGGAAGTGAGGTCATTGGTTACCATGTTGAAAGGAAAGAGAGGAACAGTATTGTTTGGCACAGAATTAGCAAGGCACTTGTGATCGGAAATCTGTTCAAATCCACAGGACTAGAGGATGGTGTGGCATATGAATTCCGTGTGATTGCTGAAAACATAGCTGGAATTGGAAAACCAAGCAAAGCTTCTGAACCAATGCTCGCTCTTGATCCAGTGGATCCACCTGGTCAACCTGTACCAATCCATGTGTCCAAAAATGCCATTACTATTCAGTGGACGAAGCCAGAGTATGATGGCGGATTCAAGATTACTGGCTATACTGTCGAAAAGAGAGATCTTTCAGCTGGGCGCTGGATGAGAGCTAACTTTACAAATATCATTGAAACCACTTTCACTATAAGTGGTCTAACACAAGACGAATCCTATGAATTCCGTGTACTTGCAAGAAATTCAGCTGGTGCTGTTAGTAACCCATCTGACCCATCAGATCCAATTATTTGCAAAGATGACATTGAAGAACCAAGGATTATGGTTGATGCTAAATTTAAAGATACTGTCCTTGTCAAAGCTAGAGAGGTGTTCAAACTTGAAGCTGATGTTGCAGGCCAGCCATTACCATCTATGGTTTGGACGAAAGATGGAAAAGATGTTGAAAACACATCCAAACTACAGATCAAAATGACAGACCTTACATCAGTCTTGATCAACAAGGATTCTGTCAGAAGTGATGGTGGTAAATTTATTCTGACAGCAACAAATGTTGGTGGCTTTGCTAAGCATGTTTTCAATGTAAAGGTTCTTGATAGACCAGGACCACCTAGGGGACCTCTGACAGTTTCCGATATTACAGCTGAAAAATGTGTGCTAACATGGAATCCACCTGCAGATGATGGCGGTGCAAACATTGAACATTATGTTATTGAAAAACGTGAGTCAAGCAGACTTGCTTGGACAAATGTGGCATCAGAATTGCAGGTTAATCAGTACCAAGTGACAAAGTTGCTCAAAGGAAATGAATACATTTTCAGAGTTATGGCTGTTAACAAGTATGGTGTTGGAGAACCTCTTGAGTCTGAAGCAATAATTGCAGAAAATCCATATGTACGACCAGATCCTCCACAAACACCTGAGATAACTGCGGTCACTAAGGATTCAGTAGTCCTGTGTTGGGGTGCACCTGCTAGTAATGGTGGAAGTGAAATCACCAACTATCGTATTGAGAAAAGAGACCGGATTAGTTTGCGTTGGGTAAAATGCAACAAGAGGAATGTTACTGACTTGCATTTCAAGGTGACCGCTCTTATTCCAGGCCATGAATATGAATTCAGAGTTTTTGCTGAAAATGCAGCAGGAATAAGTGAGCCAAGTCCTTCATCACCATTTGTCAAGGCCACAGATGCTCTTTTCAAACCAGGTCCTCCTGGCAACCCTAGAATCCTGGACACAACAAGTTCTTCCATCACGCTTGCATGGAACAAACCAGTTTATGATGGTGGTTCTGAAATTACTGGCTATATTCTTGAGACCTGTCTCCCTGGAACTGAAGAGGACGAATGGACAATTGTCTCCCCTAAAGATGGTGTAAAGGGGACATCGTTTACAATCACGAATCTTAAAGAAAATCAGGAATACAAAATTAATGTGTCAGCTGTAAACAGCGAGGGTATTGGAGAAGCAGCACCTGTACCAGGTTCACCTAAAGCAGAGGAACGACTCATACCACCAGAGGCTGACCTTGATGCTGAACTTCGTAAGATAGTGAACATCAGAGCATGCAATACACTAAGACTTTTTGTGCCAATTAGAGGTAGACCAACACCAGAGGCCAAATGGTCAAGAGAGAATGATGAACCTTTAGACAGAGCTACCACTGAAACAACGTCATCTTTTACATCACTGGTTATTGCCAATGTGAATAGGTTTGACAGTGGCAAATACAATTTGACTGTAGAAAACAGCTCTGGAACAAAGACTGTCTCTGTAATAGTTAGAGTTCTAGATACACCTGGAGCACCACAAAACTTAAAAATAAGCCAGGTCACTAAAGAATCTGTTTCACTTGTTTGGGATCCTCCACTTAATGACGGTGGCACAAAAATTAAGAATTATATTGTTGAGAAGCGTGAGGCTACAAGAAAAGCATATGCTACAGTAAATGCTAATTGTCACAAAACTACTTGCACAGTTGACCAGCTCCAAGAAGGATGCAACTACTATTTCAGAGTTCTGGCAGAAAATGAATATGGCATTGGTCTCCCTATGGAGACTGGTGAATCTGTTAAAGTGTCTGAGAAGCCACTTCCCCCTTGCAAAATTACACTTCAGGATGTTACAAAGACAAGTGTGACATTATCATGGGAAAAGCCTGAACATGATGGAGGAAGCAGAGTGGTTGCATATGTTGTAGAGATGCAGAGCAAATGGAATGAAAAATGGACACAAGCTGTGATTGTCAAGGTACCCGAAGCAGTTATTACTGGGCTTGCACCTGGTGAAGAGTATATGTTCCGTGTTTCTGCAAGGAATGAAAAGGGAACCAGTGATCCTCGTCAAATTGGTGTGCCTGTGATTGCCAAGGACCTTGTAATTGCTCCATCTGCTAAGATGTTGTTCTCCACATTTAGTGTCCTGGCAGGAGAGGATTTGACAGTTGATATTCCATATAATGCTCGTCCCAAAGCTACTATTTCATGGCTAAAGGAAGCAGTTCCACTTAAACGAACAACCAGAGTTAACTTTTCCTCTACGGGTACACAACTGAATTTAGTAATCAAAGAAGCATGTAGAGATGATGTTGGCCAGTATAGTATTAAACTATCAAATACAGCTGGTGAGACAAAAGTAGACATTAGAATTGTTGTTCTTGACAAACCTGGTCCACCAACAGGCCCTGTTAAAGTTGATGAAGTAACATCTGACAGTGTTAGCATTTCTTGGAAGCCACCAGAGTATAACGGGGGCTGCACCATTAATAATTACATAGTAGAAAAGAGGGACACATCCACAACTAATTGGCAGATTGTAGCAGCAAATCTAGCAAGAACTCAAATTAAGGCAGGAAGACTGAAGGCAGGCTCTGAATATCAATTCAGAATTGCAGCAGAAAATAGATATGGCAAAAGCCCTCTGCTTGTGTCTGAATGTGTTGTTGCACAGTACCCGTACAAACTACCGGGCCCTCCTGGAACACCTTTCTTGCAGTCTTCCACAAAAGATAGTATGGTGATAGTGTGGAATGAACCTGTTATTGATGGTGGAAGCACAGTCTTAGGATATCACCTTGAGCGAAAAGAGAGAAATAGCATTCTTTGGATGAAACTAAACAAAAGCATAATCCAAGACACAACTTTCAAGACAACAGGTCTTGAAGAAGGCATGGAATATGAATTCAGAGTTTATGCTGAAAACATTGTTGGCATTGGGAAGGCTAGTAAGATCTCAGAGGGTTATACTGCTAGAGATCCTTGTGATCCTCCTGGAACACCAGAAGCAGTTAGAATAACAAATAATTATATTGCAATTGCATGGACCAAGCCAGAGTATGATGGTGGAAGCAAAGTCACTGGATATATTGTAGAAAAGAAAGAATTGCCTGCAGGACGCTGGATGAAAGCAAACTTCACCAATGTCATAGAGACTGAGTATACTGCAACAGGTCTTACAGAGGATGAGAAATATGAGTTCCGTGTCATTGCAAGAAATGCTGCAGGAGTTTTCAGTGATCCTTCATATAGTACTGGACCTATCGTGGCAAAAGATGAGATTGAACCACCGCGTATCAGCATAGATCCAGAGTACACTCAAACAATTGTTGTAAATGCAGGGGACAACTTCAAGATTGATGCAGATATTCATGGAAAACCAACACCATCAATCTGTTGGATGAAGGGTGAGCAGGAACTTGGAAACACCATATCTCGTGAAATTAAAAGCACAGATAGCTATACCTGTTTAACTGTTAAGGAAGCCAAACTTGCTGATGGAGGTCAATATACTCTACTGCTGAAAAATCCAGGAGGAGAGAAAACTGTACAGGTCAATATTTGTGTCCTAGATAAGCCTGGACCACCAGAGGGATCCATCTCTATTACAGGTGTAACCAGTGAACACTGCTGCCTTTCTTGGAAACCACCTAAACAAGACGGTGGCAGCAAGATCACTCATTATATTGTTGAAAAGAGAGAGACTAGCAGACTACTTTGGACAGTTGTTGAACCCAAAGTCCAAGCTCTAAACCTTAAAATAATGAAACTCCTAGAAGGAAATGAATATATTTTCAGAGTTTTACCAGTAAACAAATTTGGTGTTGGTGAGCCCCTCCAATCAAGTGCAGTTGTTATCAAGAATCCATTTACACCTCCAGATGCACCAAAAGGAGTGGAAGTCTCTAATGTCAAGAAAAATTCAATGGTCATAACCTGGGAGGCCCCAACAAATGATGGAGGTACTCCTATCACTGGTTATATTATTGAGAAACATGACAAGGAAGGCATTAGATGGACCAGATGCAACATGAAAACAGTTACTAACCTCACATTTAAAGTTACTGGACTCCTGGAGAACCACCGCTACGAATTCAGAGTTTCTGCTGAGAATGCTGCTGGAGTTAGTGAGGCAAGTTCTGCAACTGTATTCTATAAAGCCCTAGATCCTGTATTCAAGCCAGGTCCACCACTTAATCCAAAAGTGTTAGACATGACCAAATCATCTGTTGTACTTGCATGGGGAAAGCCTATTTACGATGGTGGCTGTGAAATCCAGGGATATATTGTTGAGGCATGTGAAGCAAAAGCAGCCATAGAGGAGATAAAGACTCCAGGAGAAGAAGGAAAGGCAGTTGCAGATGAATGGACAATGTGCACTCCACCAGCAGGCGTTAAACTGACACGCTTTAATGTGGAAAATCTGAAAGAAAAGCAGGAATATAAATTCAGGGTTTGTGCAGTTAACAAGGTTGGTGTTGGGGAGAATGCTGATGTTGCAGGGCCCATTCTGCCAGAGGACAAAACTGAGGAACCAGATCTTGATATTGATGCTGAGTTTAGAAAGCTTGTACGTATTAAAGCAGGAGGTTCTCTTAGGATGTTCATCCCTTTCAAAGGAAGACCAACACCACAAATCAAATGGGAAAAAGATGGTGGGCAGATTAAGGAAACAGCACAGACTGAGACCACCAGCAGTCACACTTCTCTTGTGATTGATAAAGTCAACAGGGCAGACAGTGGCAAATATACTGTTACTGCAGAAAACTCTGCTGGTGCAAAATCTGAAACAATTATTGTGAAAGTCCTTGACACACCAAGCGCTCCAATCAACTTCAAAGTTAAAGAAATTACAAAAGAATCTGTTACTCTTACATGGGAGCCTCCAAGTTTAGATGGTGGAGCAAAGATAAAAAATTACATTGTTGAAAAACGTGAGAGCACAAGAAAAACATTCTCTGCCGCTGTCACAAATTGCCACAAACTTTCTTGGAAAGTTGAACCACTTCAAGAAGGCTGCAGTTACTATTTCAGAGTGCTTGCAGAAAATGAACATGGTATAGGGCTACCTGCAGATATCACAGATCCTTTGAAGGTTTCAGAGGTGCCACAATGTCCTGGAAAATTAAGTGTTGTAGATGTTACTAAAACAAGTGTGTCTCTTTCTTGGGAAAAGCCCATTCATGATGGTGGCAGTAGAATTCTTCAATACCTTGTAGAAATGCAGGTCAAGGGTAGTGATAAATGGTCTGGATGTGCCAATGTAAAAACACTGGAAGCTGTAATCAGTAATTTGAACCCTGGAGAAGAGTACACTTTCAAAGTAATTGCTATCAATGAAAAAGGAAAGAGTGACCCAAGAACACTTGCTGTCCCTGTGCAAGCAAAGGACCTTGTCTTTGGGCCTGATGTACGACCTGTGTTTAGCAACTACAGTGTTCTTGTTGGAAAGGACCTTCAAGTTGAAATCCCAGTTTCTGGTCGTCCAAAGCCAAAGGTCACATGGACAAAGGATGGTGCAGCCCTCAAATTCACAACAAGGGTTAATATTTCTAATACAGCACACAGCACTGTTCTTAGCATCAAAGAAGCAGCCAGAGAAGATGGTGGAATGTATGGAATAAACGTGTCCAATGCTGTTGGACAAAAGGATGCAACCATTGAAATCATCACTCTTGATAAACCTGGCCCACCAACTGGCCCTGTGCGATTTGATGAGATAACTGTTTCAAGCATTACGTTGTCATGGGATGCTCCAAAGTATACTGGTGGTTGCCCAATTTCAAATTATATTGTGCAAAAGAGAGATACAACTTCTACAACATGGGAGAATGTTGCAATTTCATTAGCAAGAACAACATTTAAAGTACTACGACTGAAGACCGGTGCTGAATATCAATTCAGAATCATTGCTCAGAACAGGTATGGCAAGAGCTATGCTCTGGACTCTTTGACTGTTGTTGCTCAGTATCCATATAGAGAACCAGGACCACCAGGAACTCCATTTGTATCATGCCTATCAAAGGACCATATGGTTGTTGAGTGGAATGAGCCCGTTTCAGATGGAGGCAGCAGCATTATTGGATATCATCTTGAAAGGAAGGAGAGAAACAGCATTTTTTGGACAAAGATAAATAAGACACTGATTCAAGAAACAAAGTTCAAAACCAGTCCTTTAGAGGAAGGTGTTGAATATGAGTTCAGAGTATATGCTGAAAATATCGTTGGCATTGGCAGATGCAGCAAAATCTCAGAGGGCTTTGTTGCTCGTGATCCATGTGATCCTCCTGGAACCCCAGAAGCTGTCCATGTGACTAAAAATTCAATAAGTATCCAATGGACAAAACCAGAGTATGATGGTGGAAGTGTTATCACTGGTTATACTGTTGAGAAACGTGATCTTCCTGAAGGACGCTGGATGAAAGCAAGTTTCACAAATGTTATTGAAACCAATTTTACTGTCACTGGGCTGACAGAAGGTGCCAAGTACGACTTCAGGGTAATTGCAAAGAATGCAGTTGGCACTATCAGCAAACCATCATACAACAGTGGACCTATTGCTGCATTGGATGAGGTAGAGCCACCAAAGTTCTCAATTGACCCAGAATACACTCAGACTCTAATTGTGAATGCAGGTGATACATTCAAACTTGATGCTGATGTCCATGGTAAGCCACTTCCTGCAATCCAGTGGTTTAAGAATGACAAGGAGCTTGAAAACACAATTAGATGTGACATCAAGAACACTGACAACAGAGCATTGATAATAGTAAAAGATGCAGTCAGACAAGATGGTGGAAACTACACTCTTCAGCTCACTAATGTTGCTGGATCTCAGACCGTTCAATTCCATGTGAAAGTACTTGATAAACCAGGTCCACCAGAAGGGCCTCTTCATGTCACAGGCGTGTCCAGTGATAAATGCACACTGATATGGCGTGCTCCACTAGATGATGGAGGAAACACTATCACTCATTATATTATTGAGAGACGTGAGACAAGTCGACTTGCTTGGACTGTGGTCTGTAATGATTGCAAAACTACAACATACAAAGTGACAAAGCTCCTGGAAGGTAATGAATATATATTCCGTGTCATGGCTGCGAACAGTTATGGTATTGGTGAGCCATTTGAAGCACCATCTGTAATAATGAAAGATCCATTTAGTCACCCCGGATCACCACAAATTATTGAGGTAACAAATATTGCAAAGGACTCTATGACTATTTGCTGGAGTACTCCAGATACTGATGGTGGAAGTGAAATTATTGGATACATTATTGAGAAGAGAGACAGATCTGGAATTAGATGGACAAGATGCAACAGACAAAAAGTAACTGATGTATGCTTCAGAGTGCATGGCCTAATTGAGGATCATGAGTATGAATTCAGAGTGTCAGCTGAAAATGCAGCTGGAATTGGAGAACCAAGCTTGCCAACTTCATACTACAAGGCTTGTGATCCCAAATACAAACCTGGCCCACCCATGCATGCACATGTTGTTGATACCACCAAGACTTCAATTACAGTGGCATGGGGAAAACCCCTTAATGATGGAGGATGTGCAATTCAAGGATATATTGTAGAGATCTGCAAAGCTGAAGAGGAAGAATGGACTATGTGCACTCCCCCTACTGGCTTACGTGTCAACAAATTTGAAATCGCTAAGCTAACAGAACAAAAAGAATATAAAATTCAAATATGTGCCATCAATAAATTAGGTGTTGGAGAACCTGCAGTCATTCCAGGAACTGCCAAGCCTGAGGAAAAGCTGGAGACCCCTGAAATTCACCTCGATTCAGAGCTAAGGAAAGGCATTGTTGTTCGTGCTGGGGGATCAGTAAGAATCAATGTACCATTCAAAGGTAGACCAATACCAGATATCAAATGGACTAAAGATGAAGGTGAACTGTCAGAAAAGACAGTGCTTGAAAAGAGTCTTAACTTCACCCAGCTTTCAATTGACTCCTGTGATAGAAGGGATTCTGGAAAATACACAGTTACTCTACAGAACAGCAGTGGCTCTGTCTCTGAATTTGTGGCTGTTAAAGTGTTAGATACACCTGGAGCACCACTAAACCTTGTAGTTAAGGATATCAAGAAGGACTCTGTTACACTTGTTTGGGAACCACCACTTATTGATGGAGGTGCAAAGATCAAGAATTATATTGTTGACAAGCGTGAATCCACAAGAAAAGCCTATGCAAATATAACAACCAAGTGCAGCAAAACAACTTATAAGGTAGAAAATCTTGCAGAGGGGGCCATGTATTATTTCAGAGTAATGGCTGAAAATGAATATGGCGTTGGTTTGCCGGTTGAAACAAAAACTGCTTCAAAGGCATCTGAAGTACCTCAGCCAGTTGGAAAGGTGATGCTGACAGATGTGACAAAAGTCAGTGCATCTCTGACCTGGGAAAAGCCAGAGCATGACGGAGGTAGTAGGATTGCGGGCTACTTAATTGAAATGCAGCCAAAAGGTACTGACAAATGGGGTGTAACAGCAAATGTAAAAACGTGTGAAGGAACAGTCACTGGACTGAATGGCGGTCAGGAATATTTGTTCCGTGTTTTGGCATACAACGAGAAAGGCAAAAGCGAGCCAAAGCCCCTTGCTGCTCCAGTTATTGCCAATGACCTCACAATTGAACCACACCTAAAGTTGCAGTTCAACACATATAGTGTCAAATCTGGAAAGGATTTCAAACTTGAAATACCTATTTTTGGACGTCCAAAACCAAAGATCACTTGGTCAAAGGATGGACAGTCACTTAAAGTAACATCCAGAGTTACTACTTCTAATACACCAACATCCACAATCCTGCAAATTACTGAAGCCTGTAAAGATGACCTTGGAAAGTATACAGTTACTGCAACAAACAGTGTTTGTGCAGTTAAAGAAGATATCAGTATCATAATCCTGGATAAACCTGGTCAACCCACAGGACCAATAAAAGTGAATGAAGTGAGCAACAATTCTGTTTCCATCTCATGGGAACCTCCGGAGTATACAGGAGGCTGCCAAGTAAAGCATTACATTGTTGAAAAGCGAGACACCACTGAAACTTCTTGGCAAGTTGTTGCTGGATCAGTTGCCAGGACATCTCTCAAAATTACCAAGCTGAAAACAGGTGCTGAGTATCAGTTTAGAGTCGTTGCTGAGAACAGATATGGTAAGGGTGCTCCTTTGGATTCAAAGACCATTGTTGTGCAATATCCTTACAAACCACCTGGGCCACCTGGTACTCCATATGTGAAATCTGCCACCAAGGATCAAATGATAATTGAGTGGAATGAACCAGTCAGTGATGGTGGCAGTTCAGTGATTGGATACCATCTTGAGAGCAAAGAAAGAACAAGTATTATATGGACAAAACTAAACAAAACCCTTATTACTGATACTGTTTTCAAAATATGCAATCTTGAAGAAGGCATTGGATATGAATTTAGGGTATATGCTGAAAACATTGTTGGTATTGGCAGAGCAAGCAAAGTTTCAGAGAGCTTTGTTGCCCGTGACCCATGTGATCCACCCGGAACGCCTGAGGCTGTTGGAATATCAAAGGACCACATTAAGATTCAGTGGACAAAGCCTCAATATGATGGTGGCAGCAAAGTGACTGGATATATTGTTGAGAGAAGAGATTTGCCTGAGGGCAGATGGATGAGGGCAAATTTTACCAATGTAATTGAGAAAGAATTTACAATCACAGGCTTAACAGTAAACAATCAATATGAATTTAGAGTAATTGCAAGAAATGCAGTGGGTGTCTTCAGTGAGCCTTCAGACAGCACTGGACCAATTACTGCTACATATGAAATTGAACCTCCTAGTGTTTCAATGGATCCTAAGTATAAGGATGTAATTGTTGTCAATGCTGGAGCCAACATAGTTTTGGATGCAGATATACATGGTAAACCCACACCTGATATTCAGTGGCTAAAAGAAGGAAAGGAAATGGATAAGACATTGCGTATTGAATTAAGAAGTACACAAAAATATGCTTCTATTACAATAAAAGATTGTACAAGATTGGATGGTGGACACTATGACCTTGTATTAAGCAACAGTGGTGGAACAAAAACAACTCCAATAACAGTAAAAGTTCTTGACAGGCCAGGTCCACCAACCGGACCACTACGAGTGACTGGCGTCATGTCTGACAAATGTCATCTGTCCTGGTCTGAGCCCTCTCAGAATGGTGGAGCTAGTATTTCTCATTACATCCTTGAGAAAAGGGAAACTAGCAGACTATCATGGACTGTTGTTGATTCTAACATTCCTACTGTAAATTATAAAGTGACCAAGCTCTTGCCAGGTGATGAGTATATCTTTAGAGTTATGGCTGTCAACAAATATGGCATTGGTGAACCTCTGGAGTCTGAGGCAATTATTGCACGCAATCCATACAAGCCACCAAGTGCGCCATCAACACCAGAAGCAAGTGAGATAACAAAGGATTCAATAACTCTATCATGGAATGCCCCAGAGAGCAATGGTGGAGCAGAAATTACGGGTTATAACTTAGAGAAGCGTGACAAAGATGGTGTGAGGTGGACAAAATGCAACCGACAGAAGCTGACCAATCTGCATTTCAAAGTAACTGGTCTGTCAGAGGGACATTTCTATGAGTTCCGTGTGTCTGCTGAAAATGAATCTGGTGTGGGAGAATTTAGTGACCTATCTCTATTTTATAGAGCAATAAATGCCACAACTCCCCCAGGTCCACCTCATCATCCTAAAGTGACAGATCACACAAGTTCATCTGTCTCTCTGTCTTGGGGAAAACCTGCTACAGATGGTGGTGCATATATTAAAGGTTATATTGTTGAGATGAAAGATGTTTCTTCAGAGGAATGGATCATATGCACACCTCCAGCTGGTATTCAAGCAACACGCCTCACAGTTGAAAACCTGAAGGAAAATGTTGAATATAATTTCCGTGTCTGTGCAATTAATTCTGAAGGAGTTGGTGAACCTGCTGATGTTCATGGATCTGTGACTGCATCTGAAAAGATTGAAGCACCTGAAATTGAACTTGATGCTGACCTCAGGAAAGTTGTCTCTGTTCGTGCAGGAGGATCCCTTCGTCTTTTCATTACAATTAGAGGTCGACCTGAGCCATCCATCAAATGGGAAAAGGAGGATGGGAATCTAACTGAGCGTGCTCAGATTGAGTCAACCAGTTCATACACCATGCTTGTAATTGACAATGTCAATAGATTTGACAGTGGAAAATATGTCTTGACTCTTGAGAACAAGAGTGGCACAAAATCTGCATTTGTTAATGTCAGGGTGCTTGATACACCAAGTTCTCCACAGAAGTTTGAAGTGAAAGATGTAAAGAAAGATTCAGTGACTCTCTGCTGGTACCCACCACTTACAGATGGTGGGGCTAAAATAACCAATTATGTTGTTGAGAAGCGAGAATCTACAAGGAAAGCTTATACAACTGTCACAAGCAACTGCACACAGATGTCCTTTAAAGTGGATGAACTGCAGGAAGGAGGCATTTTCTACTTCCGTGTATGTGCTGTTAATGAGTATGGCTTTGGTGTGATGGCAGAAACAAAGAATCCTATTAAGGTTGCACAGGTACCTATGCCTCCAGGAAAAGTAACTCTTGTGGATGTCACAAAGAATAGTGTTACACTTACTTGGGTTAAGCCTGTCCACGATGGAGGCAGTAAAATCATCTGCTACAATGTAGAGATGCAACCCAAGAGTAGTGACAAATGGGGTGTAAGCTGCACAGTTAAGGTTCCAGAGGCTACTGTGAGCAACCTCACGCCTGGTGAAACATACTCATTCAGGGTTATAGCATTGAATGAGAAGGGCAAGAGTGAGCCTCAAGAACTTGGTGTACCTGTTGTAGCTAAAGATATTGAGATTGAACCCTCTGTTCACCTGCTGTTCAATACATACAGTGTTAAGGCTGGAGATGATCTTACTGTGGAAGTTCCTGTGAGAGGCAGGCCTAAGCCAGTTGTCTCTTGGAAGAAGGATGGCCTTCCTTTGAGGCAAACAACCTCTCTTTCAATTGTCAACACGATGGTGTCAAGCAAAATCGTCATCAAAGAAGCTGCTATTGAGCATGTTGGTAAATATGAAATCAGCCTTGCTAATACAGCAGGCACCAAGTCCACAGACATTGGTGTTGTTGTTCTTGATAAACCTGGGCCACCAGCTTCAGTGAAGGTTGATGCTGTGACTTCTGACAGTATTACATTGTCATGGGCCCCTCCAGAATATGATGGTGGATGCTCCATCAACAATTACATTGTTGAGAAGAGAGATACTAACACAACAGAGTGGCAGATTGTTTCAACAAATGTTGCCAGAACCTCAGTCAAAGTACCTCGATTGACACAGGGTTCTGAGTACCAGTTCCGCATCTATGCAGTGAATCGCTATGGAAAGGGTAAGCCAATTGACTCTCCAGGAATTACTGCAGAGTACACATTCAAACAGCCTGGGCCACCTTCTACACCCCGTGTAGCTCATGCCACCAAGGTCTTCATGCTTGTCACATGGAATGAGCCAGTTAATGATGGTGGTAGCACAGTTCTTGGCTATCATTTAGAACGCAAGGAGAGAAGCAGTATTCTTTGGACAAAGGTGAACAGGACAATTATCAAGGATACTGAATTCAAAGTAACTGGCATTGAGGAAGGCATGACGTATGAATTCCGTATCTATGCTGAAAATATTGCTGGAATTGGGAAAGCAAGCAAAGCCAGTGAGCCCATAGCTGCACGAGATCCTTGTGATCCTCCTAGTCAGCCTGTAGTAACTAGCATTACCAAATCCTCTGTATCTCTTTTTTGGACCAAGCCTGAGTATGATGGTGGAGCCAAAGTTACTGGCTACATAATTGAACGTAGAGATCTCCCAGAGGGTCGCTGGATAAGATGCAATTTTACTAATGTTATAGAGACTTGTTTTGATGTTACTGGCCTAACATTGGATGAGAAGTATGATTTCCATGTCATCGCAAAGAATGCTGCTGGACTATTCAGTGAGCCATCTGATAACACTGGTCCTATTACAGTTAAAGATAATGTAGATCCACCACGTATTATGATGGATGTCAAGTTCAAGGATGTTGTGGTAGTAAAAGCTGGGGATACCCTGAAGATTAATGCTGACATTGCAGGGCGCCCACTTCCAATTGCATCTTGGTTAAAGGATGGGCGTGAAATTGAACAGAAGGCAAGAATTCAGATAACTGGAACAGATACTAGTACTATGATAGTAGTTAAAGACTGCAAAAGAAGTGATTCTGGACAGTACGCTTTGACTTTACAGAATGTTGCAGGAAGTGTCACGACACCAGTAAACTGTGTTATTCTGGATAAACCAGGACCTTCAGCAGGACCACTATCAGTAACAGGCCTCACAGCAGAGGAATGCACATTGTCATGGGGACCACCACAAGAAATTGGTGGCTCTGAAATAACACATTATGTTGTTCAGAAACGAGAGACCAGTCGATTGGCATGGACACTTGTACATGGAGAGGTGAAAACCACAACATTCAAGGTCACTAAGCTCCTAAAAGGAAATGAGTACATATTCAGAGTATTAGCTGTCAACAAGTTTGGACTTGGTGAAGCCCTTGAAAGTGAAATGGTCAAGGTCACTGAACCATACACTATCCCTGCAGCTCCAACAAATGTTGAAATTACAAGCGTGACCAGTGAGGAAATGAGGCTAACATGGGCAAAGCCTGCATCTGATGGAGGCAGTGAGATCCTTGGATATGTAATTGAAAGGCGAGAGAAATCTGGTCTTCACTGGGTCCGTGTGAACAGGGACATTGTGAAAGACCTAACAGCTGTGATATCAAAAGTAAGAAGAGGATGTGAGTATGAGTTTAGAGTTTATGCTGAAAATGCAGCAGGCTTGAGTCTAGCCAGTGACCCATCTCCTTCAGCAAGGGCAGAGGATGAACTTTTGGTACCATCCCCACCAACTAAACCTAAGATTCTGGATCATACCAAGAATTCAATTACTATTGCCTGGAAAAAGCCATTATCTGATGGCTGTGCACAGATCCTTGGATACAGTGTAGAATATAAGAAATCTGAGAATGAGGAATGGATTGTGGCTATTCAGATGACAAAAAGCAATGAATTCACAGTTTCTGGTCTTACAACTGATGTGGAGTATGTATTTACTGTTAAAGCAATTAACAAAGTATGAGTTTAGAGTTTATGCTGAAAATGCAGCAGGCTTGAGTCTAGCCAGTGACCCATCTCCTTCAGCAAGGGCAGAGGATGAACTTTTGGTACCATCCCCACCAACTAAACCTAAGATTCTGGATCATACCAAGAATTCAATTACTATTGCCTGGAAAAAGCCATTATCTGATGGTGGTGCACAGATCCTTGGATACAGTGTAGAATATAAGAAATCTGAGAATGAGGAATGGATTGTGGCTATTCAGATGACAAAAAGCAATGAATTCACAGTTTCTGGTCTTACAACTGATGTGGAGTATGTATTTACTGTTAAAGCAATTAACAAAGTTGGTGTCAGTGAACAGTCACCTGTCTCTGAGCCACAGTCAGCAACGGAGAGAAAGGAGGAACCTGTATTTGACGTTGACATTGAGATGCGAAAAACTTTAATTGTCAAGCATGGTAATTCATTTACTTTGACGGCTCTGTTTAAAGGAAAGCCAGTACCTTCAGTTACATGGAATAAAGAGGAGGTTGATCTCAAAGCAAGGGCGAGCATAGAAACAACAGAAACATGCACATCTATTACTATTGAGAAAGCAACAAGAAATGACTCTGGACAATACATTGTTACTTTGGACAATGGTGTTGGAACAGCATCTTTGCCAATGGTGGTCAAAGTCCTTGATACCCCTGGACCACCAACTAATGTGAAAATTACAGAAGTCACAGAAGATTCTGCAACAGTTACTTGGGAGCCTCCAGAGAATGATGGAGGAGATGCTGTTAAGGCTTATCATGTTGAGAAACGTGAAGCAAGCAAAAAGGCCTGGGTATGCGTAACAAGCAACTGCCACAGTCTGACATACAAGGTTGAAGACTTGCAAGAAGGTGCAATTTACTATTTTAGAGTCGCTGGAGAAAATGAGTTTGGATCAGGTGTACCTGTTGAAACTAAAGATGGAACCAAGATTACAGGTAAAATCATTTAAATTTTTATTTGTCTGAAAATGAGAAAATAATAGGTTTCAGAACAAATTAATTCATTTTGTGTTTTAAATATGATTTCAACTTTGCACCAACAGAAAAACCAAGTCCACCTGCTAGACTTGGTGTTACTGCGGTAACAAAAAATAGCATCACCATTGCATGGTCAAAACCAGAGTATGATGGTGGAAGCCGAATTACCAGCTACCTCATTGATGCCCTTGAAAAGGGCCAACAGAAGTGGGTTAAATGTGCCACTGTTAAAGCCAACACCCACATAATTAAGGGCCTAAGGGAAAATGCAGAATACTTTTTCAGAGTTCGTGCTGAGAATCACGCTGGACTTAGTGAACCAAAAGAAATGATTATCCCTGTGGTTGTGAAAGATCAACTGGGTGAGTCTTAATTCATTCAATTCATTCCATGTTTATCATATTCAAATAATCTATTAATGTTGTACTTCCATTTCCTTTGAATATTATTTACAGATGCCCCTGAGTTTGATATGAAAAATTTCCCACACAACACTCTTTATGTGAGAGCAGGATCAAATCTTAAATTTGAGCTTCCTCTCTCTGGTAAACCAATGCCAAAAGTCACGATGTCAAGAGGGAATGCTCCAGTTAAGTGCGGCAAGAGATTCAGCTTTGAAGTAACCCCTGAAAGTCTTAATATCAACCTCAAGGAAAGTATTGCAAGTGATGCTGGAAGATATGACATTGTTGCCTCAAACACAAGTGGAACCACCAAGATGTTTGTAAACATACTGGTCCTGGATAGACCAGGTCCTCCCGTTGGACCTATTGAAGTTAGTGATGTGGAAGAGACAAGCTTGTGTCTCAAATGGCTCCCACCTGTGTATGATGGTGGCAGTCCTGTTACAAACTATGTTGTTCTTAAACGTGAAACAAGTACTCCAGCCTGGACAGAAGTGTCATCCACAATTGCAAGAAGCTCAATTAAAGTCACCAAACTTACAAAGGGAGAAGGATACCAGTTCAGGGTTAAAGCTGAGAATCGCTTTGGCATCAGTGATCACGTTGATTCTCATTCAGTTACAGTGAAGCTTCCATACAGTGAGTACCTAGATAATGTACATTCTCAATTGTTTCTAGTTATGTCTGAATTTCTGTTAAACCCCCGCTGGTCTATTGTATTTTTTAGCTATCCCTGGACCACCATCAACACCATGGCTTGGTTATGTGTCAAGGGAGAGCCTCACTGTTTGTTGGAATGAGCCAGTATTAGATGGAGGAAGCCCAGTGGTTGGATACCATGTCCAAATGAAAGAAAGAAGCAGCATTCTTTGGCAGACGGGGAACAAAACAGCAATCCCTGCAACTCAAATTAGAGTGACAAATATATGTCCTGGAATGATTTACGAATTCAAGGTAGCTGCAGAAAATGCAGCTGGTATTGGAAAGTTCAGCAAGACATCAGAAGAAGTGCTAGCAATTGATGCCTGCGGTAAGCTTAAATAATAATCAAAATAATATATAAACTAAGGAGATATGTTGTCAAGTTTCTCTGAATTTCATTTCCAATTGTTTTGTTTTAGAACCACCGGCAAATGTGAGAATTTCTGAGGTTACAAAAAATTCAATTAGCCTTGTATGGCAGAAGCCTCCATTTGATGGTGGAAGCAAAATCACTGGCTACATGGTTGAGCGAAGAGATGCTCCAAATGGCAGATGGACAAAGGCAAACTTTACCAATGTCATTGATACTAACTTCACTGTGTCAGGCTTGACTCAGGATCAGGCATATGAATTAAGGATTTTTGCCAAGAATGCAGTTGGCTCGATCAGCAACCCATCTCTAATTGCAGGACCAGTAACTTGTGTTGACATTTCTGGTAAGTTTATTGCTTCTACTTTGCTAGTTATCTTATATTATCATGTGCAGCAATGATGGGTTTGAGAAGATCAAATACAACCCGATACTAAAAAAACAGACCAGGCCTCTATTTGAGACCGGCCTTTATTTACCCAAACCTGTCGTCACACCAGGCGTTTAAAAGAGACAGGCGTCTATTTGGGACTCGGCTATTATTTGAAGTTTTACGGTATTCACACTTTATTACACACTTTTCTGTTTCCCCCCATTCTTAGGTGCTCCAGTAATTGACCTGCCCCCAGAGTATTTGGATGTTGTGCAATACAAAGCTGGTACATCATTCAAAATCAAAGTGGGAATATTTGCCAAACCCTTGCCAACTATTGAATGGCTTAAAGATGAAAAGGAGTTAGTGTCAAGTGCACAGCTGTCAATTGAGAACACAACTGACTCATCTTCCATCCTCATTAAGGATGCTACTCGTCTTAATACTGGAACCTATGAGCTCAAAATTAAAAATGTGTTTGGCACAGCATCTGCTTGTATCAGAATACAGATTTTAGGTATGTAATCATTTGTGTAATATATATATATATATATATATATATATATATATATATATATATTTCAATGACTTTTTCACCTTTTTATTTCCTCATTTTAAATTTTCATTCTGTAAATAGACAAACCTGGACCTCCAGCTGGACACATTGAATTCAAATCAGTCACTGCTGACAAGATAACAATTGCATGGGAACCAGTGGCTGATGAAGGAGGTGCCAAAGTAACTCATTACATTGTAGAAAAACGAGAGACAAGTAGAGTAGTGTGGTCCACAGTTTCTGAAGCAATGGAAGCACATACTGTCACAGTCCAAAAGTTGGCCAGAGGAAATGAATACATATTCCGTGTCAGAGGTGTTAACAAATTTGGAGCTGGAGATGCTCTGGAGTCTGAGCCTGTAATTGCCAAAAATTCATTCGGTAAGGAGACAGTAACTGAAAGTCTAAATTATTAAACTGTATAATGTATAGTTTTGGTAAACCAGATAATGTAAGATGACAAATGCACTATTCATTAAATCAATTAATTTTTTTAGTTTCTCCTGGACAACCTTCTACACCTGAAGCAACAGATATCACCAGAACATCAATGCAAATTGTTTGGGATAAACCTAGTGTGGATGGTGGTAGCATGGTTACAGGATACTATCTGGAGAGACGTAACAAGAAGAGCCTGCGCTGGGTAAAAGTATACAAGGACCCCATTAGTGACACCAAAGCAAAGGTCCATCATCTCACAGAAGGAAATGAATATCAGTATCGTGTATGTGCAATCAATAAAGCTGGGGAAGGTCCATACTCAGATGTTTCTGACTTCTACAAAGCTGCTGATCCAGTTGGTATGTATTACTGTATAATTTTACTGAAAAGTTAATTTTACTAAATTCATATTTAATTAAGAGTCTAACTGCTTTGACAAAGTTCTAACCAAGCTTTGTCAATTCTCCTAAGACCCACCATGTGAACCAACTAAGCTCAAGGTAGTGGACTCGACTAAAACATCAATTACACTTGGATGGTCAAAGCCAGAGTATGATGGAGGCAGTGAAATCACCAGCTATGTTGTAGAAAAAAGAGTTGGTGAGGATGGGGAGTGGACAGTGATTAGCCATAAGGGAGAAGTGAGAACCACAGAGTATGTTGCCTCAGATCTTAAACCAGATATTGACTACTACTTCCGTGTATCTGCTGTTAACTGTGCTGGACGTGGAGACCCAATAGAAATGGAAGAGGCAGTACAAGCCAAAGACATTCTTGGTATGTATTCATGTTGAAATGCTTGTAATATCTTTGTGTATTTGACAATATTTTCCACTTGTAACAACAGCATAAATAATTTTTATTTTTATTTTGCAGAGGAAGCCCATGTTGATACGGATGTTGCAATGAGAACTCACTACATTGTGAAAGCTGGTAAAGATGTTGAAATCATGGTGCCCCTGAAAGGCAGACCTGCTCCAAGTATCTCTTGGAAGAAGGAAGACCAGAACATTGACAATGATCCTAAATATGACATTCACAACACAGACACGTCATCGTGTCTCATAATTACACAAGTAACTCGAAACGACACTGGTAAATACACCATTAATATATCAAATGGTGTAGGAGAACCAAAGTCCTTAACTGTGTCTGTTAAAGTACAGGACACTCCAGCTGCTTGTAAGAATTTGATCTTAAAAGACGTCACTCGTGGGAAAGTTACACTTTGCTGGGAGTCTCCTCTATTGGATGGTGGTGCTGAAATTACCAATTTTGTTGTTGAGAAAAGAGACTCTTCAAAGCGTACATATGCCTGTGTAACAAATAAGTGCAAAGAAACCACATGCGTAATTGAAGAACTCTCTGAGAAAGCATCATTCTTCTTCCGTGTATTAGCAGAAAATGAGAATGGAGTTGGAGATCCATGTGAAACAGCAGAGCCAGTTAAAGCCACAGAGACACCAGGACCAGTCAAAGACCTTTCTATGAAAGATTCCACAAATACTTCAGTAACACTACAATGGAACAAACCAGATTATGATGGTGGTAGCATTATTACAGACTACATAATTGAAAAGAAACTCCAAGGTCAAGAAGAATGGGCCCCTGCTGGCACAAACAAGCACTGTGAACATGAAGTTACAAAGCTTAAGGAACTCACTGAAATGTTTTTCAGAGTTTGTTCTAAGAATGAAAAGGGTACTAGTGACTTTGTTGAAATCGGATCAATTAAAGTAAAGGACTACATTATCCCACCAGAAGCAAACCTTAAAGAGTATCCTGATGGACAAATCAGTGTACGTCTGGGACACAATGCCCACATTGAATTGCCATACAAGGGTAAACCAAGACCAGCCATTCTTTGGTTAAAGGACAATTTACCACTGAAGGAGAGTGAAAAAATCCGCTTCAAGAAGACTGAAAACAAAGCCACTCTAGTGATAAAAAATGTGGAGAAAGAGAATGGAGGCAAATACACACTTACTCTTGACAACACATTCTTCAGAAAATCATTTCATATACAGGTTATTACCCTTGGACCACCCGCTAAACCTGTTGGACCCATCCGCTTGGATGAGGTCAGAGCAGAAAGTATAGCTATATCTTGGGATGAGCCAAATGATAATGGGGGTGGAGAAATCACTTGTTACACTGTTGAGAAACGTGACACCTCTCAGACAGACTGGAAAATGGCTTGTTCAAATGTGATTGGAACATCATTTAAGGTACCCAATCTGATCAAGGGAATTCAATATCAGTTCAGAGTCTGTGCAGAAAATAGATATGGTGCAAGTGAACCTTTAGTTTCACAAAATGTCATTGCCAAGCATGAGTTCAGACCACCTGGCCCACCAGGCATGCCATTGGTTTACAATGTTACAAATGATGGCATGACTATTCAGTGGGATGCACCTATTTTTGATGGAGGTTGTCCAATCCTTGGGTTTCATGTTGAAAAGAAGGAGAAGAACAGCATAATGTGGCAAAAGGTCAACCTAGTCTTGGTGAAAGAAAGGGAGTACAGGATTCTTGGTCTCATTGAAGGCTTGGAATATCAGTTCAGAGTCTACGCCCAGAATGATGCTGGATACAGTCGCATGAGTGATACATGCAAACCTGTAATGGCTGTTTCTCCAGTTGGTAAGTTCAACTTTAAGACTTATTTTATCACATAGAAATTTCACGTTAGAAATATGACAGTTGACAGTGTCTAAATACTAAATAACATATGTAATTTCATTTCAGATCCTCCTGGTACCCCTGACTATGTTGATGTAACAAGTGAATCAGTTAAACTGAAATGGGAAGCACCCAAGCGTGATGGTGGAAGCAAAATTGTTGCCTATAATGTGGAGAAACGACAGGGCAAAGGACGGTGGTTAAAGAGCAATTTTTCAAATGTGACTGACACAGAATTTACAGTGACTGGTCTTGCTTGCGGTGAACGCTATGAATTTAGAGTCATAGCAAGAAATGCTATCGGTACAGTGAGCCCACCCTCTCAGTCTTCTGGATATGTCTTAGTCAGAGATGAGAGCTGTAAGTACATCCAGTTTATATTGTGTTTGTCGATTTACATGCAGTTTTATGCTGGTCTGTATATGTTAAGTTCATAATCTTATCTCTTTCAGTTGCTCCAAACATTGAGTTTGGACAGGAATACTTTGAGGGAGTGTCTATTAAAGCTGGAGAAAACATCAGGCTAAAAGTAACAATCATTGGAAGACCAACACCAAAAGTTACTTGGTACAGAGATAATATTGAATTAACCAAGAAAATGGTTGATATCACAACAATTTCTGGATCAAGTACCCTCTTTATCAGAGATGCTGACCGTAGTCACCGTGGTCTTTATACTGTGGAAGCCATAAATCCCTCAGGAGCTAAAAAGGAATCAGTGAAAGTTGAAGTCTTTGGTATGAATAATTTTTGTACCTTATCCCTCTTATTTATTAATTCTACACTTTAATCACTATATTTTCTTGAGATTTTTCTTTAACCTATGCTTCTATAATTTCTATCTTTCAGATACACCTGGTGAACCTGTTGGACCAATCACATTCTCAGATATCTCTGAGGGCAAAGTAACACTTTCATGGAATCCACCTGAGAATGATGGCTGTTCTGAGGTCACTCATTACATTGCTGAGAAGCGTGAAACCTCTAAAATTTCATGGGCACTTGTTACGGATGAGTGCTTGGCATGCACGTACATTGCCACCAAACTGATCAAGACAAATGAGTATCAGTTCCGTGTTTCTGCAGTCAATAGGTTTGGTGTTAGCAGACCACTGGATTCAGCTCCCGTGATTGCACAGATGCAATACAGTAAGATGATTAAAAAAATTGAGAAAAATATATTTCAATATAAGCTTATGTAAAGCACTGTAAAAAAAATCTTTCTGTAATTTCTTCCTTTTTCATCCCTGCAGCTGTTCCAGATTCTCCTGGAACTCCAGATGCAACAGATGTTGACGGAGAGAGTATCACAATCAGCTGGGCTCCACCAACACATGATGGTGGAAACCCAATAAAATATTACATTGTGGAAAGACGTGAAAAGAAAACTGGTCGCTGGCTGAAAGTCATAACAAGGAAACCCATTGTTGAGGCTGCACACAGAGTGACTCATCTCACTGAGTATGTGGAATATGAATTCCGTGTGTATGCTGTAAATGATGCTGGAATTGGAGCACCAAGCAACATTTCAATGCCTATTAAATGTGCAGAGCCAACTGAAAAACCTGATGCCCCATCTATTGTCAATGTTACTGACACTACCAATACATCTGTCAGCTTGGAATGGACCAGACCTGCCTATGATGGTGGTATGGAAATCCATGGCTACATTATTGAGATGTGCAAGGGATCTGAACAGGAATGGCACAGAGTCAATGAGGATCTTTGTGCTGTCACAAAATACAATGTCACTGGTTTGGAAACTGGTGCAGAGTACAAGTTCCGTATTTGTGCAGTCAATTCTGTTGGAAAGGGTGAAGCCAAAGAAATACCTGAGTCTGTACAGGCAGTAGGCAGGCTCTTGGCACCAGAAATTGACATAGATGCATCCTTCAAACAGACACATATTGTGAAAAGTGGTGGAAGTGTATGTATCCGTATTGCCTTTAAGGGAAAGCCAACACCTACAGCTTCCTGGACAAAAGTAGATGGAGAACTTGGTGTTATGACAGACATCACCACCACTGAGACAGTCACAGCCTTGACACTGGAAAACTGCACTAGAAATGATACTGGAAAATATACTCTCACTCTTGAGAACAGTAGTGGCAATAAATCTATCACTATTGCAGTCAAAGTGTTGGACACACCTGGTGTACCAGGGGCTCTCTCAATCAAGGAAGTCACAAGAGGAGCTCTCACAATTGCTTGGAAACCTCCTACCAATGACGGTGGCGCACGTGTTCATCATTACATTGTTGAGAAACGTGAGGCAAGACGTCGTACATGGACAGAAGCAGCACCCAAGACCACTCAAACAAGCTTGAGAGTTTCTGATCTCCTGGAAGGTGTACCTTATTTCTTCAGAGTCGTGGCTGAGAATCAGTATGGTCTTGGTGAAGCATATGAAATGCCTGATCCAGTTATTGCCACAGCTGAACCTGCTCCACCAAAGAGAATTGATATCATTGATACAACTGACACATCAGCAACCCTGGTCTGGCTTAAGCCAGAGCATGATGGAGGAAGCCGTATCACAGGCTATTGTGTGGAATCCAAGGCAAAAGATGCAGATAAATGGATTGTTTGTGGTACAACGAAATACCTAAGCCTCGTAATTGAAGGACTTATAGAGAACAGTGAGTATGAATTCCGTGTCAAGGCAAAGAATGATTCTGGGTTCAGTATGCCAAGAGAAGCTTTCTCCTCAGTCATCATTAAAGAGCCACGAATTGAACCTACTGCTGATCTCAGTGGTATCACCAACCAACTCATTACTAGCAGGATTGGCGAATCTTTTGAGATTGATGTTCCAATTAGTGGAAGACCAGCTCCAAAGGTATCCTGGAAGCTTGAGGAAATGAGGCTGAAAGAAACTGACAGGGTTTCAATCAAAACTACCAAAAACAGGACCACTCTCACAGTTAAAGATTGCATGAGAGGTGATGGAGGCAGATATTTCCTCACTCTTGAGAATGTCACTGGGTCAAAGACTTTCACTGTCACTGTCAATGTTATTGGCAGACCAAGCCCCCCAGAGGGCCCAATTGAGATTTCCTCGATTACATCAGAGTCATGCGTACTGTCATGGAATCTACCTGAGGATGACGGTGGAACAGACATCACTAACTACATTGTTGAGAAGCGTGAATCTGGCTCCACTGCTTGGCAGCTTATTAACTCAAGTGTAAAGCACACTTCTTTCCATATTTCCCATCTTACTAAATACATGCAGTATACTTTCCGTATCTGTGCTGAAAACCGTTTTGGTGTGAGCAAACCAACAGAGTCTGAGACGATTGTTGCAGAGCATCCATTTGGTATGTAATAGCTTATAAGAAATTAGCATTTTTGAGATACTGTATAAATGATAAAATATCAAATATTTTATTACATGTTTTCATTTTCACAGTTCCTCCAGGCTCTCCAACAAGACCAGAAGTGTTCACTGTAACCGCCAACAGCATGAGCATTCGTTGGGAGGAACCGTACCATGATGGTGGCAGCAAAGTCACTGGATACTGGATTGAAAAGAAGGAGCGTAACACAATTCTCTGGGTGAGAGAAAACAAGATTCCCTGCTTTGAATGCTACTACAAGGTGGAAGGCCTTGTTGAGGGTCTTGAATACCAGTTCAGAGTGTATGCAATGAATAGCGCTGGCCTCAGCAAAGCAAGCGAAGCATCAAAGAGAGCTGTGGCTCAAAATCCAGTTGGTAAGTACATCACAATCAAAAAGTAATTCATACCAGTCTAGATCAGCAAAAACAATACTTATATGTGTTCTTTGATGATACAAATTTATAGATCCTACGGGAAAACCAGAGGTTACAAATGTATCAAGATCAACAGTCTCAATCAAATGGTCTGTGCCCCTAAACGATGGTGGAAGCCCAATCACAGGCTACATTGTTGAGCGCAAGCCATATACTGTCACTGGAGATGGTCGCTGGCTTAAGTGTAACTACACTAATGTTACTAACACAAATTTCACTATCACTGCACTGGGAGAAGGAGAGGAATATGAATTCCGTGTAATTGCCAAAAATGCAAATGGAGTGTTGAGCCTGCCATCAGTTTCAACAGGACCAGTGACCTGCAAAGCAGAATACAGTATGTATCATACATGGTTCTTTAACTAAAGACGTAAAACTAATATTTTATATTAATGAGAACCTAAATACTATTGACAACTCAATTATTTTGCAGTTCCTCCTAAAGCAGAGCTGGACAGCAAACTCCTTGTGGACACAGTTATAATTAGAGCTGGATCTGATCTGGTGCTGGATGCTGCTGTTGGTGGTAAGCCTGAGCCTAAAGTCAGCTGGTCCAAGGGTACAAAAGAGCTAGAGCTTTGTGAGAAATATGCTCTCCAGTACTCAAGTACACGTGCTCTGGCAATCATCAAGTTCTGTGACAGAGATGACACTGGGAAGTATGTTCTGACAGTTAGAAATGCAAGTGGAACAAAAACTGCTGAGGTCAATGTTAAAGTGCTTGGTAAGTGTGCTAAACATACAGCGATAACATAAATGAACGGTATCTTCAGTCCCAAATATGTTGTCCATTCATACGATAATCTTTCATCTTTTTCAAGATACACCTGGTCCCTGTCAGGAGATTATAGTCAGCAATGTCTCGGAGGAAAAATGCACAGTGTCTTGGAAAGAGCCACCGGAGGATGGTGGTGACCCCATCACACATTACATTGTTGAAAGAAGGGATACCAATAGACTTAACTGGGTTATCATTGAGGCTGAATGCAAAGCCCTAACATGTGCAATTAAAAGACTTTTCAAGAACAATGAATATATCTTCCGTGTGAGAGGTGTGAACAAGTATGGATCTGGTGTGGCAGTACAGTCTACCCCCATCTTTGCCAGAAACTCATTCAGTAAGTGCCATGATTAATATTAAAAACATTAGCTGAGCTATTTTTCAGTGTTACATGTTACAATATTGCAACTTCATTTCCAACTACAGCTGTCCCATCACCCCCTGGAACACCAGAAATCCTTGCAGTTGGAAAAGACTATGCAACGATTGAGTGGCTGAAGCCTGAGAGCGATGGTGGCAGTGAAGTCACAAACTACTTGATTGAGTTCCGTGAAAGAAAGAGTGTAAGATGGATCAAGGTTAACAGAGATTCTATTCTCAAGGAGACATCCTTCAAAGTCACTGGTCTCCATGAAAGCAACATTTACCAGTTCCGCATTACAGCCATGAATGCAGCTGGTGATAGTGAACCTAGTGAAGTGTCAATGTATGCAGTATGTAGAGTACCAACAGGTATGTTTCTGAAACAACCTCATTGTTAAAAATGTAACGTGTATATTACTTTAGTAACAACTGTTTACCTTATAATGTGAAATCCCTATTTTAGGCACTCCAGATCCACCTTCAATTCCAAGGGTTACAGACACACACAAAGATAGTATTAGCCTTGCCTGGACACGACCAGTTGAAGATGGAGGTGCAGATGTTATTGGTTACGTTCTTGAGATGCAAGAAGCTGGTGCAGAGGAATGGACAAAAGTGCATGAAAAGAATCTTAGGGTGACAGAACACACAGTTGCAGGTCTTTCTGCTGGCAAAAAATACTGTTTCAGAGTTGCAGCAGTCAATGTAAATGGAATGGGTGATTTCAGTGATCCTTGTGCAGAGACTGAGCCTGTGGAAAGAACTGGTATGTTCACACAAATTCCATATTGTTATATGCTGTCAAAGTTTTATATGTACAAATGCAAGAAAGAAGTTATGTCCAATATCTTTGTAAGTATCTTCTCTATTAAACTCTCTTGTTTATTATTTATTCCAGAAATTCCTGACCTTGAGCTGTCTGATGAACTGACAAAGACAATTTGTCTGAGAGCAGGAAGTTCTCTGCGGCTCCATGTTACTGTTACTGGTAGACCAATCCCAACTGTAACCTGGACCAAACCCGGTGTGGACCTCCAAAATCGTGGCTTTATTGAAGTGACAAATACTGCTACAACTCTCATTATTGACAAGGTGCACCGCTATGATGCTGGTAGATATACAATTGAAGCTTCAAATTCAGCTGGGAAGAAGGATGCAAGCATTCTTGTGAAAATCTATGGTATATTTATTTAAATATATTTTTTATCATATTAAATCATGCAAATTATTTATAGTGCATATAACAACATATCATGAAATGATGTCTAACCAGCCTGTTTATGAATTCTTTCTCAGATACACCTGGTCCAACTGGTCCAATTAAGATAAAAGAGCTTACAAAAGATTTTGCTCATATTACTTGGGATGCTCCTGAGGTTGATGGTGGAGCACCTGTCAATAATTACATCATTGAAAGACGAGAGGCATCAATGAGAGCATACAAAACTGTCACATCCAAATGCAGCAAGACATCATACAAAATAACTGGTCTGACAGAAGGAATGCTGTATTATTTCAGAGTCTTACCAGAGAATATCTATGGTATTGGTGAACCTTGTGAGACAAGCGATGTTGTGTTGGTGTGCGAAGTTCCACTTCCACCAGCCAAGCTTGAAGTTGTAGATGTAACCAAATCCAGTGTATCACTTGCCTGGGAGAAACCTTTACATGATGGAGGCAGCAGAATCACTGGCTACATTGTTGAGGCTTGTAAAGCTGGTACTGACAAGTGGATGAAGGTGGCAACTTTGAAACTTACAGACTTTGAGTTCACTATCATGTCACTTAATGAGAATGAGCAGTACTTCTTCAGGGTACGTGCTGTCAACAGCAGAGGAGCTGGTGAGCCAAAAGAAATTGTTACAGCTGTGACAGTTCAAGATCAAAGAGGTATGTATTACGATATTAACAAAAAATACAAGATGCTGTCATTTGTTTGTCATGTCTCACTGTTTATGCCTTTTTTTCCCTCTTTCAGTCATGCCAAAGGTTGATCTATCAGCTATTCCACAGAAGACGATAAGTGTTTTGGCAGGCAAACCCCTTGAGCTTGACTTACCAATTATAGGAAGACCACCACCAGTTTGTTCTTGGTTCTTCAATGACAATAGGTTAAAGATTGTGGAGCGTGTGAAGATAAAGTCAACTGGAAAATTCTCTAAATTAACTATTCTTGACACTACCATTGATGACAGTGGAGTGTATACTCTTGAGGTAAAAAACATAACAGGAGTAACTACTGAAAACATCAAAGTCATAATTCTTTGTAAGTACCGACTCCCTGCATGAAAATAGATATTTTAAAATGGTTGAGTTTTAATATTAATCATAAACCTCTTCTCTCTCTGTAGCCAAACCTGATGAGCCTCAAGGACCCATCCGATTTGATGAAATTGATGCAACATCAGTCACAATAAGCTGGGATCCACCTATGAGAGATGGTGGTGCACCAATTAGCAACTATGTTGTTGAACAACGTGATGCTCATCGTCCAGGATGGGTACCTGTATCGGAATCAGTTACCAGACCAACATTCAAATTTGACAGGTTGACAGAGGGCGATGAATATGTGTTCCGTGTCGCAGCAACCAATCGCTATGGCACTGGGGATTACTTACAGTCAGAAATCGTAATGTGCAAGAGCTCCAAATGTAAGAAATTTTTTTTTTTAATCATATACTGTGTATATATATATACTGTATATATATATTCTAGACCTACTTGATCACAATTTCCAATTGTTGTTACAGCCATTCCCGGGCCGCCTGGAAGACCCATTGTATTTGATGTATCACGTGATGGCATGACTGTTGCATGGGAGCAACCAGATGAGGATGGAGGCTTAGAGGTGTCTGGCTACATTATTGAACGCAAGGAGGTCAGATCTGATAGGTGGATCCGTGCTAATAAAAATCCAGTGACAATGACAAGATACAGATCCACTGGATTAATTGATGGCCTGGAATATGAACACAGAGTGACAGCCATCAATGCTCGTGGTGTCAGCAAACCTAGCCTTCTTTCTAAACCAGCAGTAGCAACTGATCCAGTTGGTAAGCAAAATTTTACTATTAATACATTTTTGTGTGTACAAATTGAATTTTGGTAAATTCAATTATTATCACTTATTAAACAATTACATAACCCCTACAGATCCACCAGGGTCACCTCAAAACCCACGAGTCACAGATACCACAAAATCGTCTGTGTCTTTGGCCTGGAGTCCTCCAGATGAGGAGGGTGGTGCTAAGGTTACAGGCTATCTAATTGAGATGCAAAAGGTTGGATCAGTAACCTGGTTGAAATGCAACGCTACACCTTCACTGATCTGTGAATATACCTTGACACAAATGCCACAAGGAGAAGAATTTAAATTCCGTGTTATGGCTTGCAATGCTGGTGGACCAGGTGAACCAGCTGAAGTACCAGGTGTTGTGACTATAACAGAGATGCTTGGTAAGATCTTATGACCCTGTCATAAACTCCCTGTAGATATACGTGTGAAATTCTATATGTCTGGAATAATTTAATGATTGGAAATGTGCTGTTTCAGATCCTCCAAGTTATGATCTTGAGGCAAAATACAAAGATGTCCTTGTAGTCAGATCCGGAGGAGTAATCAAACTTTCAGTACCCATCAAAGGCAAACCTGCTCCTACCTGCAAATGGACGAAGGATGGATCAGAGGTGACCAACCGTGCAATGATTGCTTCCAATGAAGATGTATCAGAGCTGGTAATCAAACAAGCTGAAAGGTCTGATTCTGGCGTTTACTATCTCCATCTGGAAAACAAGTGTGGCAAAAAGATGCTTCCTATAAAGGTCAAGGTTATTGGCCGCCCATCTGTACCTGAAGGCCCTCTTAGATTTGATGATATACAAGCACATTCTGTAAGAGTGAGCTGGAAACCACCAACAGAAGATGGTGGTTCTGAAATTGTTGGCTACATTGTGGAGAGACGTGAAGTAACAAAAGCAGCTTGGTACACTGTTGACTCACGAGTGGTTGACACATCCCTTGTGGTTAAGGGACTACAAGAAAATGTTGAATACCACTTCAAGGTGACAGCAGAGAACCAGTTTGGAATAAGCAACTCCCTGAAATCAGAGACAACTGTTGTACCAAAGACTCCCATTTGTAAGTGCTTGTCAGTGGTTTCATTTCCAGGCATTGCATGTTTGTTATTAAACATAAAAACATTTTCTTTCATTTTTTGTTATTAATATTTAGGTGTCCCAGAGGCTTCAGGCACTCCACCAGAAATTATGGATGTTACTAAGAATTCTGCTGCTTTGGCTTGGACTAAACCCAAAGATGATGGTGGATCTCGCATTACTGGTTACTTTATTGAGTACAAAGAAGTGTCGTCTGAAAAGTGGATTCGTCATGAGACAAAGATTACCTCAACAATGTATACTCTTAGTCAGCTCTCTACTGATGCTGAGTATCAGTTCCGTGTTATTGCTATGAATGACATTGGAGAGAGTGTACCAGGACCTGCATCAGATTCAGTAATATGCAAAGATCCCTTTGGTATGACCTCATTCTTAATTTTCTCTGTTCATTAATTGATTTAAAATTGATGTCTTGATTTAATAAAAAGAAAAAAAATAACACTCTATTGCGCTCTTGATTTATTTAGATAAACCAAGCCAGCCAGGAGAAATTGACACTATGACTGTTACCAAAGACTACATTACAATTAACTGGGAGGCTCCAGCATGTGATGGTGGAAAACCAGTTCTTGGCTACTGGATTGAATACCGAAAGTCTGGAGAGAGTGCTTGGAAGAAATGCAATAAGGAGCGCACAAAGGACAAACAATACACACAGGGTGGTCTACAAGAGGCAACTGAATATGAATTCAGAGTATTTGCTGAAAATGAAACCGGAATTAGCAGACCACGCAGAACAGCAACTGGCATCAAAACTAAACTGGGTGGTATGTACTGTATGGTTTGAAATAACATAAGTATTATTGTATGTATTGTATGTATTTGTCAGTACAATAATATTAACAAATATTTATCCCAGTGCATTTTAGAGGAGAAATTTATTTGACTAAAATGAACCTCACTATAGCT